TGAATATATATAGTAATTGGAGTAGAGAAATATATTTTGCCGGTCTAGTCTACTGTAATTGAAAAGATAGGAAGCTAACGCAGATGTTAGCTCCTAGTAAATAATTTCCTTATCTATGTCTGTCTATATTGGTACTGATCCATACCTATATGGAGTACTAACTGAAATCAATGGAAACTGATATCATACAGCCCTTTCATATTAATGTGGCTGGTGGCGAATTTGACCACCTGTAGAGTAAAATCTACCTCCCTCTTTTTCACAAATATACAGATTTCATATATAAGTTGTGAAGTACTTGTTTTTCGTCTGCTGTGAGGTTTTTCAGTGCAAGGGCTGGTTACTGTCAGACTTCAAGCAAGTGGGTGCTGTACCACTGTACCCACCTGAGATTTTGAAATGGGTCGCATCTTGATGAATCCTCATCCACCCACTTGAAAATGAGAATTGGCACATATTGACCTCATGTGAGACATAAGAAATTTTTACAATGTATATTCCTTGGCAAAACTGTGAAATAATGGACGCAGCATAAATTTCGAATGTAGACAGATGACACCTCAGGAGGGACCTAACCTTTTTATTAGAATGAATATTTCTGTTTGAAGGTATTTGTCATATTTTTGTTCCCCATAAAAGGATTAAGCCTCATCCTGAAACAAGGTAAATTCATTCTCATGTACTGTGTTCTTCAATAACAAGCTTTCAATTTCACTCATTTTCAAAATTTCAACTTGGCATTATACCCAGATCACCAGCTTGAGAGTTTAAATGTCTTTGAGATGAGACTACCATCCAAATTCTTAAGGATTCTATATTACATGTCAGTCGGCAGAATGTGACCTTTGAAATAAAACTTACTAAACCTTGTTGATTTCAACTGGAAGAATGCAGGAGTATGAATCAGACATCGGGAAAGATGGAAAACACATTCTTCATATAGTACTGAACAGTACCTGCTTTTTAACATGTTTTTACCCTAGATGTCTGAATGTAAGTCTATGTTTGATATATGTACAGCAAAACCCGTACATATAGAATGCCTTTGGTTATGCAAAAAGGTGTTCTTTTAAGAAGGTGTTCTACTATAGAGCGTCGAATACATGGAGGCATTGAGTCAAACGACTGAAGTGTTTTACTTACAGATGTGTTCCACTTAATAGAGGTGTTCAGCTTGACAATTTTAGTTACATATCTTTCTTGTCATGGTTTTACCATGACATTTTTACAAAGACCCCCCACAAAGTGGCTGTCTGTACCTTTTTTTCTGAGCTACAACCATTCACGCGACCTAAAGACCGCCTTTTTCACCTGATATTGTAAATCGGCAAGGCAACTATCAAGTCATCACACTATGTTATTTCTTAAAGATAATAAATACCTGCAAAATAGGTATATTGAAGGAAACTGATCAATTGTAATTTTAGGCAATATAAGCGACAATATCATTGGCTTCATTGATCAGTGAGTAAACAACCTGTCAGTTAAATATCCCTGTCATCCATATTCTTGGCTTTCTCTCATATCCCGACAAAGCTATATTTTGCCTGGCCTTTGGGTATTTCTGTGATGTCACCAACAATAGATAGGTTTGATTTTATTTCTCGGAATATTAAGTTCTCTTTTAATAAAGAAATGCATTTTTAATTATGGCTGTGATGATATGTTATTGAGAGGGATAAAGCATTCACCTTTTACAAGGACAGAATAGGCCTTTCAGAATATCAGATATAATTACTCTGTTAAGTTGTTTAACTCTAAGCGTTAATCCATTTGATGTTGTTTTTCATCGATCATTTTCATAACCTTTGAGCATAAACAAGATGAAGTGCTGAAGATCTCCTTATGCTAATATGGCGTGTACATAAATTCCTACTGAAGTTAAATAAAGTTCTTTATTTCTAGCAGTTATATATAATTTGAATGTTCTCTTTATGACTACACATTTTATGTTTTTCATTTAATTATCCCATCGAACGAAGTTCGGAGGGATATAGGGAACGCCTCCGTCCGTCCGTACGTACGTCCGTCTGTCCGTACGTACGTCCGTCCGTCCAGGCAATAACTCAAATACCGTTGGCCCGATTTTGTTCATATTTTATACACATATGCCCTATGGGGGTAGAAGTTCTGCTCGAAAGCCGATTTTCAAAATGGCCGCTCATTTCAAAATGCCGAATTTACAGTAATTTAGGTGCAATATGTAAAACTGTAATAGCAATATGTTTGAGATGTAAAAAAATTATATAGGACATTAATAAAGCTAGAAATGTAGATATTAAAGAAGTACATGGCAGCCATCTTGAAAAATGGCGGCCTTTACTTGTTATTTTACGATTTTTGCTGTAACTTGAAAAGTAGTGGAGCGATTTTGTTCATATTTGGTATGTGAATACTATAAACATTGCACACTGCTTAAAGACACTTTTGGTAGAAGGCGGCCATTTTGAAAAATTGCCGCCATTTTGAAAAATGGCCACCATTTTAACGTATTTTACTATAACTCGAAAAGTAGTGGAGCGATTTTGTTCATATTTGGTATGTGAATACTATTAGCATGACACACTGTCCTATGACACTTTTGGTAGAAGGCGGCCATTTTGAAAAAAAATTTGAAAAATGGCCGCCATTTTAACGTATTTTACTATAACTCGAAAAGTAGTGAAGCGATTTTGTTCATATTTGGTATGTGAATACTATAAGCACGGCACACTGTCTAATGGCACTTTTGGTAGAACGTATTTTACTATAACTTGAAAAGTAGTAGAGCGATTTTGTTCATATTTGGTATGTGAATACTATAAGCATGGCACATGGTCTAATGACACTTTTGGTAGAAGGCGGCCATTTTGAAAAATGGCTGCCATTTTTGCTATATACTTTTTTGTAAAAATGCCATCCATGGCTGTTCGATGGGATTCGCTACGCTTTGGCGTTGCCGTTGTTCTGGTTCTAATTAAATTTCATTTTTGCATTATTGATGTGTGCAATGTTTTGTTCATAAGGTCGGTGCTCGAGAAAAATAAAAAATAATGATTTGTGTTATTTTAGTTTGACTTGGTACATTTAGTTCATGTATTGAATCAAATTAAAAGTAATATGGATTTGGTGACACCAGTATAGGAATGCCAAATTAATGAATCAGAATCACATCAACATATACATTTCTATTGACATTTCTTGAACATTTCTTGAACATTTATTGTATTTATATCAAATCGTAAAAGCAATTGTGGTACAAGAGATTTGCAATTTGCTAGAATACCTAATGCTTCTCGACTGGAGATGTCTGTGCGAAATTCCAATTCTTCAGTAGGGTTAGGTTTAGGGTCAGGATTTTGAGATATTATTTGAGTTAGGGTTGAAGCATCTTCGGCCATCTCCCATTGCGTATCAAACATTGTTACGCTTGCAATTTCAACTGTTTGATTCAGTTGCAGGTTTCTCCACTTTTTTCAAATCAAAATAAGATGAAAAAGTTCCTCATTAGTGAGTGATCTTGTTATTTGACAGAGTGGTAAAAATTTTGTCTATATAAAAAGATGTGATACATGCATATATTAAGTATGTGGTTCTAATCTAAACTGAGTGGTGAACTAGTACCACCACTCATTAATGAACACTTAATCTTGTAAACCCCTTCAAATCATATTAAATAAATAATTGAAATTCCTCCCTTATCCTTCTATTAACTCGTAAATGTTATCATATAAAACACTTGCTAAGTTCCTTTGATTTCTATAAGATCATATTATGTGTTGAAATATCTTAAGATTTCTCTTTGATATCTGCCTTAGTCTTGTATTACCCCCCCCCCCCAATCAATATGTAGGGGAGAGGGTAGCAAAAGCTTGAAGCAAGAATAAATAATTTTCATATATTTCTGAATAGTTCAGAGACTGTTGACTTCATATATTTCTTGATCTACTCCTTGATGGATGTAATATTTTATTTAGGAATATGCTTGCACTTTGTGATTTGAAACATAACATTTATGACATTTTAATCTAAGTCTGTCTACTTCAGTGCTAAAAGTGTTCACATGCACTATATTATATACAGTAGAACCTCTCCTGGTGAACACATCTCGTTTAGTCCATTCTGCAGTCTTGACCAAATTTGCACCATCTTGAGAATAAACTGATACTGCTTACTCTGTTAAAGATGAAATGTTTTAAGGAGGCCTCTTTGTCTTATTGATTGGATGATTCTAGTGAATCTTCATGTTGTTTGGTGATGAATGTCATTTTATTTTAGAAGTATTCAAAGATAGCTTAATCCAAGTTCATTGTGTATGTTTCTTTAACAAAATTCAATAAATTGAGATTGAAGTGGTACGTTATAAAAGCGTAAAGTAGGCATATTATATTATACTCTTTATATCACTCGTGTCAAGCTTGCCCTTGTCCCTCAAGTCACTAAGACCCTTCCAAGGTCAGGCCATGCTAAACTTGAGAATATTGATAGTGACTTCAAGAAAGATTTGATGCATATGGGACCTAACTTTAAAGTACAGATATTTTTGAACTGAAATTATTTTGTCCAAGTAAAAAGCTCATATTCTTGATTTCAATGTTGACTCGTTCCAAAAAAGTCAAATCCGAGGTATTTAAGCCAAGGGGCTTAAGGCGGGACTTAGTTGGCGATTTCTTATGTTCACAATAATCAACCATATAACTCTTTCTACTCTGCCTACCTAAACAGTGTTTCTGGATGAAGCCAGCCATAAAAATTGACTTTTTGTCTTACAAGAGAGAAAATTGATCATAATGAGGGGATTCAATAGATTTTCTGACAACTGGCAAAATAAATGAGAACAAAGGGCAAAATTAGTGGAAATTATGGTGTCAACGAGGAAACTCACAAAATTCATTGAAATATTGGGCAATTTTGCTGATAACATGGGAAAAATCGCCTTTTGCCTTTTGCTAATGAAAACCTTTACAACACTGACACTCGATTAACAAATCACTGATGTAAGTTTTGTTCCTGTTTTCCAGGTGAATATATTTGGCAGCTTCGAGACAGGGTTATACCTTCCTACCAGGTAAGATATCACATTTATCCCATAAAGTTTGAATAGAAGCATTGTTTGTAACAACTGGTCAATTCACATCCCGTAATTGCGTTTACTGTTATCACCTGATACTGTTGCAAATTAGTTGAACAGTATATGTGGTCATGTGACTGATCATGTGATACATTATTATACCACATTATGCGATATGTAATAAGCTCCTATACCACATTATTTGGTCATGTGATGAATCGTGTGGTACCCCAATTCTGTGGTACTATATTATAAGTAAGCATTTCACTGATTTACTCAGTTTTGACCAAATAATGTCAAAATTATTTTCAATTAAAATCAATATTCCTCTAGTGCTAATATTGATTTATTAAAATAGATTTATTTTCATAAAAACCAAACAATATTTAATTACCCAGACAATCATGTCAATATCAAGAAATTTCAAATTTATGTGTCTGCTTTTGCTAACAATATTTCCCGTTGTCATGTTCTGTTTAACAAATGAAAGGTTTCCTGTTTCTGTAATATCAAGGTCAACATAATCAATATCAACCCATAAATGAAAAGTCACTTGTCATTCTTGGCTGTTCTCTCAATTTGAATTTGTGCCAATATTTTGTATCCAAATACTTAAGATTAGGGAACACTACCTGTTCAGGTGATGTCCCCATTGTCCTATAGGCAGTTAACGATCTGTGGTTAATTGACTATTTAAGTAATGTTTTATATGTTATGTAATTGTTTTATACATTTTTTTTATTTATATAACCCATGCCACTTTAATAAAATTTTACAATACAACACAATCTTCTATGAAGTGAACTTGTTGCCTGTTTAGCTTATTCCGTGTTGTTGCATACTTTTTTTCGCTCTATTTTGTATTTTAAGACGAGACATGATCATCATGACATTTGAGGGTATTGTTGTTTTATAGATTTGATTTGGTTTTGCTTGTGAATTGATTTTGTTCTTTTCTTGTTTAACTTCCCTTCGGTAAAGTATCATGGAAAAATGTCACCTTGTTCTTTTATTGTTATACTAAGTTTCTATTCCAGTGATATTGACCTCAAATACTTTTTATTTCAAGTGATATTAACGTAAAAACACTTTGTATTTCTAGTGATATTGACCTCAAATACTTTGTATTTCCAGTGATATTAATGTAAAAACACTTTGTATTTCCATTGATATTGACCTCAAATACTTCGTATTTCCAGTGATATTAACCTAAAAACACTTTGTATTTCCAGTGATATTGACCTCAAATACTTTGTATTTCCAGTGATATTAACCTAAAAACACTTTGTATTTCCAGTGATATTGACCTCAAATACTTTGTATTTCCAGTGATATTAACCTAAAAACACTTTGTATTTCCAGTGATATTGACCTCGTTGTGTTTGGCAAGTGGGACAAGTTGCCACTACGGCCTCTAGAGCGAGAACTCATTAAGAATAAAATCACAGATGAAGACCATATTAAAGTATTAGACAAGGCATCCGTAAGTTTTACTTCTCACTCAATTAATACGATGTAGCACAGTTTTAGCTGAAATTCATTGTTTATTTTACAAAGTCTAATCTCCAAATATTTGGCTTTTGTTTGCATCGTGTGAACCCTACATATGATTAGTTTTGTATTTTACAATATTTATCCATGCATACATAAACTTTTTTTATTTATACTCCGATAGTCACATTTTAAGTATGAAGTACTTTTTATATCATTCTATTGTAAAATTAAGAATGTAATTTATCCAATTTTTTGATTGTACATACTTTGTTGTATTTAGGTCCCAATTGTAAAGCTTACTGATCTTAAAACAGATGTAAAGGTGGACATCAGTTTCAACATGGTAAATGGGGTCAGGAGTGCCAAGCTCATCAAGGTATGATATATTTTCTTCATATGCTCAAACTATAAAATTTCGACCAGAAGAAATTGTCAAGAGTGTTACAAAGCATATTGGAAGTTAAGCCAAACATGTATTTTCTACACATTTATGTTTGGAGCAGTTTCTTAAATTGTTAAATGACAAATAAGTATCCTTTTGACACTGGATATACGAGCTCTGACAATATCGATTGACAGATGATTGGCCGGATTAATCCAATTTCATGACCCGGTTTCTGGATTACACAATATAGCTCACACTTAATAGACAGAAATACGATAGAAATAGACCATTGACGTTCATGTTGTTTAGCGACAACAATTAAATAATGGTTTTATATAGTCTGGGTCTTCTTGAATATCAAATTAAACGCCAATATCTTTAACAGTATTTTAATTTAATCATACATGTACATCTCAATCAATTAACACATGTAATTAGTAAACGCAGCAACCTGTTGTATGTTTTGTTATATTATTTTAATCACCCATACTTGAAATCTTACGGTCCATTCGTATTTTATTCTATTTTTCTCAATTTGTATAATGCCTGATTTAGATCTGTTTCTATATAACCTAGTCTTATTGTTAACACTATGACTAGGTACTCTAATTTCATTGGGTTCCTTTATATTCTTATGTTAATTTGATTATTATATTTGACCACATTGGTATTTTTCCTCAGGGAATAAGCGTGGATATTTACTATTGGTTAGTAGATTGGTTTTACGCCTACTCTTTTTATGAATGTACATAGTATCATCATTTCCATATTTAGTAGTAGTATAGGAAAAAGTGTGGGAAAATCATGTTTCCCCCAAGGCTCTGTATGTTTGTTTATTCATTAACGAAGTATCTTATGTACTTATAAGTTGATAGACTAACTTCGAATTGGCATTTCCTATTATGAGTTTCTATTTTCACATGTACATTCATCAATTTTCTGTATATGAACATTTTCCATCTCATACAGCGATCTCTTAACTATCGAAATAGGTAGGCCCAAAATCCCATGAGGGTTGAGGCGGCCTGCCATTTTTCTATAGTATAAATACACTAAGAAGCTAATTTTTTTGTGATTTCAATAAAAAAGAATGTAAACCTTGTGCTCATGTAGCTTACTTCATGCCTTATTAGTTCCATGTATTTTCTCTGTATTCCTCACTTCCAAATGACCAACACTGGATTTGACCATCATTTTTACGAAGTGGGAAATTGAATCAATTTCACTTACAGGCAGGCAAAAAGATTTGACCTTCAATGACCTTCTCAGGGTCAAAAAGGTCTTTTTTCATCTTGCTTCAAATTGACCATTTTTTCAAATCTGACTATAGATTTGAGATTTCACCTTCAATGACCTTCTTGTGTTCAAAAAAGGTCTTTTTAACTTGCTTCAAATTTACCAATTTATTTTTTCAAAATCATCTACAAGTTCTTAGGAAAATTCAAATCTGACTTAAGATTGAACTCATAATATTGTGGGCAACTAGGTGGTGGAATTTCGTCATGTTATTGCCTTGTGGAATTTACTTTATTCTACAGAGCATCTTTGGATACTTTCTTACACTTTATTTTATATTTCAGTGTCGAAACACAACAATGTGTTCCCCCTTACCTATGCCCTTTTTCAAAAAATATCCAAATATGCTAACTTTTAATTTTTTAATTTTGTTCATATTTCTCAAGTGGGTGTGAATGAGCTTTAAGTCGAGTGCAGGCTTTTTTTCAAAATTCCATTAATATCACCGTAACATTCTACTCATTATACTGACGTTACTTGACACTCAGGGGTCTACTTCATAATACCTTCAGTTGCTTATATTTCGGTCATTTAAACAATTACCTATACAATTTACAGTAAAATAACTAATATATTTTTCTTTTAAATAATAAAAGCATTAAAGTGTCAGTTATTTTTAATTCCCTGATTTATTTTTCAAGATATGTAATAAATTCAGGTGACATTTTCAGGAAACATAAAAAACAGAAAAGTCAATTAAAACAGTGTGAATAAATGGTTGTGAAAGAACTTCTGTTTATAAAGCTATTCATTAAGATTTTATTCAATGAATTTTTGAATTTGTTTGTAAACATTCATTGAAACAGCCTCAAGCGTCATTCAGTACCTTTAAGTACATTTTTTGAACTGGTTTGATTACACCTTAAAAAGAAACCTTGTTTTTCTGATGAAATCCTATCCTTACAATGATCATTCCAGTATCTGGGTGAAACATCACATACGGAAATATCTTGACCAAAAAAGCGAAGCATTTGTATGTAGCATCCCCATTTATGGCCCCCTCTAACCGCCTCCCATTACACCTGGATTTACTTGGTTCCCAAATTACAAGTTCCTGGACAGAGTTCGAAATAGTAGATATGATGATGTTCTAATCTACTATGTATTTATGCTTAATAGGAGTTTATGCACGAGTACCCCAATCTGAAGTTTCTAGTGCTTGTGCTCAAACAGTTTCTACTGCAACGTGAACTCAATGAAGTTTTCACAGGAGGGATCAGCTCTTACAGTCTTATCCTCCTCACAGTCAGCTTTCTACAGGTATGTTTATCAATGTTTTGTCTTTTCTAATATAGTTTTAATTTATGAATTACAGATACAGTTAAAGACAGTCATAGCTTTATCATATTCAATTGTTTTTAAAAAAGACATTTTTCCTATTTCAAATTTTAGAGTTTAACAATTCCTTCAAAAGTTTGTTAGAATTCAAAACTACGAAAAACTTGGCTTTCTTCAGTAAGCATGTCAATTAATACATCAGAATGCTTTTGGAGAAGTTTTTCTGTGAAAAATTCTGTAAGAATCAGAGCTGGTTGTAGTTAAATTATTATGAAGCTTAGCTGCTGTATTGTTGTTAGCTCATTTTTCACTTGTTACTGCTTGAAACATTATCTGATATCCAGGGCATTGTTGATTGTCAATCTGTCAACAGTTCCTAGGAAATCTATCAATGTGACATTTGTGTGAAAATGTTGATGTCATTTTAAGACAGGTGTCAGTAGGGTGACATGTCCATGGGTTGTTTTATTAGCATTAAAAATATGGTCTCATGACATTACACTATCAAGTATTTCACTATCATGTATTTCACTTTCATGTATTTCAGTATCATATATTTCTCTATCATGTATTTCACTATCATGTATTTCGCTATCATATCATGTATTTCACTTTCATGTATTTCACTATCAAGTATTTCACTATTATGTATTTCATTATTACATGTATATATTTCACTATCTTATCTTTCAGTTGCATCCCAGGATCGATGCTGCCTCTCCACACGCTAACCTGGGAGTACTACTTATTGAATTCTTCGAGCTTTATGGTCGCAATTTCAACTACTTCAAAACAGGAATACGAATCAAAGATGGCGGTTCATACTTGTCAAAAGATGAAATGCAGAAAAGGATGGATAATGGTTATCGGCCATCTTTGTTGTGTATTGAGGACCCGCTGCAGACAGGTAACAGTCTCAAATACAAAACCTTAAACCTTAGCATGAGCACATATAGTGTTTATATGAAAATGTATGAGTCAACTGTCAACATTTGAAAAATCCAGTAATTTCAAATCTTAATAACTAATTTAAACTGAGTATTATTTGAGCCATAATAAAGTTCTGTAAAAATTAAAAAGTCTTAAATTTCGTCACTTATCATTGTAAGTTCCCAAGTAGCACGAGTCTTTGGAAATGGATGCATAATGATTAATTCATGAACCACAAGCATGATGTTTTCAACATTTGATGCATTGTAGGTAACGATATAGGACGAAGCTCATATGGCGCTATCCACGTCAAACAGGCATTTGAGTACGCCTACCTCCAATTGTCACATGCAGCTGCTCCACAGAACACTCACCTACAAAAAGGCAGAGACAGGTGTGTACATAGAATTTAAGAGACAGATGTAAAAGATGATATTGTGTACCCCCCCCCCCCAAATCTGCACTCTAAAATCACGGTACCGTTACCGTAAAGTACCATTGCCAAAACGGTACTGTATGGTACTGTTGCAGATTGGCTGTGTATATTGTCCCATGAGTTTGGATTGATACTTGCTCCGTACAAACAGTGAATGACTAATAAGACCATTGAGGTCACTATGTATATGTATGGAAACATCTAGTTAGGTATTCTTACACAATTGTGGTTCCTGAGTCAATGAAGTATATAAATGTACATCTGAATCGGACATTTCATTAATCGAATTAAAGTAATTTATATTATTGATATATTTTTACAGTCTGTTAGGCAGAATTGTGCGTGTGACAGATGAGGTCGTGGAATATCGTAAGCGGGTCATGGAAAATTTTCCAGTAAAAAAAGAGCAAGAACCTCCCACTGTGTCCCTACTGTCATCCAAATCATCCCCCCAGCAGAGAACTTATGCTAGTGTTGCTACAGCAACACCATCATCCAATGAGGAGTCAGAAGGAGGGTATGTTGAATAAATTAATTATTCCTTCTATAGAGGGTGTTATGATTGCAATTAGGGGTCAAGTCATAAAGTAAATGTCTGACACTGCGAAAAAAGTGTTTTGCCCATCACCACACAAATAAAAATGTTGCAACAGACATTGACTTTTTGATATGATCCCTCTGCAGGGAAATCAATGTAATTCCATGAAAGTTGCATCTTCTTATCTGCTTCTTAAACTTTAAGTTTTTCCCCCAAAAATATTGATACTAAAATGAGTCAGTTATATTTTTTTGAATACTAATATATTAACCAAGGTCAGTCAGTGTATCTGCTTTTACACAAAATTTTTTCAAGTGCTAAATTTTCATGCCAAAGGAAAATTAATATAAAAATGCAGCTTTTGTTCCATAATTTATGGGACACCTCGTAGAAATGGGTGGTAAAGTTCAACTTAATTTCTTTGAAATTGCAGCAATAATTCTTCTCAGTCTCTAAGCAAGAGGAAGTCTAAACCACTCCCGATTGTAAACAACAGGTTTGCTGGCTTATACATATACACTGTAAACCTAGACGATTTTTATGCTAACAAGTTTTTTGATTTTCTTCCTTCAGAAAGCAAAGTACATGTAGTATATATCCATTTTCATGATTTTTCATAATTTGAAAGTAAAAATGGTTTACTTTTTGCTTATTTTGCGAGAAATAAGAACTATTGTTCATTAAGATTTTTCTAGGTTTACAGTTCACAGCCCTTGCTTAAAATGTCATTGGTGGTCATGTTGTGAAATTCAGTTTTTAAAAAAAAGTTGCAAATTACAAGTGACAAGAATCTTGTATTGGAAAAAATGAAGAATTTCAGAGAGTAAATGCATGAAATGAACATGACCAAACATGACATGTTAAGCATGGGTAAAATAGAAGTGATGGTGTTGGTAGTCTTAGGGATCATAATGTGTTTTCCCACCTCCAGCCCTTTATCCTCCAATACAGGATATGGGTAGGGGGTAGGGTTTAGCACAAAGAAACATATCAATTTGTATTTTAAAATCATATCGTTTGAATTCACTCTCATCTGCACACATAATAATACAGTATATTTTGTGGTGTGTTTAGTGTTTATCTCATCCCCTCCCTAAATCCTACACAAAAGTGTTGTCATGAAGACACTTTCCAATGATACATTTCGAGAGCCAAAGCTGTCTCTGTTATATAAAGTAATTGCACATATTCATAGATGCTAACATTCTAAGACTAGATTAAAATTTTGAATTGAACTCTTTAATGGATCTCGTCTTATTTTTTAAACTTTAATATCAGTTTTTAAACTTTTTATATTGAACACTTATACCTTATCAATTTGCACTAACATTGTTAGATCACCCTCTCCATCACATGGCCATTGCACCCATCTTTGTACACTCAGTTTCACTGAACATTGTTAAGACAAGGCTGGCTAAGATGCACATTATACTGGTTCATTTTAAGCTTTACAGTCACACTCCTCTTAGATATGATCTATTAGAGCTAGCCATGCCTGCTCAAGTCAACTAATCAATCTACTATAAGCTTCTCATTAAGGTTTAAATTATTCAAAGTGTATGTGCTAAGCATAGATGTAGTTAGTTGCTTATTTTTCTCTATTCAGAATTTATCAATGGCCAAATTTTTTTTCTAGAAATGTAACTGTGACATCACTCAATGACAACCAATCAATTGAGGGCGAGAATTCTGACAGCGGCAGCAGCTCAGTGTGTGCGCCGTCTAGTGTGACATCAGCTAGCTCCAGCTCCAGTATCGCCAGTGAATCGGTAACAAATTTTTCTCCGTGTTTAAAGCGTACACGAGTGAATAATTTAGTTAACTGAATCAGTATGTAGTCATATGTACAGGGTACCTGAACTGATTAATGGGCCTTTCAGTGACCAGTATATACATGAGTAGAACATTTGAAGTACTTTACCGGGGACTGTTTCTCAAAGATTCATGAATTAATACTAGGACAAATTATTTTCATTTATCATAATTCAAATAACATGCATTACTATATTTAGAATTATAGAAAGTTTCAGTTTACAAGTCATTATTTACAAAATTATCTAGAAACTGGCCCCTGTGTAGTATATATCTCTTGCTCACTCATTTCTTAACTCAACAAGGCCACTTTATTATCAGTCTGGGTACCTTGTATATTGTGAGTACATTGTTGCAATGAATATTTCTGCTTAACAGTGCATGAAATAAGGATTTTTTTAACCTAGACATTTTGGCAGGCCTGCCAGATTTTAACAAGCCATATCATTTTTTCTCAGGCCATTTTTTGGCAGGCTGTTTCTTCCTTCTCTGGCCAAAAATTTCACTTACCATATTTCTCCACAACCACTCTAAATTGAGATTAAGTTTAGTACAATATTAACAAAGATAAAACTAATTGCATATTGCATGTCATGTATCATTCACTATACTATACTTGATGACTTAACCAACAGCCTGAGTGTGTTGATTCCCCCCTAGATTCACCTTGCAAAAACATGAGGAACATGTACATATTGATCAAACTAAATTGTACTGATTTTGGTCGGTTTAGAATTGCTCAGAACTCAGAAGCTTCAAGGTATTCAAAAACACATATTATGTACACAGACTCTTACTCGAGTCTCTAGCCAATACTTGGCTAGAGGGGATTCATCTGGAATACTGTGAACTCTATTTGAAAAAAGCTGCCGGGGTGTCATAAATTTATTGAATATTTTAAAAATCGCCAGATAAATAAATCATTAATCAAACCGGACCCAGCTCGGCTCCTTGATGAGATATGACATGATTTCATCAGGATTTTGTCTAAAATTAAAACAAAATGGCTCCAAGAAAAATGGCGATGTTCGAAAACTGGACGAAATGTCGTTACGTCTGACATTAGTAACTGGCTGTAAATTCTAAGTTAGCGATCCAGAAGATGTGAACTAATACACTGATCACTTTGTGTGTGTTTTGGAATTTTTGGTGAGGTAATAAGACCAAAACTCGCAATTCAAATTGTGATGTGGAAAAATGGCGGACATATGATTTCAAATTTTATGATTACGACATGACCAGTTGTTCATGCAGGAATATATCTGTACTGGAAGGCCACGATACAGTGGCCTTAGAAGAAGGTAAACAGACTCCACTAAAATTCAAGGTATATATTATTGGTGTCACGGTCAAAAAAATTCGGTACGGTTTGGATCGGTACAAATGGTCTCGGGATACGGTACTTTCGGGACGGGACGGGACAGACAGAACACTAAAAATGATACAATCGTCTGATGATGACAGTTTCACTTTCACTTTCAGTTTCACTTTTCAAAATCACATTCAGAAATACGTCAATTAAATCAAATATAAAGCATCTGCCGCGAATGTGATCGGCATTTCACATAGTCTGCATAGTGTACTATCACCAATTCGTTTACCTTGTGATATCGGAGTCCAAAAATACTTCCAAACTGCCGACTTTTTCGACTTAAATGCCGGCTCGATTTTTCAATTTCTTTCCTACATCCGGCATACTGATAATGCACTCGATTTGCGAACGACAATTAAGAAATGAGTCATTCATAGCCAATCAAAATCACCGTAATTTCAACAAACAACAACAGCCAATCGAAAGTCACGTTATATCTTGTGCTTCGGTACCAAACAAAAATATTTTGAAATGTTTTTCAATCTTCAACAAAAGTCATGAAATAAGCCGAAAACGCAGGGAATTCGGAGGATTTCTGGACTGATATGTAAGTTCTATTCATGGGCAATCTAACGAATGCCACAAATGTCTAGCAGGCCAAAATGTCTTGGTGTTTTTATCAAAACAAGCCATCTATAATTTTGTCAGGCCAATGGCCGATGTCGGACGTCTATTTCGCGCACTGCTTAAGGCATGCTACTCAGTTAACCAATCACCTTCACAGTCCTTTATGACAGTCTTTGTTCTGGTTTTATACTGTTCTTGTTCCATATACAGTCCCCATTGTATGTATATGTTCCTGTTCTGTAAAATTCCTGTTGTCTGTACCATCCTTATTATCCAATCAGTCCCTGTTGTCCATTCAGTCCCTGTTGCCCATCCAGTCCCTGTTGCCCATTCAGTCCCTGTTGTCCAATCAGTCCCTGTTGTCCAATCAGTCCCTGTTGTCCATTCAGTCCCTGTTGTCCAATCAGTCCCTGTTGTCCATTCAGTCCCTGTTGTCCATCCAGGCTCTGTTGTCAGTCTCTGTTCTGTAAAGTTCCTGTTGACTGTACAGTCTCTGTTGTTCATTAAAGTCCCTTTAAAGTTCCTGTTATCCATTCAGTCCCTATTGTCTTAACAGTCCTTGTTGTCCATTCAGTCCCTGTTGTGAATTCCCAATTTACAACCAGTTAGCACTACTTGATCTATCTGTTCCTTTGTTCATATTTTATATATTCATCTTTAATATCATTCTGAAACTGAGGGATTTATGTAGGTATACTTATACATGTCAGATTCTTTTTTAAAAGCAAAATGAAATGGATATTTTCTGCTATTAACATTGCATTAAAGAATGTTATTGTAGGTGTTCTTAGTAATAGCTATCCCTAGAAAGTACTTTCGATTAATACTGGACATATATTTTGTATTTTTCAGGACTCAGACGTGACTCCTGACTCCCCCGTCAACAAGATCGCTGTCAAAGTTGCTCCCCAGAATACCGCCCCTATTGACAAACCAGCCCCTCCCATCAAGAGGGAGCTTCCAATCCCCGCCCCCAGATCACGGACACTAAGCTCCAGCAGCAATAATAACAACACGTACAATAACACAAAAGCTCCACTCTCGAAGCCTACCACCTCAAACCTTAACTCAAATTCTCCACGACGCGCAGATACGGCCACCCCCGAGGCCAGTAGAGGCCGATGGGATGGATATCCCTCTAGGAATAACAATCGTGAAAGTGAACGTAGAAATGTTCAACGGGACGTTGACTCAGGAAGTAATAGCCTTAATTGGCGACGGGATAAACCTGTTGAGGTTACCGGTAAAACTTTTACTCCACGTTTTTCTGGTAATTCGAACAGTAATAAAAGACGACGTAATAATGGCAGACGGGATTCTCAAAGAAGTGGCAACCAGAGGTAACAACGCTGGTACAACCCAATAGGTGGCACTTTGCAAAGCGGGGACACCTATTGTCGGTTGTAGGAACTAACAAACTATTGACATTGACTCAAAAGGAGTATTAGAATATTTGTGTAAATGTGACTGGTGAATGTGAAAAGTGTGTGAGTTTATGGCTCATAATTAATGCAATGGGAAACAAGATAGAGAATATTCAAAAATGGAAAGAATATTCAAAAATGGAAAGAAGGTGACGTCTGGATATAATTACAGGATGTCGCTAAAGGCAATTGAGTTACAGAAGACATTTGGCGAGAATGAGTTACCCAAAGTTTAAAAATATAGCCAAGAAGTATGCTGTGTGAAATCATGTCATTACAAAGTGTGCAACTGACTCACATGAACTTGTATATAGATTTACAAAAAACTGTGCTATTTATAAAACAAAAAAACAAAAGGAGTTCTCTGGGATTCAGTTAAAATGTACAGTAAAAAAATACAAAAAAGAAAATCTCAATATAACGGAATGAGATACAGAAAAGATGCAATACTAAAAACAACTAGCATTTTACTCAGTTAAATGTGGTGAAATAACGTATGAATAGACACTGGGTTAAATTATGCTATCCAATGTCACTGAGAATAAAAGATGTGCAAAAAAAGAAGTGATGCTAATGCTATAATATGACATTTAGTGTTAAAGGGACGTGCATTTTTCGATTGATCAACTTCAATGTTCAACTAGAAATAATCTGACAATTCTTCGGAATTTTCAACAGTTTTGGACGAGTCTCTGAAACTGAATTTTGACACTTTAATTTTCTACAGTGCCTTAACTACACTAAGGGGCTGTCCCCTAAAGTGAATTTCAATTTTGACAAAGCACTGTAAGGAACCTCAAAGACCCGAAGATCTCATTCTTATATTGTGCGAGTACAATGCCCTTGCAAATTATTCCTTATTGGTGATGAAGTTAAATTCAAACCCTTGTTTATAATTTCAAAGTGACTTGCAGGTTCACTTTTGAGATTGTTCATTGTCACCAAATTAGCTCTCTTTATTTTGAAGGCTAATTCCTACTTTAGCCATTTTGAAAATGTGACCAATTTGGATTTTTTACAAGGGACTCGTGTAGAGTATGCTGATTTGAAGCATAATTGAAGGATCATGAAGGAGTGAAAGTTATAATGCCATCGTCTTGAAAATAGGGATCAAAGCCATGCTCGAATATCAGTAATTACTTGTATTATTAATATTTTCAAATTTAAATTTTAGTCATTAGTGTATGGTGCTGTTATATCCTATGTTAAGGGAATGGTTTAACAAGATACATATGGCTTTCTCGGTGGATATAGACACAATGTGTGCCCAGTGCAGCATTTTGATCTTATATTCAGAAGTTGAAAGGGTTCTGTGTGTTATTTTATGTTTAGAAAATATTCTGTTTTCTTGTTGAAATACCATGCTAAAAGAGGAGAAATATGTGTTTAACCATCAAATTAGATTTTTTACGACATCAGGAATATATGCTTCTATAATAGATATTTAACTATCCCACTTTTCGATGCAAATACATCTAAAAAATTATTTCATAATCATTTCATTTACAGTGACCTTCCCATCTCTTCTATTATTTGTATCTTAGCAAGAAAACATTTCTAACAAATCAGCTATTAGATTATACTCCGTATGCAGTATAAATTAAAGTATCATTCCATGTACAAACATGTAGATTAATGTATAAATGATCAGTAAATATCAAGTAGGGTCTACCTCTCAAGGGAAATTACCAAAAGTCCTCACTATTCAACTTCTTCTGAAATATCATTTAACTTTTGATAAATACTGGCATTATTTATATTTAAACTGGTTTTCATGTAAAATTTGGTAATTTTTTAGTATATTTTTTTTTAGATGCCATCTTCAGTCAAAACCAGAAGAGAAAGGATACCATACAAAGTAATTAAATTGAAAAGCATCTTCCAATTTCAATAAATCATTGTTTGTACTGGTTTCCATTTTTTTAAATGTCATTCTCATTTTGATAATATTCTGACAGAGTGTGCTAATGAAGCGGATGTCTGATTTTTGGTCTAGATTTTCCTTGAGAGGGACCCATTGTGTAAACTGCATATTAATGTAACTTTGTAACATATGTGTAAAAAGTCCAAAGGGTTTCTATGTCATTGGTGACTAGCTAAAAATTTTGTTTTATTTTGTTCAGAAGCAGACATGGTATTGTTTTAGAAAATGAAAAGTTCTCAAAAAGGGTGCGTCTGCAAAGGATAAAGCCAACAATGTCTCAAGTTCATTTTGTGTAGAAATATAAGAAAGGGCTGAAAATTTATGAAATAAGCATGGCAAGCATTACTGCATTGTTGTAACTACCATGCATGTAAAGAAATTAATAAATATTGCCTGAGAAAAAAGTGGATCAATGACATGTTAAACTATAATTTAGAATTTAATTTATTCATGTGAATATCATGTTATTATAGTGCATTTAATGTAATTGAATTACAGAAATTACAAATTTTCATTGGCTGTCAACAAATAGGCATTTGTGTTAGATATTACAAATTGGCGTCAGTTTTCAAACCATACGTAACTGTTTGCTTACATTAGAAGTTATCATATTAATTTTAGTCACGAAATGTGATCAATTAAGAATTTTTTCATTTTCCCTTTAAACTGCACTATTATATTGTATTCTGCCCTGTGGTGCAGTTCTATTTTAGTTTAAAACATTGGATTTAATTGTTTTATGTTGAAGTATGTGGTAAGAAATGCCCTTGTCTGTCATACACTTCATATACTTACATAGGGGCTAGTGTCATCTCGATTATATCACTTTACTCAAAAGTCCCGTCAATTAACCAGTTTGTTATGTCATAGTGCTACACATGTATAATATGTTAAGTACAATCAATGTCTCGACAGCTTTCTCTGCATCTGTATTCCATAGACACATAGGTGTTGGAAATTTTGTGTGGCCTCATACTTAATGGGAACTAAAAGTTCTGTATATAATTTCTTTTCTTAAAACAGTATTTGTTAACCTCTATGTATCGAATAGAATACAAGCCAAAATCTGCCATTTTTTTTCTAACAAGATAAAATCATTCTAAAATCATAAGACAGTAAAGTGCAATAGTTTAATATGGCACAAGGGGTCTGCTAATCCCATGTACCTTGCCACATTTGCAGTGCATCATGGGATTGGTCAATCTCCTTTGAGTATGAGGTACTTCAGCGTTTAGATAAGAAGTCAACTTAATATTTCCCGATGAATCTGTATAGTATTGTCAAACGAAAATTGCAATATTTTCATTCATGTATATATACATTTATATTACTACTCATATTATTTTTAATTAAACCGGGTATTTTCCATCATATCCATGAGAAAGAATTAACTTCTCCGTAAGATGTTTATACATTCACTGGCTTATTACAATCATTGTTTATTGATTCGGTGCATGACATTGTAGAATTCTTCATCAATTTAATTTCGCAATACCAAATATTAATTTTGTTACATATCATATAATTCCCATATTATGAATCGGTTTGCAAAAATTTGTTTTGTTTTTGAATTGGCTCATTGACTAAATATCTGTCTTGGGTTTAATACAAGTATATGTACTAAACTGTACGTTATAATATTTAATGTAATAATTAGATGAGCTTTTCAATGTTTTGGTACACTCAAGCAAAAAGCTTGAGTTTCAATGTTTTGGTACACTCAAGCAATGTTATTAATACATTGGTTTTAAAGGCCCTTCAGTAATACATCAATGTGAAAAGCCTTTCAATAGTATATCCCTGTTAATAGGCTCTTCCATAATACATCAATGTTAAAAGGCCTTTCAGTTAAAGAACACATCTCAAAAAACTTACATTTCAATTTTTATGTCTGTGTAAAAAAGATGTAAATTATATTTTCTGAGATTTTGTAAGGTGACAGCTTTTAGATTGTAAACTGCTGAAATAGGGTGTCATGTTGTTTGTCACTCGTTAGAACTCCCATAATGCACAAGCATCTGCAGACGGATATAAACATTTGAAATTCTGCTTGAAATTCAAATACCTACAGTGTATTTACTTATGACATACTGAATATCAATCTTAAAAAATGAAGAAAAAAACATTTTGGATCGCATACCCATTGAGGATTCCAGGCAGAATTCTAGTTTCATTTTTAAAATCAATGTATTCACTTGGCAAATGCATAATGTATTGCAATATAATTGCCAATGTTTGTGTCAAACTAGAAGATGTATGTATATAATAGTTATCAATTGTACAAGCCAAAAATGTTTAAATCTGCATTTATTTTTCTTTTGAGGAGAGATGGAACATATAACTGTCAAGTTCATACAATCCAAGATTAAGAAAAATAGAATTTAAAATATGTAAGAGAGCATAATGAAGTTCTCATAATTATTTTCAATGAAATATTTCAATTTACTTATTCCTTTCTATGCAGACAAGTCTGTTATTTAAATATTCAGAATATTTCACTCAACATATACATGTAAAATCCTTATACATGTAAAATATTTTAAATGAGTTAAATACAATTCCTAGTATAATCCATTGCTCATACCAATCAAAACGAAATAATAAAAAAAAATTCATAAATCGGATCGACAGTGTCTGAGATATCGCACAAGGAACACAATGAATGAGAAGTCAATGAAACTTATTGAATAAATTAATAATCATTGTATTTATAATGTAATTTGCCTCAACAGCGAAATAATGGTTCAACAATAAAATGGATTGAGAAGTAGAATGCTATGAGATGAGTCTATTTTAAATGTACAAGTGTCAATATGTAAATGATTTTTAAATAAAATAAATAAAAAAGAACAAAAATATTTCCCATAAATCATGTTGTGTTACTTTTTTCACCAATTATTAGGTAGGCTTCAAGTTCAATATCTAATGGGAAACTTAAGAAATATAGTTTAATCCCCTTTACTTGACCCCAGTTTTTCGAAATTTGTGACTATGAAAGCAAGCCTGAAATATTATTTAGACCAGGTGGCTTGTTTCTATTTCCTTGTTTGAGATGGTAGGATTTGTCGGAAACAAATTAAATCCAGTTGAAATAATGTACATTGTATCATAATTTTTCATGAAACAACTGACACATGTTTTTTGTGCAGGATCATAGTTTGTGATATTGGGGATTGTTTTCAAATGGTGAGCCTATGGAATCACCCACTCATCCGAATCATGGTCCATCCATCTTTCAACAATTACCAGACAAATGAAGACCGCCATTCATCTGGACTAATGCTCATATTCATTTTATGGGAAAACAATTCATTCAAAGATGAATAATATTTTGTCTCAATAAATTATTTTTATTTGACATTCGCTTCATATATTTATGAGTATATCTGCCAGCAGTTTTTATAGAAATTAAACAGTTACAATATTGTCATCTAGGTCAACTTTTCCTGTCCGACTATTTTTATATAGACATACCACTTCAGGTTAATTTGAATTATCAGGGATACTTCTTGTCGTGAATATCTAAAACTGACTAGTTCTTGGGTATCTGAGTAAATGTTCATTGTGCCATGTTAATGATTTGCTTGTAACTCTCTATGCTACCTCACTCTCTCTTCTATTACCATAGTTAATGTATTATATTATACATTCACATCTTTTATATGAGTCTTTGAGCAACTTTGTTAAATGATAATACTGAATTAAATACCTTTTAAATACTCTGGAAAAACATTTTTGACAATTAATTTCTTATTGACTTTCCCCATAGCATTCTTTGGTATATCGTCCATGACTTTCACAATGGATGGAATTTGATATGATGGTAAAATGTCCGCAGCCCACTTTTTTAGAGTTTGTTGATTTATGTGTGTGCTGCCATCTTTCTGTATAATTATAGCTGCGACACGTTGGCCCCATGTCATATCTGGAAGCCCAACCACGACACAGTCTTTAATGTCTGGGTGTGTCAATAGATGGCGCTCAATGTCAAGTGCACTTATTTTGTATCCGCCACTTTTGATGATGTCAACTGAAGTCCTACCAAGAATACTATAAGCGCCAGCTTTATACATTGCTGTGTCACCTGAAACAATTTATAGGTGAACTTCATGGGGACATTTTTACAAGAGAATAGTCAATATTCTAAATCAATGCAAAAAATTACTATAAGTAAATTTAGTAAGAAATTGCAGAAAAGGTTATGAGAAGACAATCATAATCGGGTTGTCATTAACAGAAATTTCATAAAGTTGAGAATTTCTAAATCAATTGTAACCATGGATATAGTGACATCATAATATAAGAAAACAATGGATATTATGAATTCTTAACTTTACAATACACAATTAATGACCCCGGCTAAATAACTTAGAACTTTTCCCATATAGACCAGGACGTTCTCTGATACTCTAGGTCTGCCTACCAGTTTTGAACCAGCCATCTTTTGAGAAGGTAGACTTTGTCGCTGTGGGATTGTTAAGATATTCCATAAAGACATTTGGTCCTTTAACATACAGTTCACCTGACTCATTCTCCATTCCTTTAAATACAGTAGAAACAACTAAGAATACAAATGTATATATTTTATATATATATATTTTTTAATAAATACTCATTTATTTCTTTAAATCATTAAATAAATTTACATTGTTAATCACGGCGTAATCGCCCATAAAGGGCATTTCTACTACTATATTTTATATAGAATGAGGTCTGTTTCATGGAGTTGTCATTTATTTATCATTACATCCTTCTTTTAGAATTTTCCCCTTCTCAATACTACTTGGTATGTACTGTAACGCCTTTAGAATATGACAAAAAATTAAACTTGTGTCACCCCAAAATTTGGTTAAACATACAATTAACATAGAATGATGCCCCATTAAATACGATTACAGGCTCAACTTATTACAGTTCATTAGGGAACAACATATTATTTGAACACGGCACAGTTCCACCATTTTGGCAAATGTGATTGGGTAAATTGTTAAGAAAGATTGGTAATGTATTTGTTACACTAAATGCTTTTTTGAAGTTCATGAACAAGAGTCTCCGTTTGACAACTAAGCGACAAAATAAAAAAGAATGAATAATACCTGGTTTAACACTGGTTGCTATGTGGTTCCCTTGACAACTAAGTGTATAAAATAACAAAGAATAAAAAGTACCTGGTTTAACACTGGTTGCTATGTGGTTCCCTTGACAACTAAGTGTATAAAATAACAAAGAATAAAAAGTACCTGGTTTAACACTGGTTGCTATGTGGTTACCCTGAGCGATGACATCATAACCGTTTGGATTGTAAACATTGTCTTTGGCAATACAGACCTCTACAGCTGGGAATGGCTTCCCTACAGACCCTGCAACAAAAAGTAACAACCCAATGAGATGTCAAGAGACATTTTTCAAATTCAAACACATAAATGATCAATGTTATGAATATAGGGACAAAAATTCATGGAATTTGTTGAGGGTTAATGTAGTAGACTACTTACCTGGTATCCGTCTGCTATTTAAAGGGTTTGTAAGTGCCATTCCAATTTCTGACATACCATAACGTTCAAGTAACATGTGACCTGTGATGTCCTTCCACCTCTCCATGATTGGTTGAGGAAGAGCGGCAGATCCACTCACCATGAGTCTAAATGTTAACAATTGTACATGTTGAAATTTGGGTTGGAGACATGTATGCAAAGTAGAGTAAATTACTTAAGTAATTCAATATGAGGCTATACTATATACATTTAAAGCCCCAATATGCTTATATTACTTCAGAAGAAAAAATGATAAAATAATCATTGAAACATGTTACTCACACACTCAATCAAATATGATACAAAGATTGATTTGCATTAATTTTGAACCTAGAAAAAAATAATGCACATAGAAAAAAGCATTTGAAGTTCAGAGATCTATATTGGTAGTGCACGCTCATGTTCGACAAAATGCATGTTTTAAATAACTCTTCACTTAAAAGATGGCGACACTTCTATAGAAATGAATGGATCTGTGAAACAAAAAACTTTGCCATCTTTCATTGACATTGGCAAAATCTTGATATATAAAATAGATCGAAGATGTTTTTTGATAATTTATAATCAGCATTGTTGTGGCCCGTTTGAGCTGTTTTTGATGTCCATTAAAAGATAAATAATTATTAATCTATTGGAAATACTTTGCAGTCAAAAATTAAATCTTTATTATGACAAAGAATGTTGTAATGCCTTTAAATATAAACACAAGAAAATAAAAATTGAAGAATATTGTAAATACACATAGTATGCCTTTAAATATAAACACAAGAAAATAAAAATTGTATTTGAAACAAACCGAAAATATAAAAACATTCTTTGGAACAAAGTTCCATTTGGACCAACAATTTTGATACAGACTTCACCATAAAGTTTCATTAAGTGTCCGATGATTCAGAGTAAGAGACTGATCCAATCCCTTTTATACCTGTAGGAAAATAATTATCAACAAATAAGTATCATTACCTTATTCTATTGAGACAGGCAGATTTGACATATTCTTTGTTCAGATTGCTTGATTTGGCAAGTTTTTCATACTCATCAATCAGCAACTTGTAAATTGTTGGTACAGCCATGAAAAGGTTAATCCTAACTTGGTTCCCAGCAGTTATAGGGTTAACCAATTTTTCCCAGACCTTTAAGATATAGAAATATGCAAACAATCATTTATGTGTGTGTATTTGCATCATTTTGAGTTCATGCAAAGTATTATACAATAGACATATGATCGAGGATCTACACACGACATGTAGTTCCAACTGTCTGGTACAGCCTACTCTATTTATTGGGTAGTTAGACTAAACAAATATTTCATTAGGTGTTAAAAAATTAATCTAGTGATCATTTAAAGGTGAGAACTAGAGTAATCCAAAATTATATACAGGTAAGTGAATCTAACAGATTGTCTCCATTTAACTTTTATATCAAATACCAAAACTGGAATGAAAACACTCACTAGTTTAGCATTGAAGTCTGGTAGCATAACACAGGTGGCGCCACAAGACAGGGGTGTCATAAGAGCATTCACAACGCCATGTATATGATGTAGAGGTAGCACATGGAGAATGACATCAGCGCTTGTCCATCCCCATGCTTCTATCATTCCTTCAATGTTTGTGTTAAGATTGCCATAGCTTAGCACCACACCCTAGGCAATATATAGTACTATTTGAGATGGCTAAAAACTAATTGTTAAAATCAGAATTTGGTTCTTTTTCATTTTTAAAACACAGGATCCAATCCTATCCTAAGAGGGCTGATGTGAAAAATCTTGAAACCACATATGGAAAATGACAGGTATTTCCCTTCAATATTCCAACTCTAGACAATGGTGATATTATGGCACCCAAGCTCAACATTAAGAATGATAGTAAAGTAAAAAAAGGAACAATGTTAAGAGTGTAATTCTGATGGAAAGTGGTTAATCAAAGGAGACCACCACAATAACATTGGCACAATGAATTCTGAGCATCATGTAAAATATCATCTTCTAGCCCTTTACAATCATCAATGTACAGAAAGAGAATACTGCATAATAAGCTCATTTACAGGCAATACCTACCTTAGGTCGCCCTGTTGTCCCACTGGTATAAATAATCATTGCACGTCTGTTCCTATAACCCCCTGGTGTATGTTCAGCTATGATGTGGAATTTATTCCGCAAATCTCGATAAAGATATAATCCATTTTCTGTTTCCTTTTCACTCAAGTAATCACTCTCCTTCAATGTCAATTTCTTTACATTTAACTTTGTGGTGATTGGATAAAGCTTTTCTGCGAGGGATTCAGTTGCTATAACAACAGCGCTTTCTGAATTTTCAATGAAATATTCCATTTCGGAGGATGGGTGGTTCTTATATAATGGAACGGCCACCCCACCTGCCATCCAAGTGGCCCACTGACACACCAAATAAGACACATCATTAGGACACAAAAATGAAACAGTTTTCTCCTCAAGGTCTTTCTCACCAACTATGTCAAGTATTTTTTGAGATAACTGGACAGATCGGCCCAGCAAGTCCTTATACAGATGGTTGCCATGGCAATCAATGAGAGCTGTTCTCTCCTGGTATTTGTCAGCTTTCAGAAAAACTGGATACGCTACAAAATAGAAAATGTTCCTTGATCAGACAATTGAACTACAAAACACTGTAGTTAGATTTATTTTTCAAGTAAAAATCTTGATCAATGAACTTTTTGCAAATATTGTCCAGCTCTAAACTGAGGAGATTTTAATATGATTTGTGTTCAAATTTAATATAGATTATATTTTACACAAACTGAAACAACAAGCTCTATATAATGTGACAAAATTAAACAAGGCATAACATGACAAAATCTCACCACCTGGTTGCTCACAATATCATGAGTTCAACCTTTGAATTTCTGAGGAGTAGTTGATTTTTAAAAAAATTGGTCAATTTGAAGCAAGTAGAAAAATGACCTTTTTTGACCCTGAGAAGGTCATTGAAGGTCAAATCTAAAGTCATCTTTGAACTTCTGAGAACGTGTAGATGATTTTGAAAGAAACATTTGTCAATTTGAAGCAAGATGAAAAAGACCTTTTGACCTTGAAAATGTCATTGAAGGTCAAATCTTTTTTGACCTTGAGAATGTCATTGAAAGTCAAATCTATAGTTAGATTTGAACAGTTGAGAACTTGAAGATGATTTTCAAAAAAATATTGGTCAATTTGAAGCAAGTTAAAAACAGAATTTTTTACCTAGAGAAGGTCATTGAAGGTCAAATTTCAAATCTTAAGTCAGATTTTAACTTTATAGTCAGACTTGAACTTCTGAAAACATTACAGATGATTTTGAAAAATTGAAGTCAGTCTAAACAGTATTTGTTATTGGAAGTTGTAAGAATTTGTTACAGACATTACAGATGCTAACCACCAACCACCAACTGCTGTCAAAAAAACAGAGATCATAAAAATATGTCACCACTTTTTGGTGGTGACATAAAAATACCTGGGCCCTTTAATTTGCTGAAAAAACGAAATCCCAGTGGTCTGATGCCTGCTTCCTTTAGGTTCCCATGGGTACTATTGCAACTAGATGGAGTCACTAGCTTCCTTTGTATGAATCTCACACTTAGCGCAAAGAACTTCATCTGATTATTCCTGAAACATATACATTTGTTATAATATCGACCTTCAGGGCCAGGCACTATATCAATTGGTGGCATTGGTAAATTCATGAATCGAATGTACAATTGAAGAAAAGTTTAGCACACATATGCAAATATCACTCCTCAATGGAATGGAAAGAGTGTTTATTGTGTTAACTGTTGTATAATCTATCTACATGTACATCTTGTAATTATCACAGAATGAGTGAGAGAGTCTTTATCATAAGACTGAGATTTCTAAAATAAAAAGTGTCAAAATTTGAGTCTCAATATTTGCACTATAAAGTCTCACATTATCAGTATTTCGCATAATAAATGTACCATACTATATGTTTGACAGGTTTATCAGCATTCTACATTAAATCAAACACTAATTATATAGATAACTTACATTTAGTTGAGTCAACTTTTCACCTGTTTTAACCGGAAGTGGGATTCAGTCTGACCTTCATCTTCCGGTTCAAGGTCAGCATTTAGAGACGTTGCAGAAAACTTGAAATTCATCAATAAAACTGCTGATTCTGAGCTAAATGCTTTGTGTAAAGTATAACTTTGTTTATCATCAATTACATACACTGTCAGTTTATTAGTTGCAATAAATCAGGACTATGAAATCTTTCAAAGTAGTCTATCTGTCAAAAAATAAACAAACATTGGGCCATCGCCATGTCATAATCTGAAAGGAGACAAAATCACCATAAATAAGTGACACCTGGATTTTATATCACCATTTCCAGACCACGGTGATTTGAGACTTCATACCTTCCAATAATGTCTAGATACACATCCCATAAGTTTTGCATATTTTTTCTTTTCACATGGGAAATCCTCACTTCAGCAAATCCAGGTGTCAAGTTGACAGGCCTAATTTATACATTTGAGATTTGTCCCTGCCATTCCGATAGTCTTGATTTATGTCACTAAAAAATTCAAAATTCTGTGATATCATATTTGAAATCTACATGTAAAATTACATCTAGAAATGTGGTTTTAAAAAAGTGTTTATCAACTTTGAAAAAAAATTGGTATCTTACATGTATGTGTTCATCCTGTGTATTTATTCTTTCCTTCATGTCTTTACAGGTCACTGATGACGTAACTTCTAAATCTTGGGAATAGTTGGTGAAAAGTGATTGTTAAAACTGTGAAACACGATGAGTTTCTGTAATGAATAAACAGATGACCCAAGTGACATACAGCTAAAGATATACCATCTTAACAGGAGACCCCATAGAAAGGAGATTAAATCAAGATGGGCCGCAAAGATGCCAGCGCTACACAATCCATGCCTGTGGATCAGTACAGAAAACAAATAGGTAAAATATAGTGCAATTAATACCTGCGAGATCAAAGTAGCCGAACCTTCTCATGGCAAAGGTATAAATTACTCTGCCTAGGCTTAGACTGTCAGAGATATAGGGAGTAGATAACTTTGTCAGAGAGATTTAACCAGAATCAAAGTGGCAAAGTACATATGAAAGTGTAGCCTTGCAAATAATTGACCTATCATTCAAATTGACTCATATTGACTAGTATTCAAATTTAGAACTAGGTCAATGTCACCAGAAAGCATAGTTTGAATTGATTTTATTTATCATCCCCCAATGCCTGTGAAAGCAGAAAGCATCCTCAATTTACTAGATATCAGACATTTCCTTTCATTCCAGGGAAACAACAAGCAAAAAAAGATCGCAAAGAGCTTAAGTCATCTAAACAGAAGTCAGATGCCCAGAAATCTGCAATGGGAGTTAAGGTAACACATATTCAAATATTTTTCAAACATGTTATATTGTAAGTTGTATTTAATCTGAGTGGTATTTGCCGAATTGTAAAATTTTATCATTTTCCTAATTTTCATTTTCCTAATGACAAGAAACTACCCATTGGATAACATAAATATCCAACATTTAATTTTCAGAACCTGACAAAAATTAGGCAGAAGGCAAATAGAATGATTAGGCAAAATTACCACTTACCATTATTGTGTTACTTACATGAAACATATTTTTAAGTGAATAGGCATGACCAGTGTGACCTTTCTACAGTGTATATGTACTGTATATAATACAGTGTAATATTTTCTAATTTCAGGATGTGATACTTATACTCGTGGCTTTCCTGTCCCTGGTTGTCGCCATTTATTTCTTCCTCTACATGTACCTTTCCCCCCAAGGCAATTCTCCTCACCCCAAAGGCAGCTGACTTCCAAAGTCTAGACATACAACATTAAATCAAGAATATGCAACTCAAAAGTGCCACTTCAGCGTTTGACTTGTTTGTACTTATACCAAATGGAAATCTACTCAGGATATTAGATTCTTGCTAATTGTGTATTCAAGGAAAAAAGAAAAAGGAAACAGGCAGAAACAACATATGTAGCTAGTCACGAACTTGTGAACCAGTAACTAGCTAGGAACTTGCAAGTCCAGGACTAGTTACTCAAGAGGTTGTTAGGTTATGGACTCAGAATGACTTGGAATGGGAACCAACATAGATATAACCACAAATACTGTAATTGATTTAATTTGACGCCTACCATTTGGCGATTCATCAATTTAAATTTGAATTCGTGTCAACTTACTCAAGTTGTATAGTATTTACTATTCGATATATATTTACTGAAAACCTCAAAGTAAATACCTGTCCAATGTATGGAAAATGGCAAATTTGCCAAATTAAACCAATTAACAGTAAAATGCTTATTGTTGGTGAAGGTTTATTGACTTAAGAAGGGATGTCATGTGTGATATTAGTCTAGTTTTATGACATCCCCATGTCACTTTTGAATAACTGAGCCTGTAGTGATTGCTATATGATAGTAACAAGGGGGCAAATAAATGATGAATGTTTATTTATACAATTTATTTTTGGATAGCAATAATAGATATGATTGTTAATATTGATTCTCCGATTTCCAAATTTAAAATACTAAAAATCATGGTTGACATGGTAACAGTTTTCTCATAAAAAGGGACCAATTACACTAATGTTGCTATGCAAATAGAATATATACTTATAGAGGATTATTCTAGACATTGGAGACTCGGATGAATATAAAGTAGGTCTACTCACAGACATATAAAACCGTATTTATATGTCTCTGGTCTACTGATCTCAAAAGCTTTGGGTGATAGAACATTCATAAAATAAATGGCAGTGTAGTCAAAACATATGAACTATGCTAGCCAACTTTATAAGCTTTTATTGGCCTAAAGCCCATGGTACATCTGCACTCTCAGAGATGAGACTAGTTAAAAACTGTTAGTGTATAATTTTGTATAGATGTCACCCCAGAATAACATGTAGAAAATGGGAATATGGGAAAATGAAGTTCAGTCCCAGTAGTTCAGTTCAGTGGTAAGTGATGACATATTATTATATGATGCCTTGTTAAAGTTATTGTTACACTAAGTTACCGTTACGGGTTAACCCAACTAATTGTTATAACATGCGTATTCCCATACAAACGATCTGTCTTCAAGAGAAAACTAAGATTTGTGGACATGTTTTGCTATCATTGCATCATACCCCAGTATGTCCTCTGTCAGTCAAAAAAGTTTGAATCAAAACTACCCACGAAAATCAAAAGATCTCACCTGTTGAAGACGCCATCTATAGAAAATGTCAAAAAATGTCATTCTGATTTTGACAGATGGAGGCAGGTCAAAAAGGTCAAATTTTTTAAAGAAAATGCACCTTAATCACATCAAATCATGTCTCAGAGTTGGTCCACACATACACTTTTTCATTCATGTACTTACCAAAATCCAACCACTGGTGATGCTAATGTAATTACAATAATTGGACTATATTTTTGTTTTTATAATGCCATCTATTCATCTTCCCACTCGGCGGAAGGATCTAATGGTTGTGTGTCTCCTAATAGGGTTAACCCAACTAATTGTTATAACATGCGTATTCCCATACAAACGATCTGTCTTCAAGAGAAAACTAAGATTTGTGGACATGTTTTGCTATCATTGCATCATACCCCAGTATGTCCTCTGTCAGTCAAAAAAGTTTGAATCAAAACTCCCCACGAAAATCAAAAGATCTCACCTGTTGAAGACGCCATCTATAGAAAATGTCAAAAAATGTCATTCTGATTTTGACAGATGGAGGCAGGTCAAAAAGGTCAAATTTTTTAAAGAAAATGCACCTTAATCACATCAAATCATGTCTCAGAGTTGGTCCACACATACACTTTTTCATTCATGTACTTACCAAAATCCAACCACTGGTGATGCTAATGTAATTACAATAATTGGACTATATTTTTGTTTTTATAATGCCATCTATTCGTCTTCCCGCCGATCTAATGGTTGTGTGTCTCCTACACTAAGAAATTGCCAGATTTTTGACATCACAAACAATTATTGCCAAAGTAAATATGGCTAAATCAGGGATTTTAATAGGATGTGGCTTTCTTTTAACAAAAAGAAAATCATAAATGACCCTCTTCTTTTTTAGAGGATGGGGTGTACCATTACAGAAAGTCTATTAAGATAGTGATGGTAGTGTGGGAATGCAGATAATTATAATCAGTTTATCTTTACTGTAATCCTAGCTGTAATGTATAATTACAACATCCCGTACATACCATGTTATCTATTGTATATGAGACATTTGAAACTGTGATAGCAAGAGAAACCTAAAATTTTGAAACTTAATGAAATAGTACAGGTATTGATTACAGGATGTATTAATATGGCATATTTTCTGGGACTCACCATGTTACCAAGCCAACCTATCTGCAAAAGGACACACTTTGAATCCAGAGATTCTGCATGTGTGCTTCAATAACATGAAAAAGTTTGAAAACAAAATATCTCCTATGAGAAAGCAGGACATTGCAGACACAAGGTGGCTTGGTTACACATTGAAACCCAGTTATATTATGTTTTGCCTGTCATGTTGAGCAGACAAAAAGTGCAAAGGGCAGCATTTAAAATGAAATTAACAAGACTTTGGTCTTGGATTTTACAAATAAATATTTTAAATATAAGAAAAATGTTATTGTTTTTGGTCATCTAGTAGTGACATGAAAGTTATATATGTGGGGTCCCAAAAGTAACAGGACTGTTTCTGGCATTTTGCACCGATTATATTCCAATTTTTGCATCATTTACATTCATGTTTGAAAATATTTTTTGAAGCGCTGTAGTTTATGGGGCCACATAGGGAATGGGAAAACATGAATGAACATACCACGCATTTCAGTTTTAAACTAAATGTATTTATTTCCAAAGAATATAAAATCATAATACATGATATAGTTTTATAGAACAGTACAAAATCTACATTTTATAATATGTTGTAAGCTTTAGTAAATGTTTCAATGAAAATCAAAATTTATATATCATTTTAAACAAAATCTGAATTGTTTTAAAAACATATAATATTTACAATAACTTGTGATGACTGATGACTGCAGTAATTTGTTTTAACATTAGACTGGAAACAATGATTTTTTGTTCTTCACAAACACCTCTTAAATGCATTATCACCTTTTCAAATGTCTGTCTCAATATTATGATGTCACAAATCACAATAGAGGAACAGTTAGTGTATAAAATCTATGAATCCTGAGAATATTTTTCTCCGTTTTTGCATTGTTAGGGGAGGCATCAAAAGTTCAATGTCTGATAGGAAACTAAATAAATCTAGTTTTGAGTTGGACCCCCCCCCCCCTCCCCCTCAAAACTAAATACAATGAAAGTTGATTGCGGACTTCACATGTTTTAGCGACTCAATTTGGACTTTCATGGGGGCAGTACTATAACTTATTCATGATTCTTAAACATGTGCCAACAACAATAGGCATGATATTCCATGTTGCATGCATCTTGGTGAAGAAGGCATCTAGTAAAGTCTTCATTTTTAAACCATTCCAAGGCATTTCGACTCGAAATTGCAAAAAATTTAAATGTTGAAATTTGTCGGATAGCAAACTGAAATGGCTTTGACCCCCTCCCCCCCAAACTAGATTTATTTAGTTTTCTATCAGACATTGATCTTTTGATGCCTCCCCTTAGTCATGTAATATTGAATCAACCAAAAAGAGCCAAGATGCATAGTTAAATCTTAAAAGTGAATGTTATCTCTCGTGTATATCCAAAAGCATAAGTATTCCGATGCATTCAAAAATGTAACAGTTGGAGCTTGCAAGTTGCAACACAGCCAATTTAATTCGGTGCCGTTTCGCCATCAAAAAAAGTTGGCACTGTTCCGTCACCGTTCCTGCACCAAAACCTTTCGACACCAAAATTTGGTACCGGACTAGTCAGTCCATTTGGTGCCGAAATGGCACCGAAATTTGGCACCAAAACGGCGTCGAAAATCAGATTGCATTTTGGGGTTGTATGTACTCCATGCATATTCTAAAACAGTACCAATTACATGTACATTTTATTTACAATGCGAGTGACTAAAACAATATGGACAATAACTCTCTTTGGTTTATTACTCTGTGCACTAATAACAGTAAACTAAATATGCACAAAGCTATCTGGTTATGAGACTCACTGGTTGTCTGGTTGTTACTTATAAATGCATTGAAATGTACATGGTTTATTTTGATACACAAAATGCACATTTGGCATTTTCTAATAATTTCACTGTCCATTTTAAATGTGATGTTTAAAAAATGAAAACAAAAAGGTGAGACCTGTGATGTAGTAAATCTGTGAATGATATCCCATAGAACTCCATTTCTGAGGTATAATATTTAGTTTGACAATGAAAATCCATTTATCCTGAGTGAATTAATTTGACATTCAGTGCTTACTGGTAAAATTAGAGATTGATAAAACTTATTCATACCTAGATGTATATACATGGATATGTAGATGTCTTTACATTTTATCCAATATCTTGTGTTTGGGATGGTAGAGGACACAATGTTATTTTGTCAATCCCTTTATCTCTGAATTTACCTTTATGATCTCTCACACTGTGCTTGTAGTGCAGGCCCATAGCCAGAATTTGCCAAGGGGGTCATTCCAGGGGAGGGGGTCACTTTTGACAATTTTGGTCCAAAAATGGCCAAAATCACTTAAAAAGTGCTCAGAATGGTAAAAAACTGCATGATTTTGAAAGAATTTTTGGCCAGGGGGGGGGGCTTGAACCAATCTAACCCACCTGGCTACGGGCCTGTACAGTGTATTGTATCGCAGCTGCAATCTGATTTCAATTTAATGGAAGAATGTGGGATGAACAATGTATGACACAAAAATATGAAGTCCATTCTCTAAATTGTAAATAATATTAAACTATATAGTAAAGTCCGCAAATCCACATGCCACATTAACTTCCTCTTGATCGAGTAACCAAACCTTGGCCTGATAACGTCCCTACAAGAATAAATATGACAATAAGTTAAACACAAGGCTTTACATGCAAAATGTCACCCCCTGGTATCATTTTCAGATGCCAAACAATGACCACCAAACACCAACCACAGAACACAAATCGCCAAACACCATCTCCAAAATTTGGAGACTTGTGGTAATGACATACAAATTGAAAAATATACCAATACATGTATTGTGCCCCTATATGATCCAATCAGTCACATGTACACTTAATTTCACTTGTATTTTAAGTAAGGGTCAAATGTTATACTTATTACCCGAGCATTTATTAAACATTAAAAAATTCAGGAATATTGTATTTAAGAATATAGCACATGGTATGGACTTACCTTAGGTAAATAATTAGGTATTTTCATTTGTTTCACATAATGTTTTTCATTTGATTTAATAGGACAAAATACTATTCGTTCTTCTTCATCTTCATCTATTGTGCAAAGTTCCCATTTATTATTGTAAAGATTCTTGTTGTTGTATTTTACATCTATCAGTACCTCTCCATCATCTATCACATGATCTGAAAGTAACATGAATTTAGGATTAAGACAATAGTACATATAGGTGAATATCTCATGTCATGTGATCTTGATTCGACAAATCATAAATAAGCAAACTCTATAGTGGTGTAATAATACAGGATATTTGAGAATCACACACATTTGTTTGACAGGTGCAAAGAAGCTATAACACTCATCCCATGTTTCATTGACACATATAATCAACACCAACAATTGTTTAATTATAAGACTCATCCCATGTTTCATTGACACATATAATCAACACCAACAATTGTTTAACTAAAACGCTCATCCCATGTGTCATTGACACATATAATCAACACCAACATTTGTTTAACTAAAACGCTCACCCCATGTGTCATTGACACATATAATCAACACCAACAATTGTTTAACTAAAACGCTCACCCCATGTGTCATTGACACATATTATCAACACCAACAATTGTTTAACTAAAACGCTCACCCCATGTGTCATTGACACATATAATCAACACCAACAATTGTTTAACTAAAACGCTCACCCCATGTGTCATTGACACATATAATCAACACCAACAATTGTTTAACTAAAACGCTCACCCCATGTGTCATTGACACATATAATCAACACCAACAATTGTTTAACTAAAACGCTCACCCCATGTGTCATTGACACATATAATCAACACCAACAATTGTTTAACTAAAACGCTCACCCCATGTGTCATTGACACATATAATCAACACCAACAATTGTTTAACTATAACACTCACCCCATGTTTCATTGACACATATAATCAACTCCATCAATTGTTTAACTATAACACTCACCCCATGTTTCATTGACACATATAATCAACTCCAACAATTGTTTAACTAAAACGCTCACCCCATGTGTCATTGACACATATAATCAACACCAACAATTGTTTAACTAAAACGCTCACCCCATGTGTCATTGACACATATAATCAACACCAACAATTGTTTAACTAAAACACTCACCCCATGTGTCATTGACACATATAATCAACACCAACAATTGTTTAACTAAAACGCTCACCCCATGTGTCATTGACACATATAATCAACACCAACAATTGTTTAACTAAAACGCTCACCCCATGTGTCATTGACACAAACAACACCAATACATGCAATAATTGTTTAATTATAAGACTCACCCAATGTGTGATTGACATAGATAATCAACCCTAAGGATTGTTCAACTATAACACTCACCCCATGTGTGATTGACATATGTGACAGAGGCCACTCCTCCTTTCACTTTATCTTGTATTAATATTACTCTCCCGATGGTAACTCTGTCATCTCCCTCTGAAAACACATTATAAATTCATATAAAATATAATATTTGAAGTACAGCTAGGAGAGGGGATCCTTGGATAATGGCAGTTTTAGGATTGTCTGACGGTGAGGGAAAGGGAACCATCAAAATTAAGGGTTTCTATGAACGTCTGATTATCGGTTGGAGTTTTGTTTTATTGTACCATTTCTTTTTTCCAATGATTCGTTTTTCTCTAGCCGTTGTGCTAACATATTTATATATTACATCCTGTTGGACATTAAATGCAGCAAGATATTTGTCCAAATAAGGAGTTTGACCATCTGAAACACCGTGAACTATCGTAAATTTTTTAGCCAGGGTTCAATGAATTTAAAAACTACCATGTTAATATTTCATGAATTGAAATGGTAACGGATTGTCTTGTTGTTGAGATATTGAACGTTTTCATTTAAAATAGAAGTCGTCCCGTTTTTGTCTGGTAAGTTATGACCATTTGGAATTCGAAGATGATCACATGTACTGGAGCTAGTTTTTCCTCCATTCCCCGGGCTCCATTCTCCGTTGTGAGCGATATCATTGACAATATCATAAGTGTAATGCATGTTTGGATATGAAAGTTGATCCACTTAATAACGAGATTTACCATATCACAGTTGATACAATTCTTTATGCTAGCCTACAATATACCCAAATTATAAAACCGAATTATAACAATTTTAGTTATTTTGAATGCATATCTGAGACGGCATTATTACATAATTTGGAGAGGTTAATGTCTGTTTTCAGTTTCTTTGACCAATTCGCGTGTTTCCTTTCAAATTTATTTTGCACTTGGCGACGACCATATCATATTTATAGATGGACAAATAATCACTAATATCCCAGATGCGAGTAGAAATAATCTTGATTTCCGTCATTAAAAATTCCCGATTCAGTCAAACTGATATCATATTTGGAATCTACATGTAAAATTACATTTAGAAATGTGGTTTTGAAAAGAGATTATGAACTTTGAAAATTTAATTTTCTTTGAAAATGTGACTTCTAGGTCGGGGAGATTCCCCATAGAGCCCATGTTGTAAAACCACAAAAAGTGAAATATCTTTTCTTGTGTTGGGCAGATAATATTTTCTTTTACTGGACATATTTTAATTTGTATAACTATCAGATACATAAAGGTAATATGAAAAGTGAACCATTAAAACTGATGCATATTCAAGTTTAAGCGAATTTTGTAATACCCTGCCATGTTAATTCCCCCGAACCAGCCACCTGGTGGCGAAACTGGTAACTACCTACTCGCATCTGAGTAACTGTGCACGAAGTACAATTTACAATGCCGTTTGTCTCTAAGTATCAGTGCATTACTGGAGACACGTGCATCATGTTGGCAGCCACATGATCTTTGAGTGACAAAAATATGGTACAGTAGAACAACTTTGATAAATGTGTGACAAGTGTTAGTCTAGGGCTTAGTCAAGGCTAGGACATGTAACATTTAACTGTCTTTTGATTAATGTGAGTTTTGGGTTTTAGTATACTAAATGATATACAGTAGAAGACGTTTGATATTTTGCTTCTCTATCTTTTTATAAACTTCTCAATCGAGTTACACATTATGCAAGTTTAAAGACCCCATGTAAAGTAAATATTATTTGAGCATTGAAACATTATTTGTTTTGAATCAATGATTTAGAATTTTTTTTCGTAAAGGTCAGAATTTGAAAAAGGTTTGGTCTTTGTTTTTAAACATTTGAAAAAAATTTGCGTAAATCTTGTGTATATTGAACATTTTTTTCCCCAGAAAAAGGTGCGTAAAAATAATCCTTTATTAATTGTGAAATACATTATTTTGTCAATACCACAGCAAAGATTGAGTAAATGCCGTTTCAATCATTCAATTTATTTTTTCGTATATATTGCATTTTAATGCGATATCATGATGTCAAAAGCGTTGCACAATTTATTTAAAGGCCCCATGTAAAGTTTAAACCACTCTGGCTTATATTATAGTCCTAACTAATGTTATCAGAATGTGCTATGTGAAAACTTTCAATACATGTGTGTCAATAGTTGATTTTGAAGAACTTTTATTAAGAAATTGTTAATTTATTTCAAACACAATTTTAGTTGTAACGCACGAATCCTTGATAAGCAATGATTTTAATACTAACGCATAACATACATCCTACCCTACTAGTATTTTGTATTGAAAAATTAAGAAAATTGGTTGAAAATGAAGAAATTAACTCATTGGTTCAGAGAAAAAGCATTTAAAGTTCGAATTCTCATTAAATCCAAGGGTAAATATATGTTTAGAACATGATAAAACATAAATACAACCAAGATAGGACCACAATATTGCCCGATCTATGAAATGGATTAGAGAAAATAATGTGTTTTACTGTGTTAAGTGTCGTAGCCTACTTGGGAAAGTTGTATGATGAATAACCTTTTTTCAAAAGTCATATTTTTCAAATGTGGCACATACACTCATGAATACAAGATGGAGTATTCAGTCTCAAATTATGTTACTTATCGTTTATCAGAGGAATTTGAAAGATACATCGTATGTCCTTAACCTCTTAATCATTTCAGTCCAGCCAATCAGACTAAGGAATTGAGGCACTCCCACCTTTTAACCAAATATGGTATTGGAACACGCCATCCTTGTAGAATAATATCAAGAAGAGATTAACTTAATATATTTATAGAAATGTTCAATTTTTAACATTGTTATTTGGCACACTCTTGTGTTTTATCAATAATTAAGGTGATTCTAATTATCTATATGGGATAGTTGAAGGTTTCTCAAGTCCTACTATGTCACAATTATAATGAATATCTGACCATGTACTAAATAGAATTGGATTTCAAGAGCCGGGTGATAAAAATGTCATTGCGCCTAAAGATAAAAAAGTGTACTTATGTAGCCTCCTTATGAACCTTATACATGTCAAGCTGCTTGTCTTAATTTGTCTTATGGGATTATGTCCAAATTGGGACATGTGTTTGGCAAGTACGACGGGTGATCCAAAAGTCTTGGACGCCCTGCTCTAATTTTGTTGGTTTTTGATAAATTACTTTAAACTTTCCAATAATAAAGACCAACGACCTAACTATTTTGTTTATTAATTTCATGGAGAAATGATATATTTTATGTAGTTTTCTAGATAGTTTTTAATATAGGGACCCTGCCACCCGGAACGGTATTCGCACATGGCAACTTTCAGCCTTAAATGTTGCCGCCATTTCACCTGTTTCGCAAGTCTTGACCACTATCTTTCTTTGAATTTTGAATGTCTTTATTAAGTTTTGATTGTCAATATCGCTGGTTTTCCCGACATTTTTAACAGTTGTGGGTTGACAGGTATGTATTCTGTAGATGCACTTTAGTTAAACTTTAATTGCACTTTCTAAACCCTAAACCAAACTGCCAAATGGGAAATATGAGACAATACGCTGTGCTTTGCAATATAAATCATCAACAATCTGTATTGTTTCAAAAGGTTACACACTATGAGTCCTAGGAGAAGGGTGAAATCACTTAAACACACCAAACCAGAGATAGGAACATTCGGATACGATTTCACCAAATATGCAACCCATTGTTTCTTTGGAATGAGTGCGAACGTCCTGATGCACTAATGAAGCACTTGAATAAAGAATACGATGCTTGGATACAAGCGTTGATAAATAGTATTAGGGAGTTTAAGCTTCCATATAAAATCGAAACGCCTATCCAATTGTCCATACAAACGTATTTTTAAATATTATCCGTTCACGTTTAGGTTGACTAAAAACATTGCAAGCTTAAACTCCCTATTAAATGAATTATTAACGTTTTTGGTCAATAGAGCAAGCCAACATAAACACACATATACGATGCTAAAGAATGAAACATCACAGGGACGGCATGTCATACAAGGCGATAACAGATAACACATGGCAGTAAATTGCTTTGTCGGGTCAATACAAGTAAATAAATCAAATGTAATAAATCAGAAATACTTCAAAAAGAGATTCCAAAACAAAACTCATATTATATCATTCTAAATCCGTTGATACCAACAAGTGAAGACTGTTAGAAAATATCGCATTTACATGTCATGAATCTAAGCAATCTGATCATTGCTACTATGCAATAGCATCATGGAACCATATCAAAATACCAGTACACAAAAACCTGTTAAAAAATCGTTCAGAACGTGCCAAATAAGCCAAAAATTCAAAATTTTAAAAAATAAAACACATACACTGTATTTTGATCCTAGAACTGCTCAGAGCGCGTAACATCAGCCCAAAAATTCTAAATTTTCCGGGGGAGCACTTCCCCAGACCCCCTAGTTTTACTAGGCCTGGCCTACGGCCTCGCATACTAGTACTACTAATCCTGGCTACGACTCTAACAAGCTATTATTTTACAAGCTATAATTTGGCTCGAGTTTTAAGCATGATGAAAAATTCATGCCCCCCCCCCTCTTACCAAAAGTTGGCTACGGGCATGCAGTAACGATTTTAAAATTATTTTTAAAGATTTTATGGAAAAGCTGAAAGATTTAAAACAATTAATACATTTATGATGTCATTATCCTCCGCAAGAACACTCGACAGATATACCAAAATATATTATACTCTATTATGAGTGTATACTGGGTGAGAGCCAAGTTCCTTATGACTTGTTTACGGGAGTACACTTTTTGATCATGTACTTTTCAGACTGAAATTATCTAGTTATTATTTGATAGATTGACTCTTTGAATTCTGTCTGCATTAATAGTATGTCGTAATTCTACACTTTTATTTTTATTTTCAGATCATGTTAGATGGAGTACATTCATTAATGGAAATGCGTTATAAACTTTTATTACTTTCATACCTGAGACTGTGACTTTTACTTAATGTGACAAAGAAATCCTGGGGTCAACCTGGTCACTTAAATAGTATATATGTACCCTGCGTGCAGAGTCTAGTTAAACTACAAGACGAAGCTCTCTTTTAAGAAGTGAAGTCAAACGAATGCAAAGGGTAGTATATGGTACATTTCAAGTACTTACATTTTATTCGCCCATTTAAAACTCTTTAAAAAGATTGCCCCCTGTTCAATGAAAGCATTATTTAACTAACAAACAATCAATAATATACATATATGATATTCTTATTCCTGACATTTCAAACCCTTGGACAATAAGTGTCAATTTTATGACCCACTCGTTTATTTACTATAGAGAGCATATAGAATATTCCACATAACCCAAGAGTTTATTGGACATATCATTTACTCTTTTATATCTTATTCCTATCTTTGGCACTTTAAATATCATATCTTCTGTAACTAATTTGAATGTGGTTTAAAAATTAGGCTCTGTCATATTTTTGTAATTAATAAATCAAAAATAGAGCAAGGACGGTTGTTTACTTATCTCTAAGCGAACAGCTGATTTTGAAGGTTTCTAGCACCCTTACCACTTTACTTGTTTAGAAGCCACAAACAAAGTACAGACGTACTGAACTTTAATGCTATAAACAGATAATAAATATGTAAACGCAAGTGCCAAGAGTAGTTATTAGATTGTGATTATGGTACAAAATAGGGGGGGGGGTAATAGACATTGTCTCTTTGGGCCTAAGATTATGATTTGAGATATTGGGGGTTTTCTTTGGCTTATGACTGGTTACGGTCTTAATGGTTTTTGTGTGTTTTGTAATCATTTTTTGGTATTTCCCCTTTTTAGCACAGTGTTCTTGTATATATGTAACATACAATATTCATGACTACCCTGGAATATTAATTAGTATCAAAGATTCAAGTTCATCTTAAAACATCAAAATATGTATACATTTTGAATATGATCAAAAGTCAAAAGGTACAAATAAAACAATAGATGATATACATCAAGCAACATATATCAGACATCATTGGAACTTTAATTTCAGTTAAAGGCTGAGGTCTAGGAACATGCCATGAAATGAATGTTTTAAGTTGTTTTTTTTCAAATTTGATATCATGTTAATCATTTGATAATGGTACATAGACGAGATATACAACATGTACAACATGACACTAATAGATTGTTCCCTAACTAAAATATGGCTTTATTCTAATGTAATACTATTCCAAGTCTCAGGTTATATGTACCATAGTGTACCCAGTTCAATATCTTATCGGAGCACAAAGGGCAACATTCACAATGCTACCATTAAGAGTGATATGTATAATATGCTTGTGGGGATATTTTAGCGATGCCAAATTTTGATATTCAACATAATTGTTTAGTAAATATTCTGAAATTCTGAAATATTGTGACATACGTATTCCTGAAATATTATAACAAATTACTAACTATGTAATAAATCATATACTAAAAGATCTAACACGTAGCATAATATTGTAACATATCGCTAAAATATTGTTACATATTACTGCAATATATTGTGACATATAATATATTGTGACATATTACTAAAATATTGTAACATATTAGTAAACCATTGTAACATATTGGTTCAAATGCCCTCGTGTGGAGTACTATAGTTGAATATACAGGTAAAGTGAGGGCAGCGTTCAAGTAATTTATGGCTGCTTGAGAATATCCTCAAAATTATGACAACAAATATAATGATATTTGTAAACAGGTTGACCTCAGATTATTACTAATGAATTATGAAAAATGTTTGATTCATCAAAGCCCCATATGATCAACAATAAATTATAAATAGTCTGTTTTTTAATAAAAAAAATATACTTACCACATTTATCATAGATTTCTCCTATAGATACGTGATTATTTTTTTCGATCCAGCGATCCCACAAAAGTTGAGATGATTTCACAATGTCTGTTTCATCTTCTTCATCATCATATTCTTCACTATCATCAAAGTCTTCATCACTTTCATTTTTTCCATATTCAACATGCAGTCTTTTCATATTGTCCTTCACAGAATGTGTTTTGCGCAATGTGCTACGACGGTTTGCAGCTAATATGTCTTCGGGTGAACCATGTTGAAAATACATCACATAAATTCCAGCTAAGAGGAATGATATTATCGCAGTTCCGGCCAAAACCTTTTTCCAAGCCATATCGGATCTTGGACAATTTTAAATCGCTCTAGGTAAGAGTTTCTGAAAAAGGTACCTCAATAATAATTTATTGAGGCCAGGAGGCTGTTATAGTTACTTTTATGTCCTAGTCGTTGTTCTTAATCTTGAGAATAAACAATGATTTTCCAGTAGTACCGGTTCTTGAACACTTTTTCTGTTTTTCTGCGATATTGTATTTCAAAATGTCACGACCCTTGTACAGTATTGTGTGAGCATCCTAGTTTACCAAAAAATCAGCTGATTTTGTTGTCAGTATTCTTGCCAAGATGTAGCAATTAATCTAGGGATATTGAAAGATTGCCAAAACTTTTACATCCTTGTTCTCACTAATAAATGTCAGGTAATTGTAGATCTTGAGTTTTGCTGAACTAGTGCCTTGTTTTCCAAATCTGTTTGAACCAGTTCTGTGATAGCCTTCTTTTATATGCTGAGAATGGCACACATCACAGTCCCGAATACACTTAAAACTGTACACGATGGCAGAAGAATTATCACATGCAACCTGTATTATCCGTTTATCTATTTTACTTCTTAACCCACTGATTAAATATTAATGCTCGATGTTTCCCAAATGGATTTCCTCATCAAAATTCGCAAAATATGTTCGCATTTTCTTGCATTTCTGTTCTACATGTGGTGTTTATTACATAAATGTTACTCGATTGTTTGTTGATTAATCATAAGTATACACATTTTAAAATTTGAAAACATACCCTGATATTATTTGACTGGGAATTTTGATTACCAGTCCTTAAGAATTAAACAAAAATCAGCTGATTGCAGATTTTATAAAATTGACCCATAAATAACTTTCATTGAATATTTATTAATAATTTGACAGCTACTTAAAATGTCCCTTCAGAAAAAGTATCTAACCTGTGGTAACTAGCAATATAGGGATTTCAAAATATAAACGAGTGAGTGTTTAAAAAGAGTTGAATTAGCCTGTCATAAAGTGCAAAGAGCAAGAACTGAAGAATGTGAAAAACACAACTTTACCCAATCTTTTTCGATTTTTTCTAAAAAATACGAAAACTATGAAATCATATGGCGGGGTGTCGTATCTTAAGCTGGTCAAAGTCTTTGACTGTCACACTAGTCATTGCCTATGATTCTTCAATACTAACAATAGTGTCATGATCAGAGGCATAAAAATTACATGTGAATTAATAGTGGGAGCAAATAAAGAATTAAGTAGATCATCCGGATGGTTGACACCCATGCACTCACGTCCTTTTTTCATCATAATTAAGTGACATTAAGAGAAAAAAAAATGTTTTAATGCAAGGGATGCGATACTCTTAGATGTCTTATTACATGTACTTCACTAGAATAACATATTTTTGATAACTTACTTGACATAAAATACATGCAAAAGCGATTTAACTAAGGGGTTTACCTTGACCCTACATCCCACGTGTTAAAATGTTAGTTCCGCGTTAGAATCATTTTATGACCGCGACTTACGCTATTCCTGTGTAATTATTAATAAGAATTAATTAAGAAATAATGGCATGGTGACAAATATTGGCCAAAATCCTTTTTTAAAGGTTATTTTATTTCCATATTTGAATCATATAACATACGATAATACATGACTATGGAGAAACAAGCCTACGTTTGCACATTATTGGCTTAACACTCATGTTAAATCCTTAGAAGCGTTTGTTGTATGAATTTAAATTAGGCTAATTTCTCTTTGAATAATGTTATGTTACAATTATGTAACATGACAAGTTTTCTAATTAGTTGCAATGGTAACACATATTTGCAATAATAAGTATTGAAACTTAGAATATCCTATATGTGTTGTCAGAAAGTACATGTAATACTACATGTACTAGGACAGTGCGCGGTTAAAAATATAATCAAATGTCAAGTTATCAAAAACTATTAAAACGCCAGGTACTAAAAGTTGTTGGAGATATAGAAATGTGTTGTCTGATGAAATATCATAATTTGATAATTCAATGCAACAAAATAACTAATGTCATATTTAAAAATTATTTATCGCATTTGTCGTCAAAGTAACCACCAAAGTAGTACTCTACAGGACCTTGACAAATACCAAGACCCCTCTCCCTGTTCGTTTAAACATATGTAACATTGACGTTTCATTATTTCCCTTTAAATTCCAATGTATTTCTTGAAACCTGAGTTTTACTACTCCCTCTGATCGAAATTAGTTACACGAAAAATGCAATATGCCACATTTGACCTGGGCTCGAAGACATTGGTTATCTTCATGACATGTCGTACCGATGCTATTCTTTTATTTGTAGAGTTATTCCAGGACATCATCTACATCTAATGGATGGTATCGCCAGCTTTAAGAATAACTGTGCATCTCTGGCCTGATTAAATAATAGTGTATTACAGCCTATTATTATTTGCCGTATATTAGTACGAGTTATATTGATTTTCCGTATAAGACTCATAAATAATTTCCTATCATATTGGCAATATAATTATTCCCCGGTTAGAACCTATTAAAACATCTTATCGTCCAAATAATACACATATAGGTATGTCTTATTCCCGCTCTTATTTTGCTCATTTAGCCTTGTGTATTAATGAAGTGTCACTTAAAATCCACAGCCCCGAAGATGACATAATAGGGTATGGTGAGGTTTCATTATATAGCTGTAGTTAATTTCCAAATTAAAATACTCATAATGCCCCATGTCTTTAAATAAGAGAAAATCAAGTCATTAAATAATAACGGATTATTACAGATCCTTTTCTTGGGGTTTTAACTCAATAAAACGTTCATGCACAGCACTGCTAAGCTGGGGAACCATAGACGCCGAACGCTAACTGCTGTCCACAAAAAAGTTTGAGAACAAGATGTCACCACTTTTGGTGGTGACATACGTAATACATTAAAAGAACTAATAACTAAAATGGAAGATCACATTTCTCAATACCTATTGAGCAACACAAATAAGTGCACAATTGACAAATGTTTTTTTTGAAATATTTTATTACATAAATAGTGAATGTGAGATAGCTTAAATTATCTCAGTTAACCCTCTTTATACTATTAGATTCCACATTTAACATGTGCAGTGTAGTTGCAATCCCAGTATGATTAACATACAAATATAATCCCTTTTAACATTCACAACATAAAAAACATAATTTATTATGTTTCCTCCTTTTGTATGGAATTATAATTTTTTAGCACACATTAAAATATCATATGCAATTTTTTTATTGGGATTGGTTCTTCATAACATCGATTCTTTTAGCACATTTTAATATAAATATAATACATATGTACATTAAAAGAACTCTCAAACAAATGTCTCAAAACCTTTTGAGATATCTTATTACAAAAAAAGAACTAGAGTCAATAGTGATATACTGTAGGTTAAATTATTTTCAATAGCTCCCTCTATATTACATTCTACATTTAATATATATTTGTTATCCCAACATGTTAAACATGTAAATATAATCCCATTTTACTTTCATAATACATAAATAGCACTATGCAAAATTAGTACACAGCAAAATATACAAAATTAATTCAGAATAAATTCATGGAAATATAAATTAGCAATTTAGCACACATTAAGATATCATGTGGCAATTCTTTACTGGGCTGTTTCACGGCTGTTTCTCTATAACATCGATTCTTTTAGTACATTTCAATATAACTAGTAAAAAATATAACACATAAAAATTTTCGAATAAGTTGCCTTAAGTTTTGAGCATTTGGTTCTACATGGTGCTTAGCACTGATTCTTTTCATTCAAACTGCTAATTGATCAAAGCTCTAAATCAATATATTGCACAACACAATAACAGAGTACAGAGTGCAGAGAACAGAGTGTCCCAAAAAATGGACCAAGAAAAACATGGAATAACTTAGGAAATAAAGATATATTCTTGTCATCTGACAGACAATTCAATTATCATTAACATATTGAAGTGTCTATAGGTCATGTACGTAACTCTACTGAGTTTTAGAGACAACCAGCACCCATTTTTTTCCAATTTCTAGCAGCACATTCAGCTCTGCATCGATTATGATGTAGGTAATTTAGGACATGTCATCTAATGAATTTTTATATGCCTTTTGAAAAATGAATTCTCTTATGTGAAAAGTTCGTTTTTTTGATGAAGGGAAAAAGAGTTATTCCTGTTTCATTTGGGTACAATTTTTGAGACACCCAGTATTTCCATGAATCATATCTAAATATAACTAGTGAATAAAACACTACACTACTGAAAATGGTTTTCATCCCCTTGAGCATTCTACATATAATGAATTCACTAAAATATATTGTTCAAAATCATATTTTTGAGCATTTGCATTTGAGTAACATGGCAATGACAGAATATTACACAAGATATCATATTACCAAACTGCCAAAGCATCAATGGACTAGATACCAGTAGAAAAAAATCTTGAGTTTTGTCAAGTGGTATCATATTTGAAATCGTTATACAGAATTACATTTAGAGTTGTGATTTCCAGGTTGGGTAGATATCCCATAGAGCCCAAGTTACAAAATTATGAAACTTCCGAAATATCTTTTCATGTATTGAGTAAATAATAATAATCTTTTTTACCGAACACATTTTTCACTAAATCTATTTAATCATTACATCACTGTAATTAAATAATGTCATCTTATCTAGTAATAGACTCTAATTAAGTGATGATGTCATAAATCTGTGATGTCACTCATTAGGCACTGGTGTCATCAGGCTGAGTTGTCAATGTCATTCCCTCTGTATCTACACAGCCCTTATGTACAGTGGCATTTTCAGTGCCCTGGAAGTGAATGTAAAGGTCATTGTTACATATGTATCTACACAGCCCTTGTGCACAGTGGCATTCTCAGTGCCCTGGAAGTGAATGTAAAGGTCATTATTACATATGAATATAAACAGCCCTTATGTACAGTGGCATTTTCAGTGCCCTGGAAGTGAATGTAAAGGTCATTATTACATATGAATATAAACAGCCCTTATGTACAGTGGCATTTTCAGTGCCCTGGAAGTGAATGTAAAGGTCATTATTACATATGAATATAAACAGCCCTTATGTACAGTGGCATTCTCAGTGCCCTGGAAGTGAATGTAAAGGTCATTATTACATATGAATATAAACAGCCCTTATGTACAGTGGCATTTTCAGTGCCCTGGAAGTGAATGTAAAGGTCATTATTACATATGAATATAAACAGCCCTTATGTACAGTGGCATTTTCAGTGCCCTGGAAGTGAATGTAAAGGTCATTATTACATATGAATATAAACAGCCCTTATGTACAGTGGCATTCTCAGTGCCCTGGAAGTGAATGTAAAGGTCATTATTACATATGAATATAAACAGCCCTTATGTACAGTGGCATGTTCAGTGCCCTGGAAGTGAATGTAAAGGTCATTATTACATATGAATATAAACAGCCCTTATGTACAGTGGCATTTTCAGTGCCCTGGAAGTGAATGTAAAGGTCATTATTACATATGTATATACACAGCCCTTATGTACAGTGGCATTCTCAGAGCCTTTGAAGTGAATGTAAGGGTCACTATTACATATGAATATACACAGCCCTTATGTACAGTGGCATTCTCAGTGCCTTGGAAGTGAATGTAAAGGTCATTATGACATATGAATATACACAGCCCTTATGTACAGTGGCATTCTCAGAGCCTTTGAAGTGAATGTAAAGGTCATTATTACATATGAATATATACAGCCCTTATGTACAGTGGCATTTTCAGTGCCCTGGAAGTGAATGTAAAGGTCATTATTACATATGAATATACACAGCCCTTATGTACAGTGGCATTCTCAGTGCCCTGGAAGTGAATGTAAAGGTCATTGTTACATATGAATATACACAGTCCTTATGTACAGTGGCATTCTCAGTGCCTTGGAAGTGAATGTAAAGGTCATTATGACATATGAATATACACAGCCCTTATGTACAGTGGCATTTTCAGTGCCCTGGAAGTGAATGTAAAGGTCATTATTACATATGAATATACACAGCCGTTATGTACAGTGGCATTTTCAGTGCCCTGGAAGTGAATGTAAAGGTCATTATTACATATGAATATACACAGCCCTTATATACAGTGGCATTCTCAGTGCCCTGGAAGTGAATGTAAAGGTCATTATTACATATGAATATATACAGCCCTTATGTACAGTGGCATTCATTCTCAGTGCCCTGGAAGTGAATGTAAAGGTCATTATTACATATGAATATGCACAGCCCTTATGTACAGTGGCATTCTCAGTGCCTTGGAAGTGAATGTAAAGGTCATTATTGCATATGAATATACACAGCCCTTATGTACAGTGGCATTTTCAGTGCCCTGGAAGTGAATATAAAGGTCATTATTACATATGTATGTACAACCCTTATGTACAGTGGCATTCATTCTCAGTGCCCTGGAAGTGAATGTAAAGGTCATTATTACATATGAAGATACACAGCCCTTATGTACAGTGGCATTTATTCTCAGTGCCCTGGAAGTGAATGTAACGGTCATTATTACATATGAATATACACAGCCCTTATGCACAGTGGGATTTTCAGTGCCCTGGAAGTGAATGTAAAGGTCATTATTACATATGAATATACACAGCCCTTATGCACAGTGGGATTTTCAGTGCCCTGGAGGTGAATGTAAAGGTCATTATTATATATCTATACCCCAAAAACATAACTCAATAAATACATATTGGTGGAGGGAGTATGGTAGTAACAAAGAGTTCATTTGAAACTAGACGTACCTCAATTTGACTTAAGATTTCTTTGACCAAGCCTATTCCACCAGGGTTCTTCATGAGGACATACATGAAGCCCCCACCCCCAGCCCCTGCCAGCGTCATCCCATAAGTGTGCTCTCTCAGTGATGCCATCATACGTGCAACGACGGAGGGCTCACACCCTGGCGCCATCTTTTTCTTCTGTTCCCAGTATTTGTTCATACATTCACCAACCTTTTCAAGATCACCTGTAAGGATTAATTTCATAGCAGTATTTCTATGAAGGTAAAATATTGATGGATTTGCCAATACTAGTAGTACTTATTAATGTTTTTAGGGAATTTTTATGGAGTGGAATTTGTGGAAAAACAGCAAGCTCCAGTATCAATAAGGCATGATATGGAATCACTGTAGTAGAATCTGAGATTATCAACTCTCGTCTTACCGGGCAATGATCAATTTTGATTATGATGCAACATTCAAGATTACCTTGTTCAAAAGCTTTGGCGCAGTCATGAGCATTTTCCACCAGTGCATCCTGGGTGGCTAGAATATCAGGATTCCTGCCATACCAGTTCCGTATCACATTCTAAGGATAAAAGAAGATTAAAATAAAACATTACATTAAGAGTGTTTAAAATAATTAGATGATGATAGGACATACACGAAAAAAACATACCTGCAGTAAATTCCTTACCAGTCTTGTTTTCCCTGTATACACAAGAGCCAGTTGCATGATGGGACTCACGTACCTGCAGTAAATTCCTTACCAGTCTGGTTTTCTCTGTATATACAAGAACCAGTTCCATGCTGGGACACATGTACCTGCAGTAAATTCTTTACCAGTCTAGTTTTCCCTGTATATTCAAGAGCCAGTTGCATGATGGGACACACTTACCTGCAGTAAATTCCTAGCCAGTCTGGTTTTCCCTGTATATACAAGGATCAGTCTATCACTGAATGCTTGAACAGTCTCAACAGTGACATCTAGTGGTACTATGTCAACATACAGTGGCAGCTCACCCTTAGACACCCCTATCTTCACTCCTCCTGGAAAAATAAAGAATGTATTATGTTAAATAGTTAGTACTCTCTTGTATCAATGATGTCACACCATTATACCATTTCACTCAAGAACATTCAGGTGCACACTTTATCAGTTTATTAGACGTGGCAAGGTATGGCAAAAGAGTAATGTTTTTGAGAATATCACAGTAGTGTTCCTTTCATTTAGTCTGTACTCATTGATCAATGCTATAGCAATCTGATTCCAAAACAATATTAGAACTACACAATTGACTTTATGCTATTTGGTAAAATTCCATTTGAGCACGATGGTTGTGTAATTCTGCATATAATTACACATACCTACATGGGACCTTTAACTCTGAAGCTGTTCTACAAATGCTCTAAAATAATATATTTTCAAACTTTACATGGGGCCTTTAACTCTGAAGCCCACCTACTTATGCTCTAAAATAACATATTTTCAGACTTAACATGAGGTCTTTAACTCTGAAGCTCACCTATAATACTCTAATTTAAAATAACATATTTTCAAACTTCACATGGGACCTTTAACTCTGAAGCTCACCTACTAATGCTCCCACCTGATCCTGCCATCCTCCACCTGTTGTCAGCATTTGTTCCAAATGAAGCACCTGAAATAATAATGTAACTCCATATTTCAAACTTTGGAAGAGTAGAGGAGTGTGTGACCTTAGCAATGTTCTGATGGTCCAATGCATTTCATTTTTACCCTTAAAGTTACGGTCGTGGTATTAGAAATGGTCTAAAGAATGTCCAACATAATTCATTTCTGCCTAAAAATCGTTATTAAGCCACAAATAAATAGGAAGCAGCATACTGTTGTGAAAATATATTTCTTTTTATTATATTATTATTTTATTCAAATATTCTACATTTATTCTTGCATCATGCAGTTGATTTAGTAGTTGACTTTCCAATTTATCCATGAAAACGTATTTAGTTCTGAGAATAGCAACAATTGTATATCTTTGGTTATGTAAAAACTAGTGTCTAATCGACTGGGAATATGAGGCCCAAATTATCCGCACTTGATCTTCCATTGCAAAAGCCTTCCTATTTCAAAATACTTACTGCATGTATTAATGATTTATTATCATAGGCCTGCCCTGAGATGTTCCACAATACCCCCATGACTGCACCCGCAAGGATACTGCTACCCCCTAGGCCTGACCCATGGGGCAGCTGAGACCATGAGTGCAGCTCTATCCCTCCGTTGTATCGCTGCAGTAGTTGCTCCCTCAGTGAAACATCACTTGGGAAGTCTACCAGCTCAGCACAAAGGATGCAGGCCTTTAACAGGGCACCTGATGGATAGAAGTCAGATCATCCATTATTTTATTATTTAGTATATTTACCCATTATCTTCATTCAGTACATTAGCCACTGTTGCAATCATCGAAGGTAACTGTAAAATTGAAAGTCATTAAATGAATTTCTGAATTGTATGGCTAACAGAAGGTTTTTGTCTTTATTTTGTATTTATTTATTTGATTTTCTTTTTTCAATTTGCATATTTGAAACCACCTCTTCCCTTATTTTTAACGAGATGTCATCAATACATGAGACCCAAGAATGATGTTATAACATATTTAAAATCACATTTCTTGTGTAACATCCCTCATTTTCAGCGATATCAATGTCATGATAGATCTATAATGTACAAAAGTTGATTAATATATACATACACTACACTTAACATACCAGTAAACAACTCAGAAAATGTGGTGACATTTTAAAAATTTAGATCTTATTCCTAGGCCTAAAATCCATACCATACCTGGTGCATATGGCTGGCAGTAGTCCTCTAAATGAGACAGCTCTGTAAGAACAAGTTCCCGACCCTCAAGGTGGAGCACAATCTCTGGCCTTTCTATCCTCCTAGCCTTAGCACCAATTGGTTTCTGAAATAATAGATGATGTCACTATTTTATTTAAGATAAAGGCTCCTGACATTATCCATATGAAGAATACCAAGCTAATGAAGGAATCAAAATGAAATTGGTATTTATTGAATGACCCTCGTGCAATACTATATACCTGGAATAACTGGTATGTAGTGGTTACTATGGTTACCAGATGATGACAAAGATATAGAAGAGCATCTATTATTTCACAAACTTGGTTAATTTGCCTTGTACAAGAGTGTACATACCTTTCCATCATACAGTTCAAGAGGGTACATACCTTTTAATCATACAGTTCAAGAGTGTACATACCTTTCAATCATACAGTTCAAGAGTGTACATACCTTTCCATCATACAGTACTGAGACGTTAGTCACAGCACCCCCATGTTCATATGTGATAGGTGGAGTATCAGACCATCCACCTGATAGGTCAATCCTAGCAGGGCATTCTGCCATCACCCATCTCCCAATAGGTGGCAGCTCTGATTTTGTAGTTGAGATAAACTGCAACAGATATTAAATGAAAGGTTCGTGTATCCCATTATCCTATGCAAAGTTGAGTTTTACGGAGATAAGTTGGTAAGATATATCCCGTATCCTGATTTTGAGGTTTCCATATCCAGAACCTCCATATCTCCCGCCATATCTCCCGCTTCAGTGCATATCTTCCCGCTTCGGTGCATATCTTCCCGCTTCCGGTAATTTCACTGAAAACTCTACTTGGTATAGGATAAAGCAGTTATGTACGGTCGGTTTGGATATTGAGTTCATCCCTCGTGAGATATGCATATCTCCCTCTGGATAAACCCCATATCCAAAACCTCCCAGTACATAATCCTTATTTATCCCCTCATAAGGCAAAATCTTATGATTTACAATTCACCTTCCACACCTCTTAAACTCTAAAAATAATTAGTTTTGAGCAATATCAATTTGAAGTAAATGTCTGTCTGTAAAAAATAGCATCATTTACTAAATGAGAGCTAAAAGCAATTTTAATTGTCCATTCTATCAGATGATTACCTGTCTTGCACTCATTACAGCATGTCTGATAAGTATCTGAGCAGCACCTTCATAGTGTCTGGCAGCTCTCACCAATAGGTCAGGTCTCTCTAGCCATTTAGCTCTCTCCTCTGACATTGCACTCACCCCTTCTCTTATGCTACCATTCTGAAAGGTGGAACATCAAAGTTTGGTGTTAAGTTCATAAAAATTGATCAACTAGGACAGTCAAGTGGAAGACCTTGGTATGTGGAACATTTTGTTAAGTGGAAAACCTTTGTAAGTGGAAGACTTTCAGAGTCACAATAACCTAATGTTAAATGAGCCTCTGTTCTTTGAACACTACCCAAGTTGAACACTTTTTAGAGGAACAAATCTATTTTCCATTCAAATCGAGGTCACTTTTAACTGTGTATATGTACATGTTCAGTTGGGTATACTATTTATATGTTTTCACTTCTTGGTTTATAAATACATATACCAGTGCTCCTAAACCGTAGACCATTCCAAAATATGTTAATTTTTTTAAATAGGGTCAAAGGAGACATCAGTGTTGGCTAAAATATATAACACTTGAAAGAATTAATATTTCTCTTGGTCAGATCTTTGAAATAATCGGGTTTATACTTAACCATACCATATACCTGTTATGTAATGCTTCTTATTACATGTGCACTCTACAATATTGTGTTGTTATGTAATGAAAATATACATAGAGAAATAAGTGTCTGGAAAAACATGCTATATTCCTTTAATCATGCAACAAGAGCTCAATGAGTACAGACGACTATCATATATTTTTGTACATGTCAGACATGACTGTCAGCCATCACAGCTCAAAATGGCCACCATACTACACAGATTGCCAAATATGTCATAATTGCATGTACATGTATTCACAAGATATTACAAAAAAATGTATGACACATACGAAAAATGACCACCACCATTTAGGTAAATTGTAAAAAGACTTTGTGTCATGCTTAAAAACATGTTAGATTGTGTGAGTTCTAACCAATGAAAAAAAATCAAGTACGATGTATGTTCACTACTTGCATGCTTTTTCGAAATAATTTGACCTTATTTTAAGCCCTAATCCCTGTTATATCTTCAATGCATAATATCTTCAAATAAAAAAGTGATATTCAGAAAAAAATACTTAAAATAGTTTGTGAATGGTTACCTGCTTCACTGCATCCTGGTGTACAAAATGACAATACAATTCAGAATTCAAAGCTAAGCATACATGCATATGTTTAAAGCAAATATCGTACACTATTTTTTGCAATATCATACCTAATGGCAAATGTAGTAATTCCATTAAAAATGATCAATTCTAAAATGCTAAATAAATTAATATATCAGCTAACAACAACCAAAGATTTGGTACCAAAATTCACCTAATATGATATGAATAATGAATGAACCCATAAAGTAAGTGAAGTGAAGCAACAACATAAAAATATAATTCTCAGACTGTAAAGCATGACAAAGTCACGATAATTACTATTCATATTGGGATTCCCAATTGAAATTTTGCCCAGGCTGGCACCCATGACTCCAACCCCATCTTCAATTGCCTGGCATAGAACATTATGGAAATAATATATCTATATGTTCATCTCCAGACTAAATACTTGGTCTGGAGATGAACATTACCTAGTGCACAAGTATTAAGGTAATATTATTACCAAATTGGTCAAAGCCAGTCAACCAAGGATCAAGTTTGAGTCATGGCTGCCAACTGCCCTTATTGGCCACTATTGTTTTGTTTATGTTTTAAGCGCCTGCCTCAAATCTGAATTTGCAACATTGCTTATTCCTTGCCAACCTTAAACTTTATGTCAATTTATAACACAGTATACAACTATTAGTAAATAGTTCATCTCAGGGGAGGCATCAAAAGTTCTATGTCGGATCGAAAACTAAATAAATCTAGTAAGGGGGAGGGGTTCAAAGTTTAACATTTCAATTTTTTGCAATTTTGCCTCGGAATTCCATTGAATGATTTAAAAATAAAGATTTTATCTGATGCTTTCTTCGTCAAGATCATTCCAATGGATTCTATTCTATTGACAGTTGTTAAAAGCTCTCATTTTCCAAACAGAGGGGTTTCCCAAGTATGAATATTACAAATTTAGATCATAAAAACATGCTTCTTATGAACATAATCTAAGAGCATACCTCTAACAAATGAAAGGCTCGGCCCCATGATTTATTAGCTGCGGGACCGCTCCGTAATCCTCCATTGTTACGTGCCATGCAACCGAGAACATCTGCTATGTTTGCCAGTGTCCTTGCAGCAACGCCAGCAGATGATGTTTCCATGGCAACTACATATTAAAAGAAGATTTCTGGGTAAAGTAACCAACATGTGATATGTAATGGATGCCATATTTTGCATATGCATCTGATATTTCTATATTTGTATAGTACAATACATGTATTCACAATGAACATAAAGTACTTTAATGTAGAAAAATTTTCTCTGATTGTTTGAAAAAAGGTGGAGACCATTTTTAAAAGATATTGTGTAATTTGATCTTTTGAGTCATAATTATCAAATAACTCAACATTCATTACCAGCATTACTAACCTTGGTCAAGTGTCTCCAAGACCTCAAAGTGAAGGCCCTCTGCTACTGCACTTGCGTATACATTGCACAATCCCTTGTCTGAAAACATAAAATCAATATTAATAGAAATTGGTTCCAAAGGATGGCATCATGAATCCTTTATTATCTTCATGTAAAACATTAATAGTTATTTTTGAACATTAATGAACTTAGTATCAGGAGAAAGTTAATGTTAATTAATTATCCCAACGAACAAAGTTCGGTAGGGATATAGTGAAGCCCTCCGTCCGTCAGTCCGTCAGTCAGTCCGTCAGTCAGTCCGTCAGTCAGTCCGTCAGTCCGTCCGTCCGTCCGTCCGTCCGTCCGTCCGTCCGTAAGATAACTCAAATACGAGTTGACGGATTTTCTTCATATTTAGTGGAAAGATGTATATTGGTGAATAGTTGTACGCAAAAAAAGATGGCCGCCGCTTTAAAAATGACGGGACTTTTTCGCAAAAACCATAAATTTTTCATTCTAAACCAAAGTAATTAATATTATTGTTTGAAATTTTGGTAGTATATTCGCAACATCTATCTTTTTCACATATATTCCGTGTTTTTCATCCTGACCCCCAGGGGCTGTGTATGGGGGGTCAGGAAAACAGTAATTTTCGCTGATTTTTAGATCTTTCTGAAGTATAGCTTTATTATACTCAAATGAAAGGCAATTAAGAGAAGATTGCAAATATTGTATCTTTTTTCTGATTCGAGCCTCGTAAAATTCAAAATGGCCGTCTAATGTACGATTTCGCAATAATTTTTCGATCCCTTCAAAGTATGGCTATATTATACTCAAATTGAAGGAATTTTGGAGTAGATCACAATTATGGTATTATTCTTCAGATTTGTACCTCAGAAAATTCAAAATGGCTGCTTTGCAGGAATTCGCAATTCTAAAATTTAAATTTTTCAATTTTAACCAAAGTAATGAGTATAATTGATTGGAATTCGGTAATTGATATTTTGTTCGTTGGGATTTGCTACTCCGCGGAGTTGCCATTGTCTAGTTGCTTTTACTAAACATAAGCAATAATTAACTTATTTTTGATTTCTCACTTACTTATATCTGCACCATTTTTGCCTTCTAATGTATTGACAATATCTATTTTCGCTATTTCAAAAAATAACTTCCTGAAAAAATAGACAAAATGCATTTATGTGTTTATCTATAAATAGATAAATACTGATAAAAAGCAAATCTCATTACAGAGCAAAATTATATTCTACATGAGCAAATAAAGAAGATAATTCACTTGAAAAATATAAACCCCATTTAGATCCCCTGACTTATAACATGTAAGCCCCATATAAGTGTGTTTATCCATACCTTCTATGTTGGAACTCTGCCTGGAGGTCTATGAAATTCAGTATCTCCTCAAATGATAATCTCCAACTTGAGCGCCATCTATGTGTTGTAAGAACATAATAATAACATTGTACTTAAGTAACAATATTCTTCAATCTTGTCTTATTAAAAATGGGACATGATAGACATGAGAGTCTATTTGGGCACAAACTTTCGACATGTATGGTATGGTACAGTATGATAAAGTGTTGTGATACAGTATGGAACAGTTTAACACAGTATGGATTAATATGGTATAGTTTAGAATGGCATAGAATGGTATGGTATAATGTGGTGAAGTATGATATGTTATGGCTCATTTCAGTAAGGTTTAGTATGGTATGGTATGGTACAGCAGAGTATGCAGTATGTTTTGGTTTATTATAGCATAAATCATGTAAAAACTCCTACATACTTTAACTCAGTTAATACATTCAAACATATAAATACACACCTGTCTAGAACATTGGAGTCTATATTAATATTCTCATCTCCAGCCAGCCACAAGATCTCCCTTATACCCACATACTCTGAGACATGGAACAGTGGAAACAGCTTAGCATTCATAGAACACTTCTTATCATCTGGCTGAAATCAAATTTGAGTACTTAAAGACATTGAGATATAAAGAAATGCAGAGATAATGAAATGTGGACTCTCAATCACTCAGAAAATGCCTGATTTTCAATATAATGCCTTATATATAAATTGTCAGATTCTAAGGCATGTAAACCCTATATAGATCCCCTGTCTAACAACATTTAAGCCCCATATAGATCCCTTGACTTGCAACACGTGAGCCCCATATAGATCCCCTGACTTACAACTTGTAAGCCTCGTATAGGTCCCCTGACTAACAACATTAAAGTCCCATACAGATCCCTTGACTTGCAACATGTAGGCCCCGTATGTATCTCCTGACTTGCAACTGTAAGCCACATATACGTATATATCGTAGATCCTCTAACAACATTTAAGCTCCAAATAAAACTCGTAGATCCTCTAACAACATTTAAGCTCCAAATAAAACTTGAACTTAAAATACCATATTGAGAACCTGATTTACAAAATGATCACCCCATATAAAACCCCTGACTTACAACAGTTGAATCCCATAGATCTTCCTGAGAGATACCTGTCCTATTCATGAAGACAACCCATGGAGTATTGCAATAGGAACTGCTGCCTTTATATGTGGGACCCTGGAATACAAGAGAGGTTGTACAAAGTTGTTGATTTTCTTTCTCAGAGATATTTCTTTTTCTTTTTGACGTTTCGTAGGATGTCCACCCTACTTCTTCAGAAATAAAATTAATTAATTTTATTTCTGAAGAAGTAGGATGGACATCCTACGAAATAAATAAATTAATTAATTAATTTTATTTCTGAAGAAGTAGGATGGACATCCTACGAAACGTCAAAAAGAAAAATAAATATCTCTGAGAAAGAAAATCAACAACTTTGTACATTACTACCAGAGAGATGAACATTCATAGAAAGAGAGGTTGTGTTTTAGCAGTAAAGTCATATTATGGGGGGTATTAATACAACACAACCATGTACAAGTTCTCTTTAACCCCTATCACCTCAATATACCAACGAAAATACAATAACACTACATTTGAGAGAAGGTTTATAAGTACATGGTCTTGAATAACATCTCCCTATCTGCTTTCTGCCCTCAAGATGTGCAATGTTAATTATGCTCTAAATTACTAATAAATTACTAAAAATGCAGTGTCGCTGTATGTGAGCAATTAAAATCCTAAATTCTCAAAAAGAATTTCATTTATCGAATTCACGAATTAAAGACAGAGGGAAACTACTGGGAGTGCAAATCACTAGCTTTACATGTAATTTTGACATATGGGACAGTGGGACCTGCACCAGGGTACAAAAATTAAAATCTTAATTTCAATCAAAACAAATCTATGGGGTGAAACATTATCTAAGTGTGTGTCAATTCATATAAAACAAAAGAAGCTATAAGGATTTTCCTTTGGCCCAATGGAGTGATGTTATTTCAAATGGGATTTAACCATACCTCAGTCTGTGTAAAAATATCCTACAAAACAGCGATTTCAATACATTTGGTGTTCTGGGTGAGTGATTTTTTGAACTGACAGTGTTCATAGTTAAGTCCTTGGTAATCATAGGTTTTTAGTTAACATCTCTTTTATAGTTCACTTAGCATTTACAAGGTTATTTGTGGTGTTAATAGGGGGGTTAAGATACAGGTTTTTTTATTTTGTACGTGAACATGTCGAATTATGGTCCTCTGTGGATTATATTATTAGTTCTCCCATTTATACTGTTTACTAGGTCAATCGAGTATAAAGGTATACAGAAAATATTAGTCTGTTATTTAGTCTGTTACCCATTAGCTTAATGTAAATGAACCTCTGTAAGTGGAACACCTTCCAAGTGGAATGCCAATTTGAGGCAGTAAAGCTTTCCACTTCAACATGTTCTACTATACTTTGTTGCTATGGATATAAAGACTGCATGTACTTGTCAATGTCAACATAAAGAGACTTACCAATAAATGATCATATTTGCCAAAGACAGTCATGATATGTTGATGTTTTGACTCTCCTTGCAGGGTTGGAATTTTTATGTGGAATCCTTGGAGAACAATATCATTAGGTAGGGTTATTGCACATGGAGGTTGCTGTAAAAGAAAAAAACAACATCAATATTATGTCAGGTGCAATTAAGTACACGGAGGATGTTGTTGTTATAGTTACGATTATGACTAAAATTTCTGACATAAATACAGCCAACTGATACTAAAAATTACATTTGTTGATATCAAGTTATAAGTGTATCTGCCCACCTGTGGTTCTAGATCTTCTGATATCAGTCCTGAGACTATGGATTGGCTGCCTATGTGGAGGTTAGTCTGACCTACTAAATTACAGTGAGACATTACACTTCTCCCCTCTATGGAAATATTTTGTCCAAGTACAGAATTAAGAATTGTTGAGTTTTCTGGAATGCTAGATTTGTCCTGCAAAAGTGTCAGAAAATATTACCTCAAAAATAGGAATTTTAAAGGATATCCATATTATATAATTCAAATGACAGTATTTTATCACAAAAATAAAACATGGGGAGAAATATGTCTTTGTAAGAATAATATATATTGTTCATATTTTGTATAATCAACCACAAAAAAGAATACAAAATTAAATAGCATTTCATTATCAGGCAGTACAAACAAAAAATGAAAACACAATTTCAACTTGTCATTTGCAGTGGAAAATATACAAATTCCAGAACATTGTGGTGTTGACTTACCTGAATGTTTGAATGGACCACAGTGCTCCATAAGTAATTGGACCCCTCATATTGCAGTGGGCAATGTAATAATTGCTTATGATGGTCTTGGGCAGTTACATCAAACTGTGATGTCAAATAGTCATAAGATGCACTTTCAAGTACAACTGAAAATGTTAAGGAAAGTAAGTTAGAATTTGTTTATTTTAGTTTTACATGCACTTTTACAATAAAGAAAAAAATAAACTTGCATGCACACGGCCTTTAAAGTCTTATCTAAATTAAACATCATACCTAAAATAACCATAATAACCTAAAACTTAATATAACTAAAGATTTAAGCCCAGGGGTAGATGAATTGTGGATGGTTTTAAGCGGTCTTTTATAAACTTTGAATGAGGGGTGGAGCCAGAATTCAAAGGCTGGCATATGAGACATGAGTGCACTAAATCACCCACAATTCATTGCATCATTCACTTGAATTCTTTTCAGACATGCAAAATATTTGTGCAATATCACTGTAAAGAGTGAAATTTAACATGAACTTTTTTGCGAGGTTCTTGCAAGGTCAGTATTTTGACCAGTAAGTACCTAAGTATATTGCATTATGATACTATTGATAGTTTTTCACGAAAGGCCAACTTGGAATTATTTTATAAGTGTTATCAATTTAACTAATCTAAAAGAACCCATTCCATACATGCACTATATAATGTGTTCTGATTGGCTAGAATGTGATTTATAGTTTGGGGTTCATGCATTTCACAACTTTAATTCTGATTCTTGTACTAGATGTGTGGTTTGCATTTTATCCTGTTTATATTTTCATAATTTTTATACCACTACTTTTAACCCTGCTCAACTCGCCATATAGGTGTTGCTTTAAAATGAATGCCACAAACATGATCTAAGAAACAGGTCCCCACATACCTGTCTTGACTGCAGTTCCATGCAGATGTTTCCAAAGGATAGAGCGAGCATTTTTCATTCCCTTGGACTCTGCTTGACTGGATTTTGAAGCATATGCTACACTTCGGGAACCAGAAGTAAAGTCCTCTTCTTTGACATTACTTGCCATACACAACAGAAAGTCGAAAAACAGAGATAACTGAAATTCCAAGGTTGATCAATATTATAACATATAGAGGTATATACAAATTAATCCAAGCACCAAATTAAATATAAATGCATGATTGACTGACCTCTGAATAGGCAAAACTCTCAAATGCATGTTTTATGACCTGAAAAGGTTGAGACACACTCTTAATGCCCCATAAGTGAAATTGTTTTACTGACCTGTGAAATTGTTTTACTGACCTGAATAGGTTGGGCACCACTGTCAAGGTCCATATAAGTGCATGTTTTACTGACCTGAATAGGTTGGGCACCACTGTCAAGGCCCATATAAGTGCATGTTTTACTGACCTGAATAGGTTGAGCTCCACTGTCAAGGTCCATATAAGTGCATGTTTTACTGACCTGAATAGGTTGAGCACCACTGTCAAGGCCCATATAAGTGCATGTTTTATTGACCTGAATAGGTTGGGCACCACTGTCAAGGCCCATAGAAGTGCAAGTTTTACTGACCTGAATAGGTTGGGCACCACTGTCAAGGTCCATATAAGTGCATGTTTTACTGACCTGAATAGGTTGGGCACCACTGTCAAGGTCCATATAAGTGCATGTTTTACTGACCTGAATAGGTTGGGCACCACTGTCAAGGCCCATAGAAGTGCAAGTTTTACTGACCTGAATAGGTTGAGCACCACTGTCAAGGCCCATATAAGTGAATGTTTTACTGACCTGAATAGGTTGAGCACCACTGTCAAGGCCCATATAAGTGCATGTTTTACTGACCTGAATAGGTTGAGCACCACTGTCAAGGCCCATATAAGTGCATGTTTTACTGACCTGAATAGGTTGAGCTTCACTGTCAAGGCCAATATAAGTGCATGTTTTACTGACCTGAATAGGTTGAGCACCACTGTCAAGGCCCATATAAGTACATGTTTTACTGACCTGAATAGGTTGAGCACCACTGTCAAGGCCCATATAAGTGCAAGCGTCAAGTGGAGGCATCACATGAAACCCTATGAACTTCTCAATCACCCTTGTATTAAAATAAACCAGGCTTGCAATCTAAAATAATAACAATAACAAAGTAGCATTGAAATGAATTAACAGTCAGCAAATCAATATGATCATTTAAATGTGGCATAACCCAAGTGTTTCAATGGCTAAATGATTTGTATGATGTAAGGACAAAAGTGAATTGTCCCCTATAAGCTATAACATGTCAATAATAACATTTTAGACAAGAACTTAAAATGACTTTTTTCAACAAAAACATGGCTTTTCACAAAGAAATTCTGTATTTATTCTGATTTGATATGAATAAAACAGAATTTTGGGATGTGTGCTTTATATACAGATATACTCGCACATGTACTTACTATAGGGACAGATCCACTTTCCAAAGCACATTGTTCTATGGCATCCTCTTCTCCTCTGTACACAATGTCAGTCAGATTGCCCTACATATAAAGGGAGACAATTTAAAACAAGGCATTAATATGCAAATGTCACAACCTGCCATTTGTTACAGATGAATGCCAAACACCAATGCTGAACACCATCTTCAAAAAAGTTGGAGACTATAACAATATTGTATTACTTGTGGTGTTGACATAATGGTATGTAGAAATCATTACATATGACATTTAGGATATTTCCTTTATCCCAAGGTCACTAAGATATATCACCCAAGAGTCACCAGGGCATATTAGCCTATACATGTTTCAGTGCATATTGCAAATGGCCTGGGGATAGTTCATGGATGACCTTTGATGATGATCGTTGATGATATATTTAATCAAATTCAATATACCACATGTTGTGAGCTAAAATTATTATTAGGCTATAAAATATCATTTAGTATAATAATCATATAATGTTTAAAATAATATAATGAAGACCACAGCAGGGGCACAGCACATTTATTACTTGTTATACTTACAGAGCCATCTATCTTGTAAACACCATGAGATTTTGCATACTGGGGGCTTGTGGGTATCGCTATGGCAACCACATCTAAGGTTTCTGACCAAGGGATGTTAGCTACATCTGGGATGGTTAGAATAGCATCTGTACCACTGACCCATAGACCAGGAGGGCTATCATGGGCAACCTAAGGAATGAATAAAAACTCTTGCTTATTCAAGTCCCAAACCTTGTTGTGATTAAAATATTGAATTATTTAAAACTTAATGTACAGCATTCTTAGAATAAGGGCTACCTACTATCTTACCTTGTTCGTGATTGACTCGTATAATGCATCAAAGTTATAGACAATGCCATCTGGTGTTGGTGATTGGAACTGAGCAGGGAATGTGGTAAATGCGCGACCACATGCATCAAATGGAAAATTTCTCCCCTGAATTGAAAAGTATAGAACAATATCATACTACAGTGAAACCTCTCCAAATGGAATGCCACTGAGACTGAGACAGTTTAGAAATTACTATTTATGCATTTCAATATGAGGTCTTACCATGTGTAATATAAGAATATAAACATCTTCAAGGACTTCAGAATTGACAACCTGAAAAGTAAAATGTAAAATGTGTAGTTTTGAAGATGACCTTGCAACCAAATGTATCCTAAAAATCCATTTGCACCCAGATGAATGATTAAAATTTATGATAGTATTATATTGGCTTAATCTCAATTTTCACCTGCATTATTAATTTTGCCTTGTCAAGATTAGGTATTAAGATCCTTGCTACGCCCCTGTAACTAACGAGTACACTACCGTGAATCCACGTTTTGCGCTGAGATGTTCAGTGACCACTAAAAGTGCATTCAATGTAGCACCTCCACTGCCAACTTGAGCCTTGGGATCTTCAACAGCAAGAATCAAAGCATCTTTATCCAGAATTCCCTTCTGCTGTCTCATTAATAGCTCTGGAATGTATAAATCAAATGGGTAAAAACCAACCTACAGTTTGTTTTGTTTCATGTTGTTTTAACTAGGTGTCGCAGGGGTTTCACTAGAATTTCTCACAACAGGTTAAATAAATGAAAACAACAGGCAAAATTAATGGAAATCATAAATTTAACTTGAAAAAGTTGAAAAGTCCCTCAAAACAACAGGAGATTTTGTGAAATCAACTGGTGAAAATCATCTGCTGCCTGCTGCTAATGAAACCCCTGCTGTCAATAGTTCATTTTGTGTTAAAGTAATCAACAATGAAATTATTTGAGAGCTTCAATAGGTCACATGAGTTTCTTAATCTGGAATAAGTAGAAACATGTACTGTTAAACCAGTATAGGCCCTAAGTCATATGTAATGGATCAAGATGGAAATAGAACACCTCCATGTGTTTTGCATTGACATTTTTTCTTTTCATTCAACTGACTGCAGATTTTTGCTACTCTGGAGATTTGCTCCCGATTCAGCTAAAATCAATTTTCAAATTGTAAAATAATACCTTACTAGTAACAAGCTTTTGGTGATTATTGTATGTGAAATAAATTGATGAATAAATGTCTATTTATTGACATTCCAGGTCACAGCTTAACCTGCTTATTTTGTGCATCCGGTGCTTGTATTTTAGAAAACCAATTGTTCAAGAGAAAATGTATTGTACATGTATATAAGCTGGTTACCTTTTTTATAGACATGAGCGCTATCTTTGTTCTGACAGGTCAGTACAATAGCTGTCCATCTCACCATGTTTCCTGTGGGCACCACCAGATGTCAGCAAAAGCACAGGGTAGACCAGCTGAGGTAAAATTCTGAAATATTCAGGTAAATCGAATCCTATACATGACAATTTACTAAGTTACAACATCAACAAACACTACACTATACTGCCAAAAGCACTACATACATGTACAGTGTATGTTATATTTTTCTAATTGAAAAGTTAAAAACAGCAAGGCTTCAAGCAAAATAATAATCAATTGGAGTTTCAAATACAATTTGCATGTTCTGCTCATTCATATCCATGCAATATTCAAATTTGAAAAGTTGAGTTTCTTTTGTTATTGTTTACAAAGTCTTTTAAATGCCGGAGTGTTCCTAGTACGCTGTGGTCTGGGGTAAATTACCCCCAATGCCTGTTTCCCCAAACCCTTAATGGTTGGCTAATAAAAAATGTAACAAATGTGAGGCTCTTGTAATCTTGAAAAGAGTGTGCTAAATTCAATGGCCCATGCGGGAGTCAAGCCTAGGACCTTCCTGTTAGAGTATGTTGCTCTACCACTGAGCCATCCAGAGCCGTTACACTGCATTCCCCTGAAGGCTGACACCACACTGAATATAAACAGTGGTGCATCTCACTTAAGATCTGACACCAATGTAACAACTGGAGGGAGCCTCCAGGGAGCTGTTGTGAGCCATAAGACTATTTAGTCACCCACAGCCCGTAGACAGGATTTACCAGGGGGGGGGGGGTGGCTTTTGCCAGTGGGGAGTTTTTTACACTTTTGGCTAAAAATTCATGCGAAAAGTCCTCAGAAATCAGAATGGTGAATAACTGCATGATTTTGAAAGAATTTCTGGCTAGAGTTATAACAGTCAGCACCATCTATCTAAATATAATAGTCTAGTTACTTACCTCAAAATAAGTTCACATAAGTCCCCCCCCTTGGCCTGGATCCCCCCCTGGCCTGCACAGTAGCAACTTTCTAGAGTGTATTTTACATATATAGTATTGCATGCAATGGTCCTTTGATTGCTTACTTTAATTTTCTAGGTTTGATTGACTCACAAAAATCGCTTCGAAATGATGTTGATTTTTACCTTCCAAGTCTGTCTCTGTATTCCCTCAGTTAGTTAGCAGTCTAGCATATAAAACATATAGTAGAGAACTTCCTGTAGTTCATCAAAATAAGATTCTTCTACTATAAACAAGTACAACGTGCCTTCTAAAAGAAGTTTTCGGAACTCAACTCTTTCAATCTTGTTTACCTTTCCAGGTCGGGCCGGATTACGCTACGTACGCGCAGATGGTTTTCAATGAGACAACACGGATTAATAAATAGCCTAAGTCAATAATATCCGTAAAGTAAAATACTGATTTTTTCAGAACCATGAAAATCTAACTAAATACACGGGAATAGAGAAGAATAATTAATACTCTTACATTTTATGTTTACCACAAGAACATTCTACATAGGCCTAGGCCGTACAGGGAGACGGGGGGGGGGGGGGGGGTGCTGCGAAAGGTGCGATCGCACCGTCCCTCTATAACCAATAAAAATGGAACCATAATATAGAAGAAGAAAATAGCTTTAAAATGCTTAGGAAGTTGCATCAATGCTTGTAAAATTCAAAATTAATCTTATTTCTTTATGCCACAAACGCAACCCCCCCTGACTGAAATCTGTGGCTGTGCCCCTGTTCTATTATAAGTTTACAAGTGCCCACTTTACAGACATAAGCTTATATGTACCCCAATAAACTGAATGTGGTGGTAGACTGTATCCTTTAGTCTGATTTTTTTAAATTTGGACGGAATGAAAATATTCAGGCTATAACCAACATATAATAATGGAACATATTATATTCCATCATGTTATGGCCCACTTTGACCTCTATGAAATTCTAGTAAAATTCCAACATGGATTCAGGTCAAAGCACTCATGTGAAACACAACTTGTCAATACAATAGAGAATATAGCTCGGGCCCTCGACAACAATAAACAAACAGACATGTTGGTATTAGACTTTTCCAAAGCGTTTGACACGGTGGCTCACGAACGCCTCTTGCTTAAACTCGACTATTATGGAATTCGCAATAATAACTTGAACTGGTTCAGATCCTGGCTTGTGGGAAGATCACAACAGGTAGTGCTCGATGGTGAATCAAATTCAAAAACTCCAGTAAAATCAGGAGTTCCTCAAGGAACAGTTCTTGGACCACTCTGTTTCCTTGTTTATATCAATGATATGGGCAATAACCTATCATCCTCAGCCAGTCTTAAGCTTTTTGCCGACGACAGCCTTTTATTCATGACAGTCGAAAGCAAGCAAGATGCATTAACACTACAGGAGAATCTTGATAAACTGGTCTCCTGGGCATCAACATTGCAAATGAAATTCCATCCATCAAAATGCTATGTGCTAAATATTCACAAAGGTAAATCCCCTATCATGCACAATTACACCAATAACAAATCACAAATAACTTACGCTGGACTACACATATTCAAACTATTGTATCCAAAGCCAATAAGGTGCTTGGATTTCTCAGGCGCAACCTCCATCAATGCCCTGAAAAAGTGAAGGCTCAGGCGTATAAGTCACTAGTCCGGCCTAATTTAGAGTATGCCAGCTCGGCATGGGATCCATACCGACAAAAAGATATTGATATGTTGGAACAGGTACAGAGAAGAGCAGCCAGGTTTGTAACCAAATGTCACTCAAGGGAACCAGGCTGCGTCACCAAAGCTCTTCAAGACCTACAGTGGGAGCCACTGAAGGAGCGTCGAGAGGCTGCTAGAGTTTTCCTTTTCTACAAAGGAAAGCAGAACCTAGCACTAAGCATCTTAGACTGTGACAGTCTAAGTAGTTTTAAATCATCATACTATGCCTATGTCAATAACTGCAATTAAATAGGTGTGTTTTTAATATAGATCTATGTTTTAATGTAAAGGGTCCCCAGTGCACAGCAACAAGCCTGCACTACTGGTAGAGAGGGGTGATGTCAACGCGGTAGCCTGACAGTCTCCCCAGGTAAAATGAGTTGTAGACCATAGATCTATTTTTAAATGTTAAGGTTTTAAATTATATTCTATTCAAATTCTATCACTGTTAAATTATATATCTGCTTTATATGGGCTTATTAGCCTTTTGCAGATTATTGACATAGACATAGACATAAATTTGGGATTAAAAATATTTGTTTACAGTGCAATTCAAAATGGCAGATGGAGTAAATAAATGTACAATGTATATCGGTTACTTCCCCAAGCTTTATTTCCAGTTAACAATATGCTACACTGACACAGACTACATGGTTTTCGATTTCTTTTTGATTTGGGGCTTGAAATTTGCCTTTTTATGCCTCATTTTTTACCAAAAGGGTTAAGTATCATTAGGAAAATCATTTCAAATACTGTAGTTGGCCTTAATTTTTGACCCCTTGTCAATATCAGATCTAAGCTTACCCCTTTAAGTATTTTTACATTGCTTTCTTGAGTCTCTCACACGATAACTGTGTACGGTAAATAATTCTTCGAATCTGAAAAGCTGTTGATCACCACAAAATTGTTCCATAGCACCAACTTCGGAGAATGCCCAACTAACTACAGTCAGTGCTGTTAATCGAATCATACTTTTTTTTACATTTTCGTTTTTTTTTCATGTTATCAATTTATTTCTAATATAAACATTTACATTCCATTACAATTACTAATTGCCAAGGTTTTGCAACATTAGCGGCAATTTAATATATATTATATATGCATGTAGATATTAGATAATGAAATAGGATAAATTTGTTCATACTCCTACTATTGACAATGAAATATGAATCGGATAATCCACTTCGGTTTTAGTCAGCAACGTTATTTATTAATCTATGTAGCCTACTATTGATTGAACCCACATCACATGATCGTTCAAAATGGAGTTTGTAATAAAAACAGATAAAACTCAGAGCTGGATGTTATTCATCGTGTGATGTGACGGCCGAACCAAGGTGGAAATAAGGCTTATTCGATGACTGGCTGAGTAAATTCATGTAGCTGACCTAGGCTCTTCTTGATAATCGAATTCGAATACATTTTACAGTATGACAGTATGGTCAGGGGGCGTTTCTAATCATGATTTGATCTGAATACATTGCAATTTGACGTGGATATGATGATGATTTGACTCGAATTCAGGTAATACATTTGGCCAAGGTAGGCTAATGTATCTTTTTACCAGGGTAGAGATCCATCTACCGGGTGTCCCAAAAGGTGTACCATAGATTATCCCTAATCAAGATATTTTTTGAAATTTGGTTGGAAATATTCAGATTAATAGTTGTTGTTTACATGTAAAATGTAATTCAAAATGGTTGTGTAGTAAATTAATTAGCATATTTGCAAGTTCCATTAGCTTTATCTCCATTTGACGATATGCTGTGTTACTTTTTGTGGCATTTACTTGTACCTAACATAACCTAATTGAATTTTTATAATGTCTATTTTATTGAAGTAATGCTTCCTCTAATTGATAAAGTCTCGGCAAAAATTCACTGCAATTACCACACAACAGAACATAAAAAATCTGAACTTTTCACAGGATAAAGAATTTTTCAATTAGCAATTAGAAATTTCTTAGTGAGAAATTTGACATTACTAAGGTAATCATGATCGATACAAAGGTAAATGCGCTGTTGGGAATTTGAAAATGGATGATGGTCGTACTAAAACAAGTTTTTCTCTAAAAGTCTGTTGAGTTATCAAGTGACATTTTTATATGTATGATAGTTATATTGTCTGTCAGATGAATATTCCTTCATCACTTTCATAGAATGTTTGTCTCGGTAAATTTTTTGGGGACACCCTGTATAAACAAATGTGTAATATGTTGGACCATGGGCTTTCAACTACTAACTACTAATTGAAAGCCCATGGTTGCACCTACGATCCGATGCCATTTATAGCGCTCCGATCATTAGCTTATGATGATGTAGTTGTCATTTTTACCCTTGTATCTTCTGGTTGTGGTGTTTTATAAGGTTGGAGCTGGGAAACACAAGGGAGTTACGATGTATGGCGTGTATTTCATTATTTCTTTCCTTGTTTTTCAGGGACGATTGGAAACGTGAATGATATTATCGAGACAACGTAATGGATCCTACATACTCAGCGTTTTCGTTTACTAAAGAAGAGGGGGATGGCTTAGAGACATATACCCAACGGGTAGAAATCAGTCAAAACACGGCAAGCCAAGCTGAAATCGAACGCCAAATACAAAATGCGGTTAAGGAAAGACATTTGGATAAATTAAACGAAATGCTGCAGCGACATCCCCACTATCAAACTTACTATCACATGCAGAAAAATGTACTTGGACCAAAAGTTGATTTAAAACTAGACCAATCATGGGGTATGACAGTTTTGCATTGGGCCGCTATTTCTGGAGATACTGCAAAGCTCGAGAATGCAATATCAAATGAGCCACACCTTTCTCTCAATACATTAGACTCTTTTAGTGACACTCCGCTGCAGCTGGCCTCGAGAAATGGTCATTCTGAATGTATGAAATTACTTTTAGATAAAGGTAGTGATGTCAACATAGCAGGAAACTGGTGCAGGAATCCAATACACGAAGTTGCTGAAAATGGACACTATGCAGCTGCCGTCGTGTTAATCAAATACGGGTCTCCCTTAGACAGCACAACATCAATTGGTAATACTCCCCTGCTTCTTGCATGTATGAATGGTAATTTTGACATTGCAAAATTACTTGTATCCAGGAATGTGAAAATAAACTCAAGAAATGCTGATGGTCAAACTGCACTTCACAAGGCTTGTCAGAATGATAATATAGAGTGTGCAAATCTGTTGGTTGATAATAATGCAGATGTGGAAGCGAAGGACAACGAGCAGCAAACGCCTCTTTTAATAGCAGCTAAATGTGGTAGCTTGAATTGTCTGAAATTACTTGTTAATATAAACTGTGATATAAATGCATGTGATTTGAACAAAGCCACGGGACTTCATTTGACGGCAAGGGGTGGTTTCATAGACTGCACCAAAATCCTAATTGGCGCGAATGCGAATATTAGATCACGAGATGTGTTACGCAATACCCCTTTAATTGAGGCTAGTTTTAATGGAAATTATGCGGTTGTGAACTATTTGGTAGAGTTGGAAAGTCTAAATATAGAAGACGTAAATTACGCCAATTTTTCTGGACGTACGGCGTTACACCAAGCTGTTTTAAATGGCCACGTTGACGTCACTTGCGTGTTACTGAAACATGGTGCCAGTCCATTAACTATGGACAAATCCACGAACACCCCAACTCAGCTATATCGTTCAATGACAGGGACAAGACTTCCTTTCAACGCACGTGTAACTGGACGTCCACTTTTATTTAACAGCAAAAAAGGACGTGCTCCGATTCACGATGCTTCAGAAAACGGCCACGCTGAATGCGTTAAGTCATTATTATGCTATAACGCCGATGGTAATTCACGTGATTTTGACGGTCGAACGCCATTAATATTAGCGACAACAAAGGGTCACACAGACGTGGCAAAAGTGCTCATTGATCATAATGTAAATATTGATAGCATTGATCGGGTTTTTAGAACAGCTTTACACCAAGCAGCGTTCCATGAAGCGTTCGATTGCGTACGTATTTTATTAGACGCTGGCGCCGACGTAAATAATCGCGATTCACAGGGTGATACGGCCGTTATTATCGCAAGCCGGTGTGGATTTCATCCCATTGTACACCAACTATTGCAAAGTGATTGTGATACGACAATACGCAATAACGGTGGCCGAAATGCGTTGCACGAAGCATGCGTCGAAGGTCACAAAGACTGCGTAACGTTACTACTTCGGTCAAATACAGATGTGGACAAAGGTGATTTCTATCGGGACACGGCTCTGGTTTTAGCAGCACGTAAAGGCCATACGAAAATTGTAAATAGTTTGCTAGAACACGGAGGTGACGTAAATAGAGTCTGTTCATACGGAAGGACTGCACTTCACGGAGCAGTCGCTAACAGTGACTTCGAATGTTGTAAACTGTTACTAGAAGCAGGCGCGAATCCAAATACTAAAGACGCCGATGGGCGTACACCGCTTCTCTCCGCATTTGATTTTGTCAAGTTAACTCCAAGACGAATCGAGATCATTAAGCTTTTAGTTGTCTTTAACTCCGATGTTGATACAAATGGACCACTCAATGGTAAAATGTGTTGTCCATTAGAAGTGGCGTTGGAACGCCAGAGTTTACCAGCCGTTCAAATCTTGACGTTCGCTGGATGTGACCTAAGCATCGTTACGTTTCTAGACACTGAATTTGAAAACACTTCAATTTTTGGGCCAAGTAAACGCGAACATGTTTTTTCTTGGATCAAAAAGTACAAATCTAGTCCAATGACGTTGCGATGTATCTGCCGCATGGAAATACGCCGTCACCTAAGCCATTACGTAAAACGTGACGTTGGACGAATCGTTCTTCCCAAAACGTTGAAAGAATTCCTTTGTATGGATGACCTTCAGAGTATCTAGATGTTTTTAGTTAAATATTCTGAGATATTCATACTCTTGTCTTTTATCAAGTGATACCAAGATATTCCAAGATTTTCCCATGTATCATAAGAGCTGAGATCATCATAATATGTTAGTCTCATGATCAGCAGAAGAGTATGGTGATTCATATTCAAATCAATATAAAATGATTTAGCAAACACTGGCCTGAATACGTTCTGTGTAAGTCTGTAAGTGACATTTTAAAACAATTAAAAAATCAAAGAAATATCGGCCATTGCCATTTTGTCGAAAATACTCGACACAAGTAACTCGGTTAGTTCAGCGTTTAATTCGGCCTGTCGACTGTCGAGCAATCGCGGCAGACCTACTCAAAGTGTATTTCCACAGACACGGGAACAAACAAAAATTCATCCCCCTCCCACTCACTATATATTATGTACATTAGGCCTACACAGTGAATGGGGGGATTAAATCTTATTCCTTGTCCTGTGGGTATTAAATACCCAGTCAATATTTTTTTTTATTAAATCTCAATTTCTTCTTTAAATTCTTCGTGTTTGTTGAAATATATTTGCTCTCATGTAATTGTCTATTGTTGTTAGTATGTGAAAGGTTTGCCACCAGAAGTGACATATTGTTACAGTCTCCAAGTTTTCAGTGTTATTTCTTGTAACAGGATCAAATATATTTGATGATCTATCTTAAAAAATTATAAACCATTGTTAAAATATGTAATATATATTTTATATGTACTTGGAATACCATTAAGACATCTGTTTTACAAATAAAGACACAAATATAACATTGGTGTGGCCTTTTAGTGGTTAAGCAAACTTATGTTATCGGATATGCAACTCAGTGTAATTTCAATGTTTCAATGAAACCCACATAGATTATGGTAGTCAACGGCAGATAGTAGGTTAACCCTAACAGCCCTGAGGAGGGGGAGGAGGGTCAAAATGACCCCCACAGTCCTGCCCAGTTTTTCTCTGAAACATTTCGGCATCAGGTAGTATCTTCAAATTCTTAGTAGCTGGAGATACAGATATAACACTCATAATTCTTAAGTCAGCAGAATTAAAAAGGGTAATTAAGAGGATGGGCTTGGAACAAGATAAACAAATAGCGACTCCTTCTATTTTAGTCATGTATATATAGAATTTTTAATTCAATTCAAAAAGCCCGCGCTTTGCCCCGACTTCTAAATAGGGACACGTGACTGATCATGTGACATATCATAACTTCCGGGCAGAACACATGAAAAATAATAAAATCATTTTTCTCCATTCATTTAGGTATTTACTAATTCAATTACATTGTGATGGGTAAGAAAAAGAATAAGAAGGAAAAGAAAGGTAAAGGAGCTGAAAAAACGAATCTGAAAACAGAAAAAAATCTGGAAAAACGCCAAAAGAAAGAACTGCTCGCGAAAGGAGAGGTATTATCGCCCATCTAAATTCTATTTAAATTTCGGTTATTACTGCTGCATGAGATTTCTCTAACTTTAGATACGTCATTATCAAATTTGATGACCCATTTGATAAACTTGAAATATTTCCTGCTGAAATTGCTATAACATTGTTATAGTTATAGTTCGTTGTCCTTTGACAGTGAAAATTGCTCTGGAATCAAAAATAGGCTACCCAATGCCTTCAGAATTCAGTCTTACATCTATGACCTATTTTGTGCTTGTAGCTCTCCCCCTAGTATGTATCCCGGGGTATGTATCCATGGTGTGTCAACCTTTATCATATGCTATGACCCCACTTGCGTTGTGGTTGTACAATCCAACCATTGTATGTAGTTAAATCCCCAATTGTATGGGTTTATCGGCAGAACCAGAAGATTTTCGTTTTACATCGGGAACATCTACGCACTTTTCAAGATATTGGAAGGGGAACCCCTAGTATGTATCCAACAGACTGACTAGAAGCAGTGAAATTTTTTGCACAAAATTATCAATTAGAGGAACCATTTCTTCAATAAAATAAACATTACAAAATTTCAATTAAATAGTAAGGTACAATTAAATGCAATAAAAAGTAACACAGCATATTGTCAAGTGGAAATAAAACTAGTTGAAATAACAAATGTGCAAATTAATTTTACCAATCAGCCATTTTGAATAGCACTTCCTATGTAAACAAATATTTCATATTACCAAACTTTAACATAGGTGCCTTATAGTCTGAATATAATTCAGACTAAATAGGATATAGTCTAGGGGAACCCCCATAATTTGCAGAGCCTCGATGTTCCAATAGATTACTCACGTCGAGAGCTACCATACTTTCAAAATCTAACATGGTAGCTCTCGACGGGAGTAACCAATAGATAGATGGATTTGGCAATTAAAAACGAAACTTTCCTAGTTCTGCTGATTAAGGTAACTTATAACTTAATCAAAAAATCCAAGATGGCCGAAACCAGGAAGCACATGGCATTTGAGTATAATCTGACCATCAAAATTAACTGTCTTTTGGTTGGATTTTCTCTCAATTTTTTAGTTCCACTTATCATTTATATAACCAGGCTCACTGTGGTAATGCAAGTAGAAACAGTAAACATTTTGGAATGGGAATTTGAGTCCTCTGAAAATGTGACAGAAAAATTGACAAAAAGAGTAGCAAGGCAAAGGTCCCTTAACAATTTTTTCCTAATTTCTCTGAAACATCCCTTTAATATAGCCCAAAATGGAAGGAGCTTTAGAATTTTGAAATCTCTCATACAAATTTAAAAAAATAGAAAAAAACAATTTGAGAAGTGTACTTTTTTCCTTATTTTGTTCAGAACTTTAAGTCCTGGATGTCAACATTATGTACTGTCTTGTAGAAATTGCAGGGGAACATTATGCACACAATTAGTAATTATCCCAACGAACGGAGTTCGGTAGGGATATAGTGAAGCCCTCCGTTCGTCAGTCAGTCAGTCAGTCCGTCCGTCCGTCCGGAAGATAACTCAAATATTAGTTGACGGGTTTTCTTCATATTTGTTGGAAAGATGTATATTGATGAATAGTTTTACGCAAAAATTTTTTTTTCCAAGATGGCCGCCGCTTTAAAAATGACGGGACTTTTTCGTAAAAATCATAAATTTTTCATTCTAAACCAAAGTAATTAATATTATTGTTTGAAATTTGAATAGTATATTCGCAACATCTATCTTTTTCACATATATTCCGTGTTTTTCATCCTGACCCCCAGGGGCCGTGTATGGGGGTCAGGAAAACAGAAATTTTCGCTAATTTTTAGATCTTTCTGAAGTATAGCTTTATTATACTCAAATGAAAGGCAATTAAGAGTAGATTGCAAATATTGTATCTTTTTTCTGATTCGAGCCTCGTAAAATTCAAAATGGCCGTCTAATGTACGATTTCGCAATAATTTTTCGATCCCTTCACTCAAATTGAAGGAATTTTGGAGTAGATCACAATTATGGTATTATTTATCAGATTTGTACCTCAGAAAATTCAAAATGGATTTTTTTCAAGATGGCCGCCGCTTTAAAAATGACGGGACTTTTTCGCAAAAATCGTAAATTTTTCATTCTAAACCAAAGTAATTAATATTATTGTTTGAAAATTTGGTATTGTATTCGCAACATCTATGTTTTTCACATATATTCCATGTTTTTCATCCTGACCCCCAGGGGCCCGTGTATGGGGGTCAGGAGAACAGAAATTTTTAGATCTTTCTGAAGTATAGCTTTATTATACTCAAATGAAAGGCAATTAAGAGTAGATTGCAAATATTGTATCTTTTTTCTGATTCGAGCTTCGTAAAATTCAAAATGGCTGTCTAATGTACGATTTCGCAATAACTTTTCGATCCCTTCAACGGATGGCTATATACGTATTACTCAAATTGAAGGAATTTTGGAGTAGATCACAATACACTGTATTATTTTTCAGATTTGTACCTCAGAAAATTCAAAATGGCTTATTTGCAGGAATTCGCAATTCTAAAATCTAAATTTTTCAATTTTAACCAAAGTAATGAGTATAATTGATTGGAATTCGGTAATTGATATTTTGTTCGTTGGGATTTGCTACTCCGCAGAGTTGCCATTATCTAGTTTGAGGAAGCATAAATCTTTGTAATTTTGAAAAGAAGACCGCTAAATTTTCTAGTTATTTACACATTCTAAAGAAAAATTAGCACTCAATTAATAATCTGGGTACACTAAAGAACCTTTTGTGAAAAAAGATTTAGGCTGTGTTTGGAATGAGTTTTGTTCATCTGAAAAAAGCACATGGTCATCAAAATAGTAAAAAGTGCAGTCTGACCTTAACAATTAATTGTTATAAAAAGCACTGTAACAACAGCAATATGCAAATTAATTTACTCCATCAGTCATTTTGAATAACATTTTCTATGTAAACAAATATTTTTTAATACCCAAATATTTAGGTTATAGTTTAGACTAGAGGTAATGTACTTCTGTACTTCACCTCGTGTTTGGAAAATCATCCATTTTTCTAGCTGATTGTTTTTATCAATATTCTGCCTGATCATGTATAAAGAATCCAAATGTACACCAACAATTTCAATTTCAAACTATGTAATTCATGGTGACATACTTTAGATGGAGCCAGGGTAAAACAACTTTGCCATACCCCAACAAAAAATCCTGTATCAGATTCTGCATTGGATCCCATATACAAGATCCCGGATCAGAACCCATGTCAGAACTATTTGAAAATTTCATTAGACTTAATATTGTGTTATTATGGCATATTATGAACCAAGGCGTATTAGTATTATAAATTGCTTCTTTTTTAAAACTTGTTAATAATAGTTGAAAGTGTCATTCAATAAATTAGATTGTATCTTTTAATGTCACCATCATTAGATGACGACATACATAACAAGTTTCAGAAAAGTATTATGGAATAAATAGGTTACTGATTGTCGTGATGGAATATGAATTTTTTCTCGAGAAAATATGATATAGGCCTCGGAACATATCATATATGATATTGGCTTCGGAAAATATCATATTGACACTTTGGCTGTCTCCCTCAGTCAGTATGATATTTTCCTTCGTCAATATCATATTTTCCCTCAAAATAAAATTTAACCCCTTCCTAACCCTCCAAATGAAATTAATAATCTTTGTCAATGAACATTTGATAAATTGACCTTTATACCTCTAATGATATTGTTTTTAGGATGATATTGAGGCTCTCATAGCAGAGTTCCAGGAGAATGACCGCAAGTTAACAGAAGTCCAAGAGGAGAAAACTGCACCACCCTCTCCTAGGTAAATGCCTGTAGATTGTATCATACAACTGGAACCTCTCATTCAGTCTGTTCATTGTGGGTACACTTTAATATCAGGGTTTATCCCATAGTTGAGGTCAAATCTGTAGAATAACACATATATTTATGATATTTTGCAAACACGTGGAAAAAAGCAATATCTGTGGAATACGGAGAATATTTCACAGATATCACTTCCACAGATTTGAAAACTCCCGCCAATGAAACGTGCATTGCTACATGGTTACATGTTATATATGCTTTCATGGTGATTTCATGATGTCACAAATATGGAAATGATTAATGCTTTGGCTATAGTTCAACTATGGGATGATTAGAAGGTTACCATTTAGAACATCCTATGATTTTTTTAGTGATATCATTTTAATCCACTCTTTGATATCAATATCTGCACTTATTCCTTACGCTCACTCGTCCAGATATTGATTTCAACTCATGGATAAAAATGATATCTCTCAAAATCATAGGATAATCCTATACATATCCATTAACATTCACCCTATTTTGAGATCTCTGTTGTAATATTACCATGAACATAAAAAATCATGATTAACAGTAAATGACTTTAGTTACCTTGAATTTTTGAATTTAAAAGAAATATAGACTGAAGAGCAGGTATTATATAGACAAATAAATACTGCAGGGCTATGCATAAAACTTTTTCTGTAAGCTTTGGAAAGCTTTTGTGCCTAGCCCTAAGGTATTTATTACTCGATATAATACCTGAGGTATATATTGGATTCGAACATGAAAACTGACCAAAATTTCAAAATCGTCACTTCATCCCCTACTTCCAGTGCAACAATCAGTACAGACCAGGTAGTGTATCGATGAATAAATACCAGGTGAAATATTGACTTTGTTTACAGTTAATAAAAGTCCTAAATTGAGTCCTGTTCGAATATCTAATAAAACCTCTACTTAAGTGGAACACATCTGTTAGTGGAACATTTTTATATATGGAACACATTTTCAAGTCCCTTTATCCATTGATCTGGTATCTGAAACCGATTTAAAGTGAACAGGATTCTGAGGTACCATTGATGTTACCATATACTTTCATTCTCTGTTTAAAAGATAAAAAGCAGACTGTTCCTAGTTCATTTATTGGTAAGAAATTAATAAACTTGCTGTATGGCAGTTATCTTTAATATGAATACTACTTTGCAGGTGTAGCATGACATTAACTGCCCATCCTGATAGAGATGAACTTATCTTATTTGGAGGAGAATTCAGTAAAGGCAATAAGGTGAGCTATTCTCATTAAGATAGTACTGTATCTGGATGCTGGACCTGGTTTAAAAATTTGGAAATTACATGTACATGTACCCTTCCCTGTTGAAAATCAGATGATAAACTATTCCATAAATTTTGAGTCAAATATTAGGAAGCTTTTTCATGTACAAAGTCAATGGGAAGTTTTGTGATTAATTTGTATTAGATCATGAACACATTCATTTTTATCCAAAACATTTTTTTAATGTCTTTTTACATGCATTTTCTCAATTTCTGCCATCTTGTTTTCTGGCAGCGATTTTAGACATCATTACTAAAGGAAAACTGATTGTCAGATTTTCTTCAAATTTGCACACATGTTACAGATACTCTACAGGTGATTACATTTTGGTCGACCAAGTCAATATATCTTTTCATAGCCATTTTAGGAAAAACCTTACTGAAACAACTAGTTTTTATTGTAATTTTCAGACTTATGTGTACAATGACTTGTATGTATACAATATAAAACATGACAATTGGAGCCTAATGAAAGCCCCCAACCCCCCACCCCCAAGGAACTCACATCAGGTAAGAGTAATACATCCTGCTGGGAGCATGAGTTACATATCAATTCTTTGTCAGTTAAAACAGCTGTGTTTTTTATTATTCAGATCCCAAGTTACTAAAAAAAATCAGTTTATTAATAATCTGTTATCGCAACATTAACAGATTTTGTCATATAACAATTTTTTTCTAAAAATTCTGGTAGCAAATTACGACTTTTACAATGCAAGTATTAAGCCCTGCCATATACATATATATTTCAATCCTTTTACACATTGAATTCTCATATTGTAGACTGTGGCAGTTAAACAGGGTGGTGGCCAATTATGGATATTTGGGGGTGAGTTCGAGAGTCCCTCACAGTCACAGTTCTACCATTATAGGGAATTGTGGGTACTTCATCTGCAGAAAAAACAATGGGAGAAAGTCAAGTAAGAGAATTTTAAAAATCAATTATTAGTCAAGTAAATCATTGGCAAGCTTTAGAATGGAAATCTGTATCATCTCCTTAAAAGAGCTAGATCTCATAAGACTTTATAGTACAGATAGAATAGATAGAGCTTATTTAACAAAATCAATACAATTGATGATTTGCGATCACCGAATGGATTCTGTCTTTTAGTGACGTCACAATTAGGTCACCCAGCTTTAGATGCTTGATTTTGAGAGATGATCTTCTATATTTCGTGCTTTATTGATTTATTTTTCACGAAAGCGTTCTATTTGACTAGATCAACATTCATGCTTAGCACATACCAAGTCTAAGGTCTTACTGACATGATTTAGATAGCGGTTTAGCGCCCCCCGATTTTGACAAAAACGGGGGGCGCTTATAGGCATCGATGTTTAGTATGAATTTCACCCAAACTTCGCACATATATAGACATACTCATGATCTAGTCAAATCGGCATACCTGGTAAATATCCGACCCATGGTTTTTATATAAGAAACGACAATATTTTTAGCTCAAAACTGCCACGTGTCCGCCATTTCGTGATTCCATCATGTCTAATATCATTTCTATATGACGTCATACCAATAAGACGAAATACGTGACAACAGTATCCATAAACAAAATTCCTGAATTCTGATCGCAAAAGGTCAATTGGATCAATGTTTAACGTCATTGGTATACAGTAGATCATCTTGTTGACATACTTTACTTATTGTGTTTAACCCAAGATTGTGATATTTAAAAGAGAACCCCATGATTTTTTGCCATAAGATTGTGATATTTAAAAGAGAACCCCATGATTTTTTGCCATAAGATTGTGATATTTAAAAGAGAACCCCATGATTTTTGCCATAAGATTGTGATATTTAAAAGAGAACCCCATGATTTTTTGCCATAAGATTGTGATATTTAAAAGAGAACCCCATGATTTTTGCCATAAGATTGTGATATTTAAAAGAGAACCCCATGATTTTTGCCATAAGATTGTGATATTTAAAAGAGAACCCCATGATTTTTTGCCATTTTGTGACATAAGCCTCATAGCTCTCTTTATGTTGTAGTGCCCCTAACAGTCCTTCAGCCAGAAGTGGACATAGGATGGTACAATTCAAGAAGTCTCTTGTTGTATTTGGAGGCTTCCATGATAACACTAGGTGAGGTGAAAGTTTCAATAATGGCCAAGCTCAGAGGCATATATACAATTTTAATTTTGATAATATTTTTAGAATAAGTTCGAAATAAATGAGATGGCATCTTAGAATTATTGTACATAATATTTTAAGATGCCATCTCATTCATATGTATTTTGAACTAAGTTCTAAATACATAATTCTTGTTGAGAGAATGGATAGTGAAAGTTGTTTCGTTAACTGTGCATTGGGAGCTTTGTATGTGTTCATTTGTGAATCTATTTTACAGGAAAGTACCTTAAAATAGATGATATGTGACAGTGGCATATTCAATCCAGTTTTGATACAAATCATGTATCTGTATTTAATCCCATATTACCCAGAATCCCATTGAAATATGGACTGTTAAAAAATATTAAATTTACAACCCTATAAGTCATATGATATTTTCTTTGATCAGTATTATAATATCCCTAGGAATAAAATCCATATTCCTTCCCTCTTATATAATAACCTCTATTTTATAGGAGCTATAAGTACTACAATGATGTATACACATTTGACTTGGAGAATTACCAATGGACAAAGCTACTGCCCAGTGGAACACCACCACCCCCAAGGTAACATGCTATATCTACCCATTAATAGTTTGATTTTATTTCTTAAAAAACGGCTTTCTCAGGCCCTTAGCCAGCTTTTGCCAAGGGGGGCTCATTTTTCATAAAATTCCAGAGGAGGTTCACATTAGATAACTTTTGCCCTAAACTACTTGAAAAATGATCAAAGGGCATAAATTGAGTAACTTTGATTTATACAGTTATTTCATTTCAATCATTTTCCATGACGTTTTAAAAAAATTTGGGCCAAATCTCCATTGATGCAATGCTAGGATTCTTTAACCTTGATTTATTCGTTTGACATCCAAAAATTTCCTGATTAATCACAATAGGTACATTGACTGGGCCGGTCATCCCATTTGAGTTTTAGACAGATTCAACCAACACATTTTCATATCATTAAATTAAGTGACTATTGCAAGTTTATAATATTGACGGCTATGGCAATCTGGCCCAAGCAAAATGAAAAATGACAAGGGTGGTATCTATTATTTTAGCTTTTTTCAGCTATTTAGAAACTATGCTATTGCATATATTAGTAACAGATTTTGGATTACGCTATTTTTTCGCTGAGTTTGTACACTTTTGATTTGCAGATCTGGGTGTCAAATGGTTGTTACAAATAACGGCGTTGTGATCTATGGAGGCTACAGCAAAGAGAAAGTGAAGAGAGACTTGGACAAGGGGATAACACATACAGATATGTTCCTTTTGACCCCAGACAGTATGTAAAACTCATATCTCATATATACAAAAATGGAAAAATGTTAAATGTCACTATAATTTAACTTCCCTCCCTCCATGTTACATAATTTTAACACATTGATTTTTGACTTTCACTCTCCTTCTCCAACCATGATATTCGGACATCATCCCCTATATGAACATTCTTTGTAATTCAAGCTAAGGCTGCAGATGCTAGTGACCCTAAGGCGTGGAAATGGGTTCAACTGAAGCAGGGTGGTATTCGTCCTAACCCGCGCTGTGGCTTCTCTCTGGCGCAGATAGGCCCAAATAAGGCCTTACTGTTTGGTGGTGTACATGATGAGGTGCGTATTAAGCACTGGCACTTAACTGAATTACTGTTCATGATTTAACTTTCGAAAATAAATATTCAGAAAGGCCTTCTCATGTTCCAAATGAAATATTGTTATAGTCTCCAACTTTTTGTTGATGCTGTTGAGTGTTCATTGTCTGTAAAACAATGGCAGGTGGTGATATTTTACATGTTTCTCTTAGTGTTCACCTTGAAGTGAGAACAATCAAAATTGTTTATCTGTTTACAGGAGGATGAATCTGATGATGATGATGAAGCTGACTTGGAGGGAATGTTCTTCAACGATCTCTACACACTTGACTTGGACAAGACCAGATGGCATGAACTAGAATTAAGGTAAAATTAACACACATGGGGACCCCGGTAAAGACCCCTTCTCTATTTTAGGATCAACTCTCTTCTAGACTTTGTCACTATGTGAGGACCCCCTCTGCTCTATGTCACAAACCTTTCCCGATCTTATGACCACCTGTTCTGTGTTAGAGCCATGCAGTTACAAGTATCATAGAATTGGTCTTACAAAGGGTGGGCAAGTTTTTCAAACATATTAAAAAAGAGAGCTGATCCTGACAAATTCTTATTAACCTTGATAACACATGGGAGGGGTTCTAGAATAATGGTAGAGTTAAAAAATCTATGATTCATATTTTTAGCAAGTTGATGTCATGTTGTCAACTACAAAGATGGAAATTAAGTGCTTTCAAAATTGCATTCATTTAGACTGAATTGAATTGAATATTTTCAGAGGAACAAAAGTAGCTGAGCGTAAAAGAAGGCGGAAAAAGAAAGACAATGCAACTGATGATGCTGTCCAGGAGTCTGATACTGAAGACTCCATGGAAGAAGAATCATCTGATATTGCAGAAAAAGTACAAAAATTAGTAGTGGATTCAAATCCAACTGACAATGCTCCAATGGAAACCAATGAATCAGTGTTTAGTTTGTCCCAGGGCGGAGCAGCCGCACAAAACAAAGCTGAACTATTTACTGACATGGACTCTATTATGAAGACTGGAACTACTTCAGAAATGGCGGATGAATCTGAATCTGAACCATTTGTGCCATGCTCTAGAATGAATGCCCTGACAGCTGTAAAAAACAACACATTGTACTTATATGGTGGCATGTATGAGATTGGCGAGAAACAAATAACATTATCAGACTTCTATAGTCTAGACCTCCACAGACTTGATGAATTTAAGACCATAATAGAAAACACAAATGCACAGGAGGTATGTATGTCTCACATATCTGTATTCATCCCACACTTAGATTAGGAAAATTTTAGGTTGTGAGAAGTAATATTTCAAATATGGTATACATAAAAATTCATTCCATACATATAAGGGATGGGCTAGTTTCTTGGAGCTGTCCTATTCCATGGTTATTCTCACATAACATATTTTATAAGAAAATGCATAAGTTACAGTATATATATATAACACCACTTCTACATTGATGATTGCTTTGTTTTAGGAGGAATGGGAGGATGCGAGTTCAGAGGAGGATGACGAGGAAGAGGATGAAGGTAGGATAAACCATCTTGAAATATATGGGTTTCAAAAAAAAAATCTTGTCATTAAAATTTCAGAAAAACCAATATTCAACTTGAAATTTCTACAGATACAAGAGCAAACTAGTGCCAGAATCAAATTGCGTTTTGGGCATGCTGGGTAAACTAATTGGTGGCCATTTAGAATGGTTTGATTCACATATGACTTTTACATCTAATTCAATGTAAAAGTGCAAATTTATTCAGGGAAATTGTGTGCAAGATCCCCCTCTTTCATAGAAATTTTTGTTCATGGATACAACATTGGTTTTAGAAATGAAAAGTTTCTGTAAATGACCTCCTGAATCTTCATAATGCTTGACAGAAAATTTAAACAACACAAGACCTTAAAAAACTATTGACTTATATCATATAATCTGTTTTTCATTTTCCAGATTCCGAAATGGAAGAGGGCATGCCAGACATCGAAGCTGATGAACCTGCATCTGATTACTTCAGCCGAACGCGTGATTTCTGGTTTGACTTGGCGGAAAAAAATTCCAAAGAGGAAGGAGATACCTTGAACACTAAACAATTGAAGAAGCTAGCTTCAATGATGGCTAAAATGTATCACAAAGAACAGACTAAAGAATAAACACCATTCATAAAGTACAAAGTGAGATTTTAATGGATGAAAAGGAGAAAACAAATAAAATCTAGAATGAGCTGTAAGAGTTGTAATCGTTGTTATGGAGATTTCATACATATTCAGGTAAAATAGATAAGAATGTTAACTAACACCATTTAAAGATGGCAGCTGTGTTGTCCAAGATTGATGCTACTAAACATTATTTATAAGCCATTTTTCAGGTCCTCGTTTATGGTTTACTTAGATATAGTCTAGGTATACTAAGGTAGACAGATTAGAATGAGTAAAGCCCCTAAAGGTAAATGATTTGAATTTTTGTGAGAAGTACTTTTGGATTTCCTTTGTTTCAGAAAAATGGTTTAACCCTGGGCACCTGGATACCCTTATACAGAAAATTAACCTATAATTAAATTATCAAGCTCATTTACATCTAAGTTTATATGCTGTCATTATGGTTGGATGTTATCTCACCTGGGCCACCTTAAAGGTTTACTAAAGAAAATATTATATATGAAATATCCAAGCAAAGAAAGTTTGGATGGGATGAAGTACAGTCTATGCATCCATTTGTCTGTCTGTCTTTTCATATGTCTGGGCAATTTCTCAAGTACCAGTGAACAGATTTTCTTCATATTTGTTGGGAAAATGCACAATAGTAACTGTTCTTAAGCCTTGTGCCAATGCCACACATAAAATCCCAGGCAGTACATGTATCACGTCTGTCTATTTGCTGCATGATCAGTCAAGAGTGCTTTCAGAGATTTTTTGTATTACCATATTGTTAGAACTCTCTGAAAAGGTGTGGGATGTAAGAATCAAAACAAACTTGTTTATTTTGTAAGGTACAAACAATCTGTATTGACTGGTTAACATTTGCATTACAAAAGTGGGGAACCAACACCTCTCAAGTAAACCTGAATGGCAGAATTCATGAGGTCGTCTGCTGCTATCAATAAGACCCCTTAGTGTAGTCATAGTTTTTATAATTTATCACTAATACTGAAATGTTGAGCTCGATAACTAAAATGAAATAATACAAAAAATAGATGCTCACTATACTTTAAATACTACATAACAATTTGGCGGTGAAAAGTTCTCAGAAAATTTCAAATCCATTTTATGTTTAATTTTGCCACAGGTTCAAATGAAGAGATACAAGCTTAGAATACACAAGTTACATCTCTGTAATAACATAAACAACAAAGTCATTAGATTATCAATGGTATAACAGGTAATAAAAAAATTAATAATTGATTATAATCAATGTTAAGTGCCTTTTGAACATTAGTTTTAGAAACCTATTTATTGATAAAATAATTGGATAATGATTATTATAACTTTTGCTTGAGTGGTCCAGAATTTCATAATGCAGAATATCAAGGAGGATTGGCTCCCAGAGTGCAACATATCGATATTCTGTCTCATAAATGGGCGTGTCGTGATACAAAATTCGAATTCAAACAGCCGCCATTTTGTTCACTTCAACATTTGAATTATGAATTTTGGTCTTATTTCCAAACAAAAAATTCCAAAACTCACAAGAAATGATTGAGACATTGGTTCGAATCTTTTGAACTGTTTAATTTGAATTTACAGGTGGTTATAATTTCAGAAAGTAACGACATTTCAACGTTATCAACTTATCATTGTTGGAAAATATCGAGTTTCGATCCTGGGAACCAATCCTCCTTGGCAGAATATGTAGCTAAATATACAAATGCAGTTCAAAGAACACATTTTATTTAACAAATTTAAGAACTGCCTAATTTTCTTCAACCACTGTCCATGTTTTAACATGTATAATGTTAAGTTCACCTTTTTAGTGTATCACCAAGCCCGAGGAATCTTGCTGAGAAAGTATTTTCTTAACTAACCAAAGATATTTTTGAAACATTTTTTTCTCTGAAGTTAAAATATGATAGGATCAAGTATGATCAGAAATATTTTCTTTAGGTGAAGAAACCAAAATGAAATATGAAAAATATTTTTACATGACATTTAGCCACATTCTGATTTGATAAACCCCATGAACAGCGTATGTTAAACTGTCAAGGGGTCCTAATTTTAACAGTTTAATATCCTGCTCTCGAAGAAGTCTTTCAATAGATTTCTGAAGTGATAAAATTACCTAAATTAAATCTGGATTTTCAAAACAGTATTTTTAATTTCTTCAGGTAGATATCTGAGTCACCGTTTTCATATTGATTATATTGGGCAAACACTGGCACTTGAAGCGTAGACTTTTCTATCTCAGGTAGATTAATGAAGCGTGGCTTCCTTTTAAACATAAGATTCAACTCAAGCTGAGGCAATATAGTACAAAGGGAAAGATTAGAGAAACAATCCTAATAGTTAAAACCCAATCAAAATATCTAATAAGGTCATTTATTGTTATCGTTTTTCTAGGGAAAGGGATCTGGTACAATTTTTGTTCAATTATGGCCATGAATTGAACATTAATAATTCTCAAGTATTATTTCAAGGAAAATCTGATCTGACCTTCATGAGATATTTTGCACAGGTTATGACATTTTACCATCCTCTGCCTCTAAGTTTTAAAAGCAAATTGGTTGCCAAGCAACTTGAAGTTGCATAGCAACAACTTTTTATCTTCAATATGCATGTTGTCTGCTACAACACTTTTCTGTGTAGAGAAGTACTTGTATCACTTACTCTATACAACAAGTTCTATTTCCAGTTTCTCAAAACAGCCATAGCGACTGTCTATTATATAAGAATTAGACATCCTTCAACCCTTCCTTTCTCCACCGTACCAACATGTACATAAGTATATTCAAACGCCAAGACGGCAGTTTTATAAATATGTATAATTTAATTCACCAATAAAATGGTTTCACATATTATTTTACACAACTTTTAAATAATTACATGTGTATTATTTTTAGCTCGTTCATTTTTATCCAAATTGCCTTGCTTTAGCCTGCATACATCCAATCATAGAAAAAATATGAATGTACGTTGTTCAATATAGGTAACAATATTATGATAACAGCTTAATACATCACCACCATATTGCTTCACATTTATAAGAATATCACACTGATTAAGTTTCATTCATAAAAGTAATTAAAATGTTAAAAGCAGCTGAATTTAAAGAACTCGAGAATATCCAACATTTTGTCTAAATTGTGCAGAAAATTTTTTGTGAAAAATTTCATTACCAGTGTGATTATTTTTGTAAATGTGTATAATAAAAGCACAATATATATCTATAATGTGGCTCATTTTTCTATCACACAAAATTTAACACATTAAATAACCAAAATTCTTACAGGCACCTTATATAACTTAGGATTCCGGGTGATTACTATTTACATTTTTTACATTTTTACAATTGGGGTTAAGGTCAATTAATGTTAGTTAAACATACACTAAAATCGATAACATCGTCATGTCAACAAAACAATGATACTACACTTGAAATAAATGGCTAAATATATCAACTTTACATGTGTCGTGCATAAATGTACAATAATTTATGAAGGTGAGTTGAAGCTTGAAATTGACAGCTTTGGTCATCGTGTTACACAATGCCACATCATTTGTCTGTTGCTATAGCAACATCATCAAATACAATAAAAATGTGATAGCTCAAGTTCATTGCACCTCTGTGTCTTCAAAGGGTATAATAAAGGTAAAATAGCAGTTCATTTATGGCTATCTAAATACCTGCATCTGCTGGAAAGTAACCATATTCAGAATTATGCTATTCAAAATTGATAAAAACCCTTTGATCTAAATATGACTAAGACGCATTTCAGCCATCATTTGCAAAAATAGCTAGCTATCTGTTAAGTCCTGTCTTAGAAATCTGTGTGTATACTCTATACACATACTGCTCATAGCTTGTTGGTCATATGCGATCAATGTGCATTCAATTCAAGGTGCACTCAGCTCAGTTTTCCAATTGGTCATGAAGAGCTCCTAAAGTTCCCAATTTCAGAGAATTTGGTGACTACTGTCACAGTCGTCAGTCCAATCTATCCTTATATGGATGTAAAACATTCCAGTGGGTTTCAATCTGACATGTCCAGACATGCTGAATCACTATGGTAACCATACCATTTTGTATATCCATGATTTATTGTCTGGTCTTTATGACAATAAATTGAAGAACATGGTTGCTAAGGTAACATTGACTCCTATGACAAGCATTAATAACTGCCGCTCCTCAACCCAATCCTGGAAATATAAGAATTATACATTAAAAAATGAAATTCCTAAAAAAGCATCTTCACGTAATTATGAATTAAAGTTTTGTTCAAACCACATCAGAAGAATATCATAAAAATACCGTGATTTTAACTTTTTTTCAAAAATGACCCTTCAAGAAATGATCGATAAAACCTGCTAATCTAAAATAACACTAAAAAGGCACAATTTCTGCAGAGAAAAGTAATTTAATTAACCCAGTGGTTAACAATGTGATTCCCCAGCCAAACTCCTATTTATTCACCTAGTTGCCATCTCACAAACCCATAATTGCCCCAGACACTAATGTCAAAGCCATAAACTCACAGTAATTGCTCTTTCCTCAAACCCATAATGTCTTTGCCTAAAAACTGCAATGTCTGCCACTAACCAAGGCCTTTTTCTTGAAAGTCAATGCTCAAACCCACAATAATGACCTTGCCTCTAACCCCAAATGCCCTTGTTCCTAACCCAAAATGCCCTTGCCTTAAACCAACATCCTTGCCTCTAACCCAAATTGCCCTTACAATTGACAATAAGTCAACGCTACAAATATTAGGTGTTACGTGTAGGACTTCAAATTATGGTACATCATGATATCATATTTGAGAACAATCTCTAAATTGCATCCTCCAAGTGCAGGGCTTCTAGATCCAGAATGGTTACAGATTCTGAACACCTTATTTGGATGATGCTAAATTGATATTAAATCAATTAATTAGTTGAAGCATCTTGTTCAGTGTTTCTTGATAGATGAGTTTTGTTGCGGCTCTGTTTTCTGTTTTATCGATTATTCATAAGTGAAATATTTTTACAAAGGGGAAAATAAGATTTTACAGCTTTATGCATTTAAAAGATTTAATTCAAGAATAAAATGAAGCAAGTCATCTCGTTGATATCTTTTGAAGTTCCATTCATATTGGTACTTGCATATTTTAATTAGTATAATTGGATTTTTGTTCACTTGTCGAATTGGTTAGTTCCTCATGCAGGGTACACACCTGTAATTCATGCAAAGTTGAGAAAACCTCTATTTCACATTAAAATCAAATCTAAACATGAAGAACATGAAGATGACATGGTTAAGTCGTGCTGTTTCTAGTATTAGATTTCCACAGGCAATTAAAGTGCAGATGTGATATATAGCTTGACATGCCCAAATGTGTTGAAAGAGCAGGTGAATATGGTAATTTGTATTGTTCCCAATAACCCCCCCCCCCAGTCCCCTTCATCATTTTAAGAGAAGTGTCTGTCAATAATGATCCTACATTTAAATAGCCCAAAATATTTGAACTCATAAATGAAATATTTTTGGGGTAATTTAGGAACAGAATTTTAGGCAATGGTCCTTTAAGCAATAATATGGCCATGCAGTGCTATTCAAACAGTGTACTAAATTGCAAGCCATTTGTGGTTATTTGTGGTTAATTTCTGTTTTTTGAACCCAGCAAGATGAGACCTCATACTACAGCATTTGTATGGTTACTATGGTAATATACATGAAATCGGAATTTTTATCTATACATGGATGCCACATACTCAGTATAAGTCAGCTACATGTTAATCTCTATGACTACATGTTAATTGATGGAGGTATATATAAAAGCTTTCAAGCTGATTAAATATCAGACCATCAGCCATATGAAAACCAAACTTTACTCTGTGCAAAGACAGGATAACATTTGGAAATGTCATGAAATCACAAAACACCCTAGGTCCCAATCATAGTTAATATACAATACAAAGTACACATAATTTGAAATTAGCTTTTGATGGATGATTAATTGTTAAGATATATGAGAGGATGTATACATTTAGCATTAGCTGTTGCTATGACAATTATTGTTGTTGCTATAAACACAAATGGTTGCCACCTCTACCTATCAACCCTACCTTAGCTGCCTAGAAACAATAAGAAAAATCAAAATGTATTTATAAACGGTTCTATAACATATTATCAATAAAAATGAAATTAGATATTTTAAATACAGGAGGCTACTGTATGCATTTTTGTCATGTTTAATACTCTAATGGAAAATAATCTCTTAAGGGTGTTTTTCGACAAGATGCCAAAATGCTTTGAAGTTAAAATAACTAAACTAGATGCAGGGAATGATGTGCTCAACAGTAACTTCATAGTGAAGCTTTAGGTTTAACACAGCTTGCATTTATCATAATACGGTATGTTGAGCAATATCACTGTTGCATGATGCTCAAATATAAGTCATTGCATTTTCTCATGGTTGTCATCCATTCCTTTAATAAAACAAGCAATTGAGAATAGTCAATTAGTTTAATTTGTAATACTTTTTGTTCATGCTTTCTCTCAATTTTTCAGTCGAATTCAAACTCTAGAAATGATTCAAGTTAAAACCAATCCTTTGATTATATGGCCTTTTTTCTTTTGGCCTGTACAATAGACTGACTTCATGCATGACATATGACAACCGTGAGGGAAATTTCCACTGATAAAAGGGAAATTTCCATTTTTAAGGAAAACCAATGTAAAAAGTTACCTTTAAATCAGACAATCTGAGAACCAGCTCTCCTTCCTTACGTCGTTGTTCTTCCTCAGCCAATCGCTGAACCTCTTGTCGACGAGCTGAGCTCAGTTTTGCTGCTTCAGCTCTTGGCATTATATTCTCCGTGCCGACCTTTGAAACATCGGGTAAACTGCCTCTATCTACTCCCCTTGATAATCCTAAGCCACCTTTTCTAGCAGGTTCCATTTTATATCTACTAAGTAAGGGTCGTTCAACTTTGATATCATCCATAGTTCTTTTAGGGATTGCAGCAGGGGTTGGGGTGGGTTTAGTATTTGTTTCTGCACGCACTCGTTTGCGTATACCATTCTCTATTATAAATATATCCGAATCTTCAGGGTTGATGTTTTCTGAACTATGCACTGTGTCGGCCGATTTAGGAGGTAAAGATTTATTAGGTTCGCCTTTTACTATTGAAGGCATTGTTTTGCGTCTTTGTAGTGAACCTAACCTATTGTAATCCGTCTCATGGACCCCAGAATCTGGGGACCTGTCATTATGTTGAACTTGTTCATTAGTATATCTATCCTCATTATTGTATATTTCCCGGCCTAATCCACTGTCATCTCTCATTCGACTGTATTGATCAAAATGATCAGTTAATACAGCCGAGGTGTTCAGTTCACTTAAGAGTTGCTTGCCTTCAAAGCTATATCTACGATTCCTAGTACTAGGGCTTCTAGCCATTGAACCGCTAGGTGAGCTATCCCCACTTCGCTGAACATGATTTCCTATTCGTGGGTTGCCGTTTGGATTGAGCCGTTGACTGGTGCGTGGTGAACTGCCAGCTATGGCACAATCAAGTGCTGATGATAATGCAGACATCGGTGTTTTTGTGCCTTCCCCGTTTCTCACGCCTTCACCATTTGCTCGTTTTAGCATCATTGATTTTGAACGATGATGAGGCATGTTATTCTCCAAGGGGACTGCTTTAAGATTTTCCATGTCTACCACACCATCCAGTTCCTTCAGTTTATTCTTAAGAACTAAAGTTCCTGCAAATAACAAAAGGGGGCATTGCAGTTGATTCAGAAATTATGGGATAGATACTTTTATAAAGATGGCATGTTGGTTGTAGTTATGACATGTTTTATGGCTAATTTATTCTCAATATGGGAACATAGCAATATTTTACTGTTACCCCAAAATTTCTATAAATATATTTCAAATTGACCTCCCCCTCTACCAAGCAAGAGTAACTTCACATTAATTTGTATTTTTTAAAATAAAATCACTTTCTTGATACAAATATCATTAAACACGAACAAAATAAAATGGATCTTTAACACATTCCTGAGAAATCAAAAACATACATCGACAAGGTAAATCCTTATTATAGCTGTTCGAAAAAGGCAACTTTCCTAATTATTTTCTAATAATGATAGACATTTTGTTGTTATTTAGGAGAAGTAAATGTCATATAAAAATGTTCACAATTTAACTGGAACTTCTTGAAATGGACTAAGTAAAAACTTCCGATTTGGCTATACATTCATGCAAGATCAGTGCAAAAACATGCTCACTGAGCTAAACTTTATTTTTGAAGATTGATGAGAAAAAATATCTTCAATTAAATGGAAAAACTAGTGTATGGCAATGGTGTTCTATTTGAAAGGGCTGATATGTTATTTTGATCCACAGGCTGTAATATTTGTGATTACGTTATATCATAATGTCAAATTTACTGATCGTCATCCAGGTTTTCTGATTATGTGACACATGCCAAGGTGACATTCACATAATCATTTTACAGTGATCATTTTTTCAAACTAATTTTTACAAAAAAAGGATGCCTGTTTCAATTATTTATGATGCCAGTTATAAATTTTCCTGAACTTTTTGTGTATTTTAGGAGAAGAGTTAGAACCTGAGCCACCTTAAATATAAAAATCCATATTATCTAAAATGATCCTAAATGATGCGTCATATGTAAATCAATGACATATAGTCTGAGATACGGGATAAGATTGCAGAGATTAATTTGCGTAATAAGTGAAATCATAGCTATTACATATATTTCTCTATTGCGACCATATTTGATTATCATATCATATATACGTATTAAGTACATATTAATAGAAAACAATAGAAGTAGACTAAAGATATTGATCGGACATTTCTCATTTTGAAAACAATGATACTCTAAACAAGTGAGAAACATTGAACAATTTTGGATGCATTGTGCTATGAATGTATTTAGAATTTTCATTGATTACAAGTTAAACATAAGTTATTACCCTAGCTTTGGTTGCTATGGTATTCTACTATACCAAGTTCACTCTAAAATGTTAAAAACCTAATATTTCATGTGGTATCTATAAAATAGTAGAAAATATTTTCCATTTGAAGGGCAAATACATGGAGGGCCTGGGTTGTTGATATGGTTACAAATACTATCTAAATGTCAAACCTGGTTGATGAAATTCTGGGGCAAGTTCCTTAGCTTTCAGTCTGGCTGTATCTGACTCTTTCCTGGCTTGGAGGGCTGACATGTCCGCTCTTTCAGCCTGCACCCTGGCATTGGCCATCCTGAAAAATTCAGAACATTTGCAATGTAAATGTGTTTCAATTGGTAATAAAACTAAAAAGTGTCAACAATTTTTAAAGCATAATAAAGTACTATAAAGTGTTTTAAAGTATGTTTCATCTATAAATTAAAAATATTTTCGGAGAAATGACAAAAGATTTTCAAAAAGTTTCATTTATAATGATGACTGAAACGACACAACAGTTGAAGAAAAGATATGAATTAAGTGTGAAACTAAGAAGATGGCCCCTTTAACATTGTGGTAAACCACCCCCTCTCCATTTCTGTCCTTCCAGAGAACATCTGTGATGCACCAGAGAGATGCTAGGGGTATCAGAATGCCCTCTAAAGGTCCTTGAAAAAACGTTTGTATTTGCACTGATTAAATATGGGACAAAATTTTCTTCAGACTTGGGAAAAAGTTAAAACAAATTTCCTATTTATCTCTAATATCCACCTAAAGACAAGTAATAGATCAAGTTACAATGTAAGTTAACCATCACCCTATATGATATGAAGAAATAACAAGTCAGGGAACATCTAATTTTATGTACATACATCAGAAAATGTGTCAATATTTTCTAATATCTTCAGAAGCTATTAAGACCTCCATTGATTTCTCATGTTTCTAGGCCATTTATATCAGTAAGGGGAAGAGTTTCATTTTTGTTATCGCCAGATTACAACTTAGTTTGACAGATAATACTTGCATTAATAAATGAGACCAATTTATGAAATAAAGTATTTCGTTAGAATCAGAGCTTGATTTGCTAGTCTCATTTGCTTGATTGAACCTCTTAAAGACTCAATGTTGACTCCACCCACTTAAATTTGATTCACAAGAAAGTCTATACTTGAATCTGGACAAGATATTGAGCATTTAGGTAGAATACCTTTTTATCTCATTGAAATTGTTACTGAAATCTGTATAAGGGCTTTCAATGTTATTATTCTAGTTTCAATTGGAACCTGTTTTGAACATTTCATTTGAATATATGTTATGAAAACTTGTACTTGTAACCTTTAAGAATATTTATACATTGATATATTTATATACATTGATATATTTTAAGAATATATGTACAGATATGTACGGCCAACCTTTCTGACAACCATTAAGAATATGAGCACTGGCAACCTTTTAAAACATACTTCTGACAACCTTTAAGGATACACATACCAAAAGACTTAAGGTTACATGCACTTACAACCGTTACTGACATTTGCATCGACAGACATTAAGAAACATGTACTGACAACCCTTAAGATATACTTCTGACAACCTACAAGGAGACATTCACCAAAAACTTGAGCTTAAACGCACTTACAACCTTTAATTATAAATGTACTGACAGACTTTAAGAATACATGCACTTACAACCATTAATGATCATGTACTGATTTAATGAAAGAAGAACGACTTTGAAACTATACAGAGTATCTGCATTATGTTAGGTTACTTTTTACTGCTTTATAGTAGCATGATTATGATGGTCTGGTTGTCTTTCTAAGATAGTTAGGAAACCCCAGCCAGGGGCAGCCAATCTTTAGGAATAAAGGTATAAATTTTTATGATTGTAATTTATCGTGTTCTTCCATGGATTGTTCCCCTCAAGTTGCTGCAAAATTCTCATTTTCACAATTTTGTCAAAATTGCTCAAACGGTATCATTTATATATATATATTTCAAGTGGGTGCAAATTGTTTTTCAAATGGGTGCATGCTTATTTTCAAACTTTCAGGTTGGTGGAATGCTAACCTATTTAAATGCTGGGGAGATCATTTAGGTATGGAGTTCAATGTTAGAACAGTATAACCCCACCCTATATTGAGATTTCTTTCCTAGGCTGCAATTATCTAGATTAAATATTCCTCATTTTATGCATACTGGTTAATAAAAAATCCTGCAGATCAAATGATTCACAATATGCTGAAATGAAATGTTTTACTGATACTTAATGTTCTGGAAGGCCATATGGTAAATGAAGATGGCAGAATTGAATCTCAATATACCATTTATTGGTTCTGGAATCTATAAATAACTTTATGTCCCATTTGGTGGTAATTATCTTATTTTAATACCCTGGTGAGAAGTATGTTTCATGATAGCATCATGCTCTGCAGCTACACATGATGCTCCTCTTGGAATAAATTATTTTATTCCCTATTTGTTATCTATTTACAAATCTACATGCTAATGTGAATTAGATTTTATTAACTACTGTATATCCAAAACAAAATTGTTCCATTTATAATGAATGTTTGATTTTGGTGTAACTTAGTATTTTGCCAAGATTTGTTAATCATAATTTGTTTCAATGCAATTTTGTCCTATACCAGGCCCTCTTTCTTCCTTTACAGTACATTCGAAAGGGAATTTGTTTGGGTTAGCCCTCAGACCAATGGAGTTCAACATGAGATCAAAATATTCTCTCACAATTAAAGAGTTTATAAGAGCCAGTAATGCCCAATTCAATGGAAACACACAAGTTAAGGGATTATACCGAGAGGGTATAATAACTGTAACCCCTAGGCTAAATAAAATGATTCAAAAGAAGTTAAGGGACAAAATGGTGTTGCTACTGAGATGCCTGCTTATGATGCAGTGAAGGACTACCACTTCTCTTTGAAAAAACTACCATGTAGTCGTAATGTATCCATGTTAAAATTGTAGCTTTTTGAGATAATGCCAGACAGAGTACCTGTTGTATTCGTTCGTCTCCCCTTCTTAAAAGAGAGCTTCGTCTTGTAACTTAGACTTTGCGTGCAGGGTACCATCATAATTGACATGATTTAATGCAAGATTTAATGCATGAGGTATCAGTTAAAGGTCTTTAGACATATTTGTACAATGGAATCTGTATTTCCTCCACTCCACTTATCCATTATTACATAACCCTTTTAGGATCATCCATTTTCATGAATTATCTTCTAAATATGAAATTCCTGTTGATATAATTAAGAATCCATAGCATTGCATGCTCGTTTGTGATATTTCAATATCTTTCAGTTATTTCTTCTAAGGGAAATAAGATAATTTGAAAATTTTGGTCAAATTTTATGAAAGGGTTGATAGGAGATTAATCAATCTGGAGTTTCAAATAATGGCATATTCCTTTAGTAAAATATTATTTTTGCTAAAATCATTTCCTTAACTTTGATTTAAACTGTTTTGCACCCATTGGCTGCTAATAAGAGGATCATAGTAAAGCCTATTGATTTTCTTTGTGTCTAAGAGTGTAATCCCGCCTATAGATTATAAACTCACCATCAAACATCCTATTTTTCTCAGAAAATTTTATCTCATTTATAATTTCAGAGAAAGTAGTGTTTCATCATTAGCACCTGCTTCGTAATCGTGGATTATGTTTTGTTTGTACTAATTCTTAAAACAATTCACGGTTTGTGAGGAGATCAAAGATTTATTGATCTGAAGTCTTTGATAAACCAATTTAGAAATTACGGGAAGATATCCTTATCACAAGAGAAGATTGTAACGAATATAGATTTACGGCTGCTCGGTGCAATGGCCATGAAATATGGAAATTACTCTGAGATGAATTCTGTGATGGTCTTATTCAAAATGGAAATAGAGATAGAAAATATTAGTACTACCAAAGAATAAATCTAATAGCTACGAAGTCATTACTATAAACTGTATAGAAATGCCAAAAAACGAATCAGTTCTTTCAAATTTTATTGAGAAATAAGCAATTTTTAGGTTACATTTAAAGATAGGATCAATAAAATCATTTCCTGATCTAGTTTTATCCTTTGCAATGTTTATTATGATGATATGTAAAATAAATCTTTTCCGATAGACTTTTTGGAGACATTTAATACTGCTAATGTTAGGGTTGGTGATTTTGGAACTAGTGCATTGAATTGATTGGATTGTACTTGACTTCATAGGTTCATTTATAGGGTTGTATGCCTGCTTCTTTTGTTTTACAAGGTTTGCATTCTGCTACTCATTGCATCTCCTCTCTAAAGGACATATCCTCAAAAGCCAGGCACGTAGCCAGAATTTTCCAAGGGGGGTTCACTTTTCCAAAAAATTCTATGGGGGGTTGACTTTGGCAAATTTGGCCAAAAAATAGTCAGAATGGTGAAAAACTGCATGATTTTGAAAGAAATTTTGGCCAGATGGGGGTTCGCCCGAACCCCCTGGCTATGGGCCTGAAAGCTATATGACTGTTACACACATTGAACACTATCTACCCAAGCAAGATTCAACCATAATTAAGAAAGTTGAAAAATAAGATGGCACTGTATATATGTAAACTAATCATAGCTGAAAGGGAATGTGAGACGAGATGGAAAATATCTAAAACTCAAAAGTTATCCAACGATGAAAATCCCACCATAATTAGAAAGCAGTTATTTCACAATAATATGATTGCATTTTGGGTCTCACTGTAGAGTCAATATTTCACTTTAATCTGATATTATTAGCTCCAGTATAACTTGCAATGGAAAATTTTGTATATTTGTGCTGTTCATGATTTATAGGGGTTTCATCCAGTGCACATGACAATTTAGAGTAAATCTTTTATCTTTACCTAACTGAAAGTTCAGAAAAAGTAGCAAGGGAAAAATGTGCAAATCTGTCCAGTACATGGTGTCCCAAAATGTCGGTATCAGTCCTGTTATGTTTGGGACACCCTGTAAATGAACTATAGGAGTTGAACCATGTACCAGTGCCCACTTACCTCGACACAGCAATGTCGGCCTTTTGCATAGCAATTTGTGCAGCCCTTTGTGCTGCCATGACGGAGCTGTCCACTCTCTCTCTCAGTTTGTTTGATCGAATAAGGATCAGTTTTGTTTTCTTCCCTGAAGATATGAGCACATTATTCTTGTACTTTCCCTCCTCCCGGGTCCCATCTTTGAATGACGTAACTCCATATCCATGCTTTTTGTTATTAAACCATTCGCCTTCATATTTTAATCCATCCGTTCTTTCACTGATACCGAACCCAGAACGTTTATCATTCTTCCACTCACCCATGTACGTCTCCGTACAGTTCATATCTAGTATGTCATCTTGGGAGAAGAAACTAAGGTTGGAGTCTGTGTGATGGGAGTTGGTGGTAAGGTTTGAATGACCTGAATCCCCACTCGTGTGGCTCATATTACTAACTGTGCTTCGGATTGAACCACCAGGGCGGCGGGGAGAGTCATTTATATCTCCTGTACTTTTTTGTTTGCGTAGTTTTAACCCGCTGAAAATATTTTTTCTTAGGCTTGAATGTTTTGTACTTCCGGAGCCCCCAGGGCCGAATATTGAGCGTCTGTGTAGGTCCTCCTCACCCTTGGCTTTTAACACAAAGCCTCCACGAGTCTCGTCAAGTTTACGATCTCGTTCCCGAACCTGTTGATCATCTTCATTCTCACTGCGTAGTGAGGTCATAGAATCACGGATTCCTTTAGGTCGATAGTGGCTGGCAAGCCCATAAGGCACACTTTGTCGTACTCCGTAACCATGTCGCATCCCTCGTAACCACTGACCTTGGTATACACCTGGTAAAGAAAAAAACACAGGTTATTAGATAATTGTATAATATTTGGAAATGATAAAGCACATATGCATAATTTGATTAATTTTCAAATGAAGGATTATATCTTACAGAGCTTTACAGTATGCATATTGAATAAAAAAAATCTAAGAATTAATAGCTCAAATTGAAAATGGTAGTTGATTTTTTCTCAGCTTTAAAATGGAGAAATACATTGCATTTTATGTTATTTATCTGCAATTGTTCAACCTGAAGAATAACTCATTCCTACATATTAAAATAAAAGAGCAGCATTGTCTATTAGGAACAACATCAACAATGTGAAATTGCACTCTAGAGACATCCGTCTGCTTGGGGTTATTCCACACTGATTCAAAATATTCTCTCTAAAATATGAATGAAATTTTCTTGTTTCTTGTATTTCTATACAATTGGAAGTGTTGCTTACAAGCCTATTTACTTTTTCCTTGCTAAATCATTCTTTTTTACCTGATTTTGCATTTTAATATATGACCACCATATGTATTATCTGTCTGGAGAATGCATTCTATGTTGAGAACATAACATAGTAGTCTTGCTCCAAGACTGTGGACTTATCTAGGGAGGGTGGGGGGCTCACAATGAGTAGCTAGACTAACATAAGAGTACATATATGAAATATGGAGACTGACATGTGCCTGTTAAGTAATTGCTCTAGCTTGTATAACAGTCTAAAAATATCAGACTTATTAAGGATTATCAGGCCCGTAGCCGGGGGGGGGGGGGGGGGTTTATAAAAGATTAAAAAGATAAAAGGATTATAAAAGAAGAGATGAAAATAAGAAGTGGAAGAAAATATGAGACATATGTATATATATATTACTGAAAATTAAACAGATGTGTCAATAAGGTGAAAAACAAGAGACATAAAATAAGTACAGTTAAAGCTACATGCACATTACACAATACTCGCTTTCATTTCAGTTCATATTCTCTATAGTCTCTGATTATTGAAAACTAATACACGATCAAAGATTTATTGCCAACTGTGAAGCGCCTTTTTAATACTGAAGATGAGATATTTTGACTGTTGGATGAGTTCATTTAGAACATGAGAAATTCTTTAGATAAATCCCTATCAGTCATCTGCTAATTTTGCCCAAAATACATCATGCAGTAATTTTAAGATGAACGCTCTTAGGTTTATCATTCCAAGTGCTAATTGCTTAAAGGAACGTACACTGAGTTCAGTTCTTATATTGAGAAATTTTTGTAGAACTTTGAAAATGTAAGATATTGTTGTCAGCTTGGGTCTTGTTATCTAGGAAAAGATTTTGTCTATTAAAGCCTATGACTTAAAATACTTAGGAAATGCTCCCATATTATTGTTAGTTAGGCCAAGTTAATTTAATTAATATGTTACTGTTTTACTCATATATTACTATGGTAATACATCCATAAATAGAGGGGTTTTGGAGGTGCCAAAGGCCTTTCAAAGATTTTACCATGTTTCAAAATGTTTTCCATTATAGTGAATATAGGTTATTTTGTGGGATTGTGGTGTCAATGATCGTTTCACATTATTGGTCATTGTGATACATATTCTTCACAAGAAAAACCATTGAAATCATTGACCAACACATACAAGAATAATTTCAGGTACAGACACAAATTTTGAAGATATTTAGAAAATTCTAGAAAACTCAAGAAAATTGTGATATATTTTGAGATTTTTCATATAATTGAAAGTTAAATGAGTCAAAAATTGCTATAATTAATCTTATACAAAAATCTCTTGATTTTCAGTGTTTTGAATTGATTCATGAGTCATCAATGGTTTTAAAATAAACAGACAATGAAGTGAAATGTGACACAAAGTTAACAATTATGGGATGAATCTTACTTTGTCTGTTAACAGTCCGATTGGCATTACGGTCCCTGTTTATCATGCTGGGACCAACAGGTATCAGGTCTGTAATAAAGAATCCATGCATATAAGGCTTAAAACAAAATAGCACATTCATAATACAGTCCATAGCACAATAAATAAAAAGAAATAGACATGCTTCACCACTAGGACAAATAATGAGGGTTGGATGCATAAGGAATTCTGGGTAATAACCCAGAGCAGGTATTTTCCCAGGATTCTCTTGATATAAAGTGTCTAAATATCACATCATAACATTATAGATATTTTAAAGACATTTATATTTAAAGGTATGTACTTTGAGGACAGGAATGATGCATGAAATGCCATAACAAGGCACAGACGTGAACAATATCGTACCTAAAACACAGCAGTGTGACAGTGAAGAATTTAGGACGGAAAATCCGAAATTTGGCCACCTTAAAATTTACCCAGAATGCCCAAAAACTAATCAGTTCTTAACTTTGATACGTAGAAACATCCCTGAAAATTTCAGATGAATCCCTCAAATGGTTTGGCTGGAAACCTGTAGACAAGTCTTGAAAGTGAAGATTTTAGGGCGGAAAATCCAAAATGGCCACCTTAAGATTTACCCAGAATGCCCAAAAACTAATCAGTTCTTGACGTTGATATGTAGAAACATCCCTGAAAATTTCAGATGAATCCCTCAAATGGTTTGGCTGGAAACCTGTAGACAAGCTGAAAAGTGAGACGCCGCCCGCCGCCCGCCCGCCCGCCCGCCCGCCCGCCCGCCGCCCGTCAAGCTGACTACAATATCGTACCTTTTGTTAGGTACGATAAAAATAAATAATTCTATAAACCATAGTTCTAGTCTTGCATAAGGCCTCTACAGTGATATTTGTGGGGGCTTTTATTTGTGGAAACTGTAATTTATTGGTACTCAAATTTGTAAGGGTGTTTCTCATTTGTGATTCTCTTATTTGTGGGGGTTCTCTGTTGTCATTTGCGGGTTGTGGGGGTTCTCTGTTTTCATTTTTTTTTTGAGGAGGGGTCATTATTGTGGAATCTCAATTTTCATTTTAGAGGCTCTCTTGTTTCATGTTTTATGGATAAAGGTGGGAGGAGGAGATCACCATAGAGGCATGATGCAAAGCTACATCTGTTCCACCAATGCTATCTTCAGAGTGGTAACAATAAAGAGCTCAAATGTTGAAGAAAAGTTATTTAGCTCAATAGTTAATAGGTTCATTGATTGCTTATAAAATCTGCCTTACTCTTAACCAATCAGCCAGTTTGTGTGACCCTCTGACTGGGGTAGACTGTTTCAAAATTCAATAAAATCCTTTTGGTTTTGAACTACATGTGCAATTCTGCCATAATGTTTAAATATCCACATGAAATCCATTTCATGAATTATTAGTGGTTATAATAAGTATTATAAAAATTACAAAAATTATCATTGTGTGGATCTATCTTAGTACCTTTTGCTTGGATACAATTACAAAAAATATCATTGTGTGGATCTAACATAACAAGTAAGTCTAATTTGCAAGGATTATATGATAAACAGTGTAATAGAGCTACTTATTTGACAGAAACACTTATTTTCTGTTTTTGTTTTACTTACACAGGAGAAGCACCAGTAAGCAAAAATAGAATTGACATTCTCCCTTCTTCCAAAATATGAGGAATTTGCACAAAAATAACTTTATAGATATGATATTTCATGATTGGAAGCTTAGCTGTGAGCTGCTAGTGCCAGAAGCAAAAACCACAACTTTACGTCAATTCTCCAGGAATTCTACGAATCTTTCTGAGAGAAAATACTGATTAGTACTGAGTAGAGCTTACTAGCGTTCATCTATAATTTTGTCGAAATACGATGACTGCAAAATATTTTGATTTTCTAAATTAGAAAATTGCTCTTTTTTATGTATATCAAGTTGTCAGGTTCTTAACAATGGTTAATCAAACTTCATGGGTTAAACCCCCATGGGCCTCAAGATGGAGAATGATTAATGGTTGATGTATCATGTAATATAAACCAATGGGATTAAAACAATTTGCAAATCATACTTATATGAGGTCAAACATTTCATTAATTCAGAGTTTGCTATGCAATGTCAGCCTGTACTAAGCTCATAGACGGGTGAATAGATTTTATTCCAAAACGCCAGCAGATCCTTTAATTCCTTGAACCTCATTTTTAGGTTTATACCTTCTGTTTTGGGGGCGTTTATAAAGGAGGTTGAAATTCCTCATACCTAAACAGAAAATATTGGATTTGATAAACCATACACCTTATGTTTTTGTAGTAATTAAATCATGTATGTATACCTTATGTTTTTGGAAATCCCCCCCCCCCGCTCTGTTTTCTTAGTGAGTGTTTAGAAATTGGAAAAAATACAGTGGTTTGAAACTTCTGACACCAGGTAAAGGTATTTGAAATTGTAATTGAACATAAAAAACAGGTCAAAATTCCTTAAAACAACAGGGGATTTAGTTAAAAACAACCTTAAAACTGCCTTGCTGTTGTCTGCTGCTATGGAAACCCACAATCTGCATGCACTTTAATGGATCGCCTAGGTTGATATACAATAATAACTATGGTAACAACCATGGACTAAGTAAGAAGGAGGGCTCAGTTTTTATAGACCAAGCATATGTAGATAAGAGCTAGCTATCTTGTATCTTCCCATACTAATTAGACTGATCTATGTTGGCTTTGAAAATAAACCTTGGGTGTTGCTTACATATTGAAGTACTTTTTCTCAGAAATTGAATAAAATGCTTGATGTATTGATTTATAACTTAGGCTACCATTTGAAAGTTGAAGTCACAGCAGGTAGCTTCATTTTGAGGATTTTTTGGGATTGTTTGTTTGTTTGTTTTTGAGATTTGGTTTAGGCATACCTGCAAACCTATTTGCACCCATAAGATTAGCAAGATCATGAAAGTCGGCAAATTTTAATTACAAACTTGGTCAAAATTGGGCAAATGCGAATTTTGCACTCAATTTAGGATAAAAGATCACTTGACATTGGTTGCGAATGTGGCTTAGCTCGAGGGATAACTTTTCCCAATGTTTTTGCATTTTGTGTTCAAAAGAAGTATAAAGCTAATCAAGCAGTTTCTTATAGAAAAAATCAATTGCTTTTGTTACTATAAGTGTGGGAAAGAAACAGAAGAGCTTCTACTGCAGGCTACAAGTTATAAATATACTACTCTATAAATTACCACTGGCCTTATGAAAATACTGACATACCAAACTTGAAATATATCCATCCAGAACAGTATACAGTGAAACATGTATGTCAAAATCTAAACACCTTTCTAATCTGAACACCTCTCAATGTGAGCACTTCCATATTTTAATCTGCTGTATATTTACATGTGAAAAATCTCTTCATGTGAACACTTTTATATCCCAGTTTTGTGAACCACAGATCAAGAAACCTTGAAATGCGAACACTTGCTGATCCGGACACCTTTGGCCGGTCCAAGTAGCATTTGGATAAGACAGGTTTAACTGTTTAGCAAAAGTGCTTATATTGAAGATCGATTGATGTATTGTTTTTTATCTTGGCCTTTTGTTTACATTATTGATTTTTTGTTCGACATAATAACAGAATTAAAGAATAATCCTTGAGGATAACATTTTTGTGTAGTCTTGTATCAATCTCTTGTATACTTCTCCATATACACATCTTATACACAAGCTGAGTAGATATAAATAATGGGTTAGGGGACAAGAGGCCCAGGGGTTTTTTCATTGCTCTCTATCTTATAGCTGTGAAGTCCTATCTTGAAGGTTGCAGGAAGCTAGGTGCATAAATATTTGGCTTGACATCATTTTGGTCCACGGGCTTCTCTTAAAAGCCTTTTTGGTTATCATATCCATTATATACCCATTATAACATAGTGCTTGTATGGCATAGAAATTGAAGAGGAACTATTTTTCACAGGCATTAGATAAAGAGTGACTGATGAATCAGAATAGAATATTTGAGAGAATATGCAAATTGTGCTTTTGAGCAACAGGTTGTCTAGATAGTCATTTGGGTGAGAGTGTCCCATTGTGTGGAATATGAGGTGATGTGAATACTAGGTGATAAAAAAATATGGGGAAGAAATATATGGAATATGAGGTAAAAATACATGCAGTATGAGGTAGGAAGAAATGAAATATGAGGTAAAAAGATATGTAATTTGAGGTGGAAAGAATAAGAAAAAAATATGGATAATGGGATATAAGAAGGCTGCCTAGAGATATCTAGTACTGACAGATCCTCAGGCAAAAATTATAAAATATTACAAACCATACCACTCCCCTTCCCATTATACATTTCCTGTAGACATAGACAAATCGGAGCGGAAAAATTCATTTTTCGTGATGTCACCATCATGATGTTAAGCTCATGTTACTGAAATGAATCATGAAATGAAACTGTAAACTGAAGGTCTAATTAGTTTCATCCTGTCATCCTTGACATGTCTCATCTCTCATATTTAAAAGACTTGTTGGTCATTACGCAACATGGAAATCAGACTACCCTGGGCAAGAGCTCTCTTTCATTCAGCTCTCTCTTTAATTTCTAGCCTATATATAATCAGAATATGTATGTTAGCAGAAAATTATGACTATATACAGTATGCTACAAACATACAAATATAAGTAAATACCCAACATTTATTTCCACTTCAGCCTTCAAATTAAAGATTCATTTGGGTTCCTTTATATCATATTTGCATCAATTCTAAAATCATTGTTTTAGTAAGAGGGCAATTTATTAACTGGTCAGGTAACAGGGTAGATTTAGGTCTAATTCAATACTCACTTTAGTTTATGTCACCATTTCACCGAGGCGTAAATGATGGGATTTATTGAAGAATCCATGTAGAAAAGTGATTAATATTCCATTTCTTTAGTCAGAGGGGAATATTATTAACTGATGTGGTAACAGGGTAAATTCAGGTCTAATTCAATACTCACTTTGGTTTATGTCACCAATTCACCGAGGCGTAAATTATGAGATTTATTGAAGAATCCATGTAGAAAAGTGATTAATATTCCATTTCTTTAG